ATCAAAGTTTACCAATGTGCTTTGTGTACCTGAGATGGAACATAATTTGTTAAGTGTGTCTAATTTAGACAACCAAGGTTTTGAGGTCATTTTTGTAAATGGGAAATGATCAAAAGGAATGGGAATATTTGTGCAGAAGGCATAAAGGAAGATAATCTATATGTATTGAAGGGACAAAAGGTTCAATGTTCCCATATATTTAAGAATGTTGCATAGCATGATTCATGTGTTCATCTTCTACATAGAAGACTTGGCCATGCAAGCTTTAAAGTTTTGCAGCAAATGCAAGATTTTGCAGAAGGGCTAAATTTAAAGGGATGCAAAACATATTTGGACTGTGCAGTATGCAAAGCATCAAAGTCAAAGGCATTCCCAGTTAGTAAATGTAGCACAAGACAAACAAAAAGAGTTCTAGAGCTGGTCCATGCAGATCTGGTGGGACCTATGCAAGCCAGTTTGGGAGGAGCAAAATATGCACTGGTAATTGTTGATGATTATAGCAGGTATTCGTTTTGCTATTTGCTTAGAGCAAAGACAGAGGTGCTACAACAATTCAAACAGTGGGTAAGTTTTGTAGAGAGAAGGTACAGACAACAAGTGTGTCAGTTGCAACCTGACAAAGGTACTGAATTTATGTCAACTAAATTCCAACAATGGTTGGGACAGTTGGGGATAAGACACAGATGTACAAATCCTTACACAGCAGCAGAGAATGGTGTAGCTGAAAGAAGGAATGGTGTTTTGCAAACAATGAAAGATTCATTGTTAGAGGATTCTGGTATGAGCAGGTCATATTGGGGAGAAGCCATATTGACTGCCAATTATATAGTTAACAGGCTGTGGAGTTCCTCCATTAATAATACTCCATATGCCATTCTATATGGGAGAAAGCCATCACTGGCACATTTGAGAATTTTTGGAAGTACTGCATGGGTACATATTCCAAAAAGCAATCAGAAGAAAGGGACAGCAAAAGGCAAGAAAGCTCAGGTTTGTGGGCTATGAGCCAGGATCAAAAGGATATCGCTTTAGTGATGGAAGTAAAAGAATTGTTATTTCAAGGTCTGCTAATTTTGCAGAACAAAATTGGGACAGAATTAATGCAAATTCTGGGTATGTCTCACTTAATGAGGGTGATCTGTTTAGTGACAGTAACTCATCTAATGATAAAAAATTGATTATAGAAGATGTCAATGTTCAGGGAGGAGAGGCTGAACAAGACATGAAACCAGAAAGACTTGAGACACAGGAGCAGTTAATACCACGTAGGTCAGAGCGATGTAACAAAGGAATTCCACCTGACAGGTATTCTGCCAGCAAGGTAAAGGTTTGCAATGTGTGGTATGAGCCAAGAGGTTATAAAGAGGTATTGGCATTACCAAAAGCTGAACAAGAAAAATGGACGGAGGCCATGGATAAAGAGATGAAATCCATGGGAGACCATGAAGTATTTAAATCAGTGACTTTGCCACAGGGAATCAAAGCTGTGGGTTGTAAGTGGGTATATATATAAAAAAGACATTGCCAAATAATGATATACAGTATAAGGCCAGGTTAGTGGCACAAGGTTTTTCACAATTAAAGAATGTATTAATAGGTCTGATGTCTCTTCCTGTCATGAAGGGAGGAGTGTTGGAATATTCATGAACAGGAAGAGTCATGTGGTAACTCAGTCAGCCAATGTGAAGAAAGTGCTACTGAGTCTGTGCAAAAAGAGTATTGAGTTAGGAGCTGGATTTCCAGTCTCACGTTTTGTCTCTGGTCTGTCTCTGTAAGAAGACTTCATTGAGTTATGTTGCTGTAAAGAAGAATGGTATTGTAAATATTTTTATATAAATATAAAGTTGTTTGAATCAGCTAAATGCAGTCAACTGTAAGAGCTTCTGATTTATTTTTCACCAATTAGAGAAATTAAAATTCTCTAACAGTTTCTCTTACTATAATTAAGGCATTGATCAGATATCTTAGTTCTTAAAATTTAGATGGTCCACATACAGGAACTGAATTTATGTGATCTTCAAATATCTTTCCCTGAATTATTCCAAGCTAGCTTTATATATTATATCAAAATATAATATATAAAGCTTCCTTCCTTCTTTCTTCCCTCCCTCCCTCCCACTGCTACATCTTCTAGACTCAAAATGGCTTAGAACATACTATGCACAATAAAAACATTTCCACAATGTAATAAAATGTTAAAAGCTGTGTTATTATCTCTTCCATTTTTTTAAAATTATATTATGTGGCAAAGGTTCCATTCTTAAGGCACAAATTAGCATAATTTAAATGTCAGTGTCATGATTTCATACATTTATCAAGGTAGTAACTGTGCTATAAGAAAAAATAGAAAAAAATTGTACTTTACAGCCACATAATTTACTGAACATCACATTAAAATCATGATTTAAAAGTAATTAGCTTTTTAGAATACTAACACATTTAATACATCTTTCTCAAGTTTTCATGTTTAAATGATTATTAAACAGATATGTTCTCAATTTATAAAAGGTCAAATAATTTATTTTTAAGGAAAAATTAATAGAAGGCATGGATAATCTACTGAAAGAAAAATAATACAAAATAAGGAAGAAGCAAAATCATAAAACAAAATATTTTGAAAAGCATCACGGAGAAACTATATGTCTACAAGAATAACCGCATAGAACAGGAATTTCTTCATTATAGTCTTTAGTATCTTTAACATCTTGATTTACCAGGCAACATCATTCAAACAGTTACCAATTTCAATCCATTTGTCCACTCTGCTCCAAAAGCCCCCAATTTTTAAATAAAGTTTGTTTTAGTGGTATTGTATAATGTCTTTGTATATTGGGTGAGGGGAGAGGGAGAGCAGGGTAGGGTAATTAATTCAACAGTCACATTAACACAAATAGACATTAGATAGCAAAAGACTGTGCTTTGGAGAGATTTTGAAAGTTCATAAGACATAAATTAGAAATGAATTCAGACTTATATGAAATAATTTGAGAAACTGAATGCTTGAGAAGATTGCAGAAAACAACTTGCAAAAGCCCCTATTCTTTTTTTAATTTGGAAGTATCATGGTCAGAAAGGTCAATACTTTACTTAGGGGTTTCTGATTAGAATGCTTTTGGGAAAAACGCTTTATAAATGTGTTGTGTTGCTTTCTGCTATTATTTCTATTTTAATTAAACAGTAATATCTAAAAAACACCATGGGAATGAAAAAGCTGTGATTTGCATACAATTCCCTTGTTCCCTTACCTTTTCAACCACTCTTATTCATCTTCCCAGTTCTTTTTATGTTATCTTTCATTTTTTCTTGAACTTCCATTAATTTACATTCAGATTCCTTTTTATTACTGCTACTTCCTTTTCTTCCCCTTTCATTTTGGACTAATTTGTTCACTACTGAACTTGTTGTAGGAAGTTTCAAATTCACATATTCTGTTCATTCTTTAGTTTATTATATGTTAGCAATTTATTATACACTTCACTGTTTTGTTTCATTGTTCCTTTCTTATTGTTAAATGAAGTGTTAAATAACAGTACAACTTATTACCAGTTTCTAGTGATGGCAAATCAATGTAGAGAATTAAAAGCATTGTTGCTATTATAATCATCATCATTATTAAAGTACAATTGTATAACTGTGAAATGTCTCTCCCTATCTGCCCATCCCAACAGAAGGAATAGGGTAGGCTCATTTCAGGTCCTATTCCTTAAGCATTGCCATCTTGGAGTCTTTGGAAGTACACCTTTTATACTGAAGCCTCTGCCCTATGGTATGCCTTTCCCCCTGAAACTGACAGGTCCCATGCCTTCTGTCTTTTAGGAAAGCTCTTAAAACCTGATTCTTCTCCCAAACATTGGAATAGGGCATGATAAAGCTAGGATGAGAATGTGGCTGTGGTGCCAGCTTTTTTTGTTTTTATATTGTTTTACTGGTTGTAAGCCTCCCATAATTGATTTATGATGGGAGGTTATCTAAATATTTTAAACAAACAAAGAAACTGAACGGCAACATAGCCTATAAAAGTCAGAATGTAGTATTTATAGGAAGAAACAGCAGTAAACACTGATCTTTCACAGAAATGTTTGTATCAAAGTTGGAGTCTTTATTTCTATCAAAAGTGCTATTATATATGCAAACAGAAGAATTGCATGCTTTTTTTAAAAAAGGCAGGCATTTTGTGCCTTCTTGATGGACTTTACATATCATCTGGTCTATTAAGTTGTAAACCTTATTTTTTTGCAGCTATTTGTAAATTCTGCATAAGAGTCTCTAAAGCGGGGCAAGTATAAGACGCTATTTTTTCCTGCAAACACCCTGTTCAAAAATCAGGTGTGTCTTATACAAGTGCAGCGTCTTATACACGAAAAAAGAATGGTAACCTCCACAGCCCAGGGCATGCCTCTATGAGTTCTTTACATGCCTCTGCCATGCCACCTGATGCAGGAGGATATCGCTGGCCCAAGATGCTGCCTGATGCTGGAGGATCGCGCTGCCCCAAAGAAGCTGCCAGTCCCACTGAAGCTGCCTTCTATGACCCATTTTTCACCGGCGCAGCTCGGTGAAAGAGGCCCTGGTGAAGAGGCCCCGGGAAGCCACCTCAGTACAGTGATTGATTGCTGAGGGGGTGGGCAGGATTAAGCCCACAGATTGCCACCTGATTGGAGGAAGTCGCCCCCCCCCCTTGTGTGATGGTATGGCCACTTGTTTTACTGCCACTAAAGATGTGGTCTGTTTTCATTGTTTTGATTACCAATAAAATAGAAAATATGCACAAAACTAAAGATGCGGTTTGTTTAATATTTAAAATGTTGCTTTCTGAATTTTTTTTTTAGAAAATTGGGGGCAGTCTTATACAAGAGTGTGTCTTATACACGGAAAAATACGGTGCCTAAGATAAGGTAAGGAGTTAAAGATTGTTTGCAAAATGAAATAACTATTCACTTAAATATAATCTAAAGTTAGAACAGAAATTACAGCTTAGAATGACATTCACAATTACTAACCTTGGCTAAGTAAGCTTCCATTCTGTTTTTTGAGGCTAATGCAGTTCCATTTGTGTTCAGAAATCCTCCTCCAAGGTTAAGAGATTTATTTAATGCTAAATTGTTGCCAAGATTTCCCATGTGAACAGTTTCCAAGACAGGACTTGAAGAAAGGCTTCCACTTAAAAAGCTGTTGGCAAGTAAAGATTTGTTTTTGTGACGCTCATGATAGAGTTGAGTGCTGGCTTCTGCTAACTTCGCATTAGCTCTGCAAAAGGTTTGGAACAAATCAGTAGTTAAACAAGATATCATCTTAGAATAATGATACACTTTATTTAATAAAAAGTCAGAACTCCAGGCAAAATGTAATGTATCTCTAACCTGTTCCAGAAATGTATCTATCCAGGGTTTTACCAAGTCTAAATAGAGGCCTCATTATTCTGTTCCAAGTTCTGGAATGATAATTAAAAATCAATATTTGTTTTTTTCTCTATTCTCCTGACAATTTTCTCTATCCTCCTGTGCTAAAGTAAGCTATATGTCCAGGCATAGTTAACACCCTGTAAAAATTAAAATAGTAGTTGGGGGATTTTGGAAAGGAAAATATGAAGTCTTTCTTTTCCTTGATTTGAAACCTCAATATAAATTATTAGAGTCACTACGATGATTGGACTGGACAGATCCCAAAAGACTGGAGTTGGGCTGACTTGGTAAACATGCTTAAAAGTACCCTGAAGCTTCGTCAAGGACACCAGAGCAGGTGTGGATTTGAAGCAGACAGTTCCCATAACAAAGTGAACGTTGATATGAATTATGTAAGACATTGGGGGTTTGGCTGGGAAAAGTATTGTTTAAGTCTACAAATTGGTGTTGGAACCTCAGAGTTAGTTTTGCTTCGACATAACCATGCAGTGTATTCAATAAACAGTAAGATTTTTGGAAATGGAATGAACCTGGAGTTTTATTTGGATTCTCGAGCTGGATGTTGACAGAGCATCATTCTCACACAGCTCAATCTATCTCAAAATCATGGAGAAAAAAAAAAAGAGAGAGAGTGATATGATATGCCTTTTGAGTTCCTGGAGAAAAGGCAGGATATATATCTAAAAATATATATCAATAAAACACAAGGAGAGACATTTTTTTTCTTAATAGAATGTATCTCCTGCCACAAAATATTAATCGATATGTATTGGGAGTCCTTAACATAGTAATTGTTTTTCCTTCTATTTTTTTCTTTTTCAATTAATGTTCAATTTTTCAATGTCGATGTTACATTTAATTTGCAAAACAAAATACTCTGTGCAAATTTTAAGTATGCACTAATCAATAATTTTATGTAATGGTACAAAAATCATATGGATGTTATAGTTTTCCTCACAAGCTAGACTTCCAAATTTGGCATTAGAAATTATACATTTAATTCCCCCCCCTTTCCCTTTTAAGTGGAAAGGGAAATAAAGTTAGCAGAAGATTGCTCAGCTTGGGAGGGTGGGGTGATATAATTTATACTAAATCAAACCTAACCATCACTTCACAAGGCAGATGAAATCTATTTACCTTTCTCTCATTCGCAGCATGCAAGCAGCAAGGTTCTGTTCATTTCATACATTAATTAGGATTAGCAAAAATACATTATCTCCAATTCTAATTTTATCAACCCCTTCTCCCTCAAAGCTGTCAGGAGTCTAAAAGAATCATCCTTGCTTTGAAGAAAACAGTACATCTGAAAGATACAAGCCTGATAGAGTGCATCCCCCAGTTGTAATCCAGTATGTGGATAAAATCCATCTGAACAATGATAAAATTTTAGGAACTCATTTACTATCCCAGTTCAATTTTCTTTTATATTTCTATAAGCTAAACCCCTGAATATATAAGTCTTCATATTTGTTTTCTTTTAATAAGCATAGATATATTATATATATTTTTGTATGTAACTGGAAAATCTTGTGTTTGCTTCACTCTGTTATTCAGATGATAATTCAGAACCACCGATTTAGTATTAAAGTGGGTAACGCAAATGACAGACTTATTGGAAGTCATAATTTTAGGAATATGAAATATGTCAAAAAGAACTTTATTTGCAGAATTATATTCTTAGAATACAAACAGTATAAACAGAAAGGTTATTTTCCTAATGTATTTAAACACTAATCTAAAGAAATATTTTCCCCTTTACTATTATATTTAATAGTAATATTAAATATTATATTTAACTATATATTATATATTAATATTAATTTGAATAATTCAATTTTTAATGCCCAGTGTTATAGTTTACTTTATTCTGTTATTTATGGTATTGTAAGCCACCCAGAGTTGCTTGGTAGTAAAATGGGCAGCAGATTTTCTAAATAAATAAATACTTAAATCCATATGATATCTTTGAAACCACTCAATGGAATGCTTTGGATTGACCAGTTATCGCTATCATAGTGAGATTACTAAAATTTTCTTTTCATATTGACATTATTCAATCTAAAATAAATAAGAAAAAATACAAGTTTACAAGAACTGAAACATTTTTTACTTACCTATCCAATTTGCTCCCCAAAGATTTCCGTATTTTTAGTTCTTCTGAATACAATCCTTTATATTTTTCCAATTCTGTATGTGTAGATTCTTTTTGTAATATGCTATCTTGCTGGCTGTTTTTAAGTTTGGCCAACTCTGTTTCTAATTCTTTAATTCTATTTTCCAATTGATTTCTCAAAGAAGCATTATTAGTAGCTCTTATCTGTTCCAAAGTTTCTTGAGAAGCAGCCTGTGTCTAAGACACAAAATGTATTAATTTAGAAGAAAAATCCTTGCTGTTCACTTAATTAAATCATTAATATATTGTCTGAGTATAGCAACCTGATTTAATGAAAATATTAAGCACTTTTGTCAACAAAATAACTTAGTTAATATTTGTCAATTATTTAAAAGAGCCAGTTTGGTCTAATGATCAAGGCACCAAACTAGAAACCAGGAGGCTGTGAATTATAGCCCTGCCTTAGATATGTCAAAGCCAGTTAGGTGAGTTTGGGCCAGTGATTTGTGGTTGTGGGGAAAATAGGAGGAAAAAGGAATAGCAAATATGTTGTCTGTCTTGAATTATTTATAACAATAATAAAGATAGGAAATAAGTAAGTAACCTGCAAAAAGAAATTGACTTCTTCCAATTTTTGTCTTATGTCTTTTCTAGCTCGTTCTTCGATCTCTGTCTTGTATTGTTCCACTTGGCTGAGATTTATTAAGTTATCCTGTACTTGGCGTTTGAGGTTAGCTACTTCTTCTTCTAGTTGCAATTTGCTTTTTTCTAATTTTTCGTGATTCTTATGGAGTGTCTTCATAGATGCTAATTGTTCACTCAGTTCACAATTGGTAGATTCCAGCTGGGTACATCTTGTTGACTCAATCTCCAAATGGTGAGAAAGTTCATCAACCTGAACAAGCAAGTAATACTTAAAGAAAAAGACTACCAACTTTTCAAAATAAAGCCAAGTAATAGTTATGTATCTGCTCAGGGATACGAAGAATCATATTTGGTGGCAGATATAGAGAGGTAAGAGCTAAGTGGACCAAAAGCATTTAAACTAACACTTTATTTATTAAATTCACATGCCTTCCCACTTCACCAAAAAGTGACTCAAACAGCACATATATTTAATAAATAAATAATAAAGTTTTAGTTAACATATTCTATGTTGAAATGATTAAAACAATCCAAAAAAATTTCAAATGGAATACCAAATACTAACATAAAAGTGTAGAGACTTGTATAAACAGTTGCCAGGGGTCAACACTGATTCAAAGGCACAAAATAAATAGATAAATAAATACCTCTATCTCAGGTAGAATAAATTTAAACATTATATAAAGCAGCCAACAGGGCACCAAATGAAAGTCTAAAAAAGGCAGCCTAAATTACCACCACCCACTTAAATGAAAGATTTGTTTTATTATAGAGGGCCAAGAAGAAAGGGATCCAGTTGTTCAAAAAACCTGAGACTTCCATAGAAAGACTGCCCCCGGGTCCAAGCCTAAGCAGCATCTCACATAAAAAGCAATTTAAAGAGGAAAGTCAAATAAACCAGTTTCCCACCGTACTGTTTTATTTATAGATGAGGACCAGTACTCTGAGTTGGGCTTGGAGCTTATCGTTCATTAGTACAAGGACTATGTAAGTATCATCATGTAACAGTGAAATTTAAATGAATTAAAATAATAGTTGGTACATACCCTTTTTCTTAGTTTTCCAACTTCATTATCAATTTCTGAATATTTATTCTTTATTTCTCCATGTAAGCTGATCTGAGATGAACTTTCTCCACTCTCATAACCTTTTAACTTCTTTTTGGTTATTTTTAGAAGTTTTTTCATACTGTAAAGAAAAATAAATTTTACTGCAATTGCTTAAAGTATTCTATAGATGCTATTTTTGCTGCACAAAGAAAGAATTCTACCAGGCTGAATGAGTGCAAAGAATTTTTCAAACCTTGTTCATTATTCTACAAATAGCCATTTTAAAATGACCAAAACTTCAATTTAACATTGTTTTCTGATTCTGTACATGCACTAATTAATTAATAATTCATATAGTCTGCGCTGCTAAAGCAAACAATATTCTCTTCATGTTTCTACTCAACGAGTAGTCCTCAACAGCACTACATCCACATGGAGAGAAGTAAGCAGCGGGGTACCACAAGGTTCCCTCTTAGGCCCAGTACTCTTCAATATCTTCATCAATGACTTAGATGAGGGAATTGAAGGGGAATTCATCAAATTTGCAGATGACACCAAACTAGCAGGAATAGCCAACACCCCAGGAGACAAGCTCAGGATCCAAAAAGATCTTGAACAATGGGCCCTATCCAACAAAATGAGTTTCAACATGTAGAAAAGCAAAGTTTTACATCTAGATAGAAAAATCAAAGGTACAAGTACAGATTGGGCAAGACCTGGCTTAAAAACAATAACTGTGAGAGGACCTTGGAGTCCTAGTGGACAATCACTTAACCATAAGCCAACACTGTGCAACAGCAGCCAAAAAAGCTAATACAATCCTGGGTTGTATAAACAGAGGCACAGAAGCAAGATCACGCGTGATATTAGTACCACTTTATAAGACCCTGGTAAGACCACATCTGGAATATTGCAGCCCATTTTGGTAATCATATCACAAAAAAGATGTTGAGAGTTTGGAAAAAGTTCAAAAAAGAGCAACTAAGATGATCAAAGGACTGGAGACTAACACATACGAAGAACAGCTACGGGACTTGGGTTTGGCTAATATAAAGAAACGAAGAAATATGGGAGACATGATAGCAGTATTCTAGTATTTGAGGGGCTGCCACGAAGAAGAGGGAGTCACTTTTTTCAACAAAGCACCAGAGGGCAGGACAAGAAACAATGGTTGGAAACTGATCAAAGAGATAAGCAACCTGGAATTAAGGAGAAACTTCCTGACAGTGAGGACAATTAACCAGTGGAATAGCTTGCCCCCAGAAATCGTGGGCGCTCCATCACTGGAGATTTTTAAAAAGAGGCTAGATAGTCACTTGTCTGAGAAGGTATAGGTACTCCTACTTGAGCAGGGGGCTGGACTAGAAGGCCTCCAAGGTCCCTTCCAGATTCTATTCTATTCTATTCTATTCTATTCTATTCTATTCTATTCTATTCTATTCTATTCTATTCTATTCTATTCACAACTATAACGTTATATTCTTTTATCTGTTTTGCAGCAAAACTGTTGTTATTGCCATTGTAGTTAATTTCTTTGGGTATTATAATTCTATTAATGTATAATTCAATATGTATTCATTTCTTTTTTAACAGTATGCATTTGTTGCTCCTTGTTTAACAACTAGTTGAAGTTACAAAGAAGCTCCAAAAAGTTACTTATGACCCCTCCTCAATGTTATGATTGGCACACCCTGTTGCAATCACGTGATTGCATTTTGGGTATTTGACAACCTGCTCACATTTATGACTGGTTGCAGTGTACCATGGTCATGTGACCATTATTTACAGTGCTTTTTGCCGCTTTCTGGCAAAAAATACCCATTTGGGGGAATGGATTTGCTTAACAAACATGATTCGCATAACTAACACAGTGACTCACTTTATGACCATTGTAAAAAGGATTGTAAAATCAAGTCAGATCATGTTTTGAACCCCCTAATGACCACAATGATGTATGATAGAAATTATGGACTCAACTGTGGCTGTTAAATGAGGACTATGGGTAGTTCTTGACTTATGACCACAATTGGGACCGGAACTGTCATTAAGTGATGCAGCCATTAAGTGAGTTGTGTCCAGTTTTACAACTGTTTTGCTATGATCTTTAAGCAAATTCACCAATTTAATTTGCTTTTCAGAGTACCCTGGGAAAGTCATAAATGGTGATCACATGACTCATGGACCCTGCAACTATTGTAAATGCATGCTGGTTGCCAAGCACCCAAGTTGATCACATGAGCACAGGAACATTGCCAAAGTTGAAAATGCCAAGGACTACTAGTAAGTCACTGTTTTCAGGTCCCTCGTAACCTTGAACAGTTGTTAAACAAATGGTTATAACACGAAGACTACCTGTTCCTGTATTATAAATCAAGAGATTTATAACATGCAGAAAAAACAGGTCACGGAAACAGGGATATTAGCTTTTATATGTAAGATTATTTCATTATAGCAATGTTAAATATATTTAAAATAAAAATCTATAAACAGAAAGCAGCTATTGTCTTCACAACAATAAAAAAGTTACCCATGATATTCTTTTTGTAATTCACTGTTCCTTTTCATTTCTTGATCTAGTCGTAGTTCCACTGATCGTTTCAATTCTAGTACCTTCTTTACTTTTTTCTTTTCATTCTCAAACTGTAAAAGAATAAGAACATAATTTCCAGACTTGACAACATTTCAAACAGCATACATTTTAATGCACAGATAAATCTGTGATGGTATTCCATCTTCACTTTGAGCTTTGTGAAAAAAATGATTATATTGAAATATATTTTATTTCTTCACATTCATATTTATTTCCTTAATTTTCAAAATTACAGCTTTATTAAGACCCTGCTGCTCTGCCCAGATTTTAAATGAGCTTTCCGATGTTACAGTGTAGCAGCAATCTCTAAGAAAATTCCAGCTCTCTCTGGAAAATATCAGCTCTGCTAAGAAGCTGAAGCTTGTACTATGAAATGAATAAGATAATTTGGAACAATGTTTTGGGTTTTCATGAGCTTTTCAATTAAACTTTTTGAACAACACTCATCTGTGAAGGCTAACAGCATGCCAAACCATGTAAAAAAGGATTGAAATCTCTTTCATTGTCAATCAGTAACCCTTGAGATCAAATTACTAATGATTGCTGCAGTCACAGACTTTTAGGAGATATAGGTATCTTGAGAATTGAACCAGTTCTTAATTTTATTTTTGCTTCATCTAGCTGTTGCCCTAAATAATTTTGTGACCTTCTTTTGCAAGCTGTAGTAGCTAAATGTCTTGGTCAGGTGATTGAAATATATTATGTCAAAGGCACTTAGACATCTTTCTCAAGTCCAGCAATTTCTTTTACACTTATTTATAAAATTCATAAAGAAGTATAATTTATCACTTTTGTACAAAAATGTAGATTTCATCATTCTTTCTCAAAACTGCAAAATTCAGGCATTTAGACCTTTATTTATTTGATTTAATTTAAAGTTAAGAATTTAAAGGAGTCTAGTTCAAAAGCTCCTGTATTAACAGTTTCCTGTGCTTTGTCAGCATCTTTGTCTTTGGGAGAATTCAAAAAGGATAAGAAGTAAAAAGAACTTTACTCAACTTTTTTTCAGTTCAGTAAAAATAGGTTTTGTATTGTATTTATCTGAACCTTATGATATATTGTTTTATTTATTTATGATCTTTCAAAATTTTCAATATAAACTTATTATTTAAATAGCTAATAGGATTTAAAAATGCTGCTTCCTAAAAGCATTGTGAATTTATCAGTTAGATAGATCAATCAGGCAGGATAAGCAGATAATATAAAAACATTAAAAAAAATCCTCATCTGCCACATTAAAATCTGTGCCCACTATAAAATCTATGAGATAAAAGACAAATCACACTTTTACAGCATGATGTTCCAAATCTGAATCAGTTACGACTGCTTCTCTCATCCAGATAATTTCTAGTTCTGATCTTATACATAATGAAATCCTTAATGAATTCTGAATCCAAGATATTAAAGGCTTATTTATTGTTTATTGATTCCAGGAGCTCATATGAATACTTTCTTTCTCAAATTTTCCCTACCACAACGGTCCTGTGAGCTAGTTTGAACTGAGTGACTTAGTGACTGGACTAAAGCACCCAGACTCAATGAGTTTGCCATGACTAAATGTGGATTTAAACTTGCTCTTCCTAATCTGAGTTTGATACCTCAACCATAGTACCAATTGTTTCTTCATCATTTCCAACACAGTGAATTGTTGATACTGAACCTACCTGAGATATTATTTCTGTCTTTTCCTTATCAAGCTCAGAAAGGCGAATCCCAAGTTTTGATTTTAATTTCAATTCTTCTTCCCACATATTCTGAGCACCTTGTGCAGTTACTGAAAGCATATTTTCCTTCTGGACCTGAGGAGAAATTGAATTGCTTCTGAGTAAGAATCATTACAAAGGAGCCCTTGAAATAGCCAGTACACCTTTATGTAGAGATAGAATTTAATTCGGATAACAAAGATCAGATTTCTTTGTGGAAATGGCGGATTGAAGATAGTTCCAACGATCATGATAAATAGAGAGCCAAGAAGTATACTGGCTCTGTAATTCTTCTCCAGACAGGCAGAAGATTTGAAGTTATCCACAAGCACTCCAGACAGTTGGATTTACAGCTCTGGGAGACAAGGTTATAGCCCTCCTGCTGAAATCACAATCAGACCCTTTAAAAGGAGACTGGGTTGATATACTTTCTTTCCTAAATTTTATTATATTTCTAATATAAGAACAAGATTCACACCCATAGAAGTTTATGTTTGAAATCTATTTCAAATGCTATTATTCATATTTCCTTTAAATCTTTATTGCTAATTTGACATATCAATGGCTGTATAAATGATTGAGTGTTTTTATTTGAAATATATTCCTATTCTCAGAAGAGAACAATATTAAGATATAATAATAGGCTCTTAAGAAAATTCACACATTTAAGCATGCATGCCTATCCAAAGAAATCCACAGAATCAGAATTTCATTAAAATAATAAAAGCAGTATCATATCATAAACTCCGCTTCTTTTGTATCCCCATGAGATCGCAACACATATACAAAAATGACAGACCTTGTGTCGTAACAGCATAACATCACTTTTGTCATTTTCATCATCTCTGTGCCTGACTTCAATATTATTTTTTTTAGCAATTCATTTAATGTTCTCACAGACTTTTTAGGTTCTGTTTCAAATTCTAGGAAATGTTTAACATTTTAATTCTTGTACTTAGCTTTAGTTCTTGATGAGCATTAATCATTCTAGTTTATATATATATATATATATTTATATATTACTATTACATTTCTGTAAATATAACCATAAATAAAGTTTATATATAATTTTATAAAATATGTCCACAAAGCACAGTACAAGGCTATGTTTGAGTATAATTAACATTAAACTCTGCTTAGAATTAATCTTTATCCAGTACCAACTGCCATTTAAAGTCGTTAGAAAGCAATTCACACTTTTTGGCAAATTCACATTTTTGACAAAATTACAAGTCTTAAATGTGGCTGATGAGATCACGGTCTCTTCTGACATAGTGTCCCTATTTACATCCATCTCTCCTCACTTAGCATACAAAGTAATAGATAAAAAACTAGAAGAGTTCAACACAGATCAGCACAACTTAATCAGACACAAATCATGAAGCTACTTCACAGTACTGCCAACATACCTACTTCACATTCAAAAGGGAAATATATGAGCACATAAAAGAGACACCAAGGGGATCCCCAGTATCAGGAGTCATCGCAGAAATTGTCCTACGTGAACTAGAACACTGTACATTTCAAAACTACATATCTAAATTTTGGTGCTGCTACGTGGACAACACATTTGTCATCATCAAAAGAAATGCAATGAAAGACTTTCATATCCTATTGAACTCCATCTTCCCAGACAATGGAGGAAGAAATGGCTGGATAATTACCATTTTTGGATGTGCTTGTCAACAGGCAGAAAAATGGAAGCCTAGAAACCACGGTTTATTGCAAGGTCACCAACACTGCATTTATTCTTAGTAACCACCGACTGTCACCCCAAAAGAGTTGTGCGAGAACACTATACGACAGGGTGAGAACCCACTATAGTACCCAGCAAACTAAACAACTGGAGAGAAGATATCTATATGAACAAAAAGGGTACCCACAACCATTTATTATAAGATGCATGCGCAACATGCAAGGAAATGAAGAAATAAGGTATAGGACCAACTATATGGCACACCCTGCCATACATCAAAAACATTATGAAAGCAGTAGAATGCAGCTTCCGATATCTGCAAGTGGGGATTGCACACCACCCAGAAGCTACCATACAAGGGCAAATCATGCATTGCAAAGATCACTTAGAAGTGGGAATACTTCTAGTCTAATCTACTGGATCCCTGCATGGATTGCCAATGTGACTATGTAGGACAGATTGGGAGGAAGGACTAGACTGCAAGAACACAAGCAAGCAGTCAGATGAGGAGACCTAAACTCATTGGTAGTTTCACATTGCAACAAATAAGGCCATACATTCAATTTCATAGCTACTAAGATTGTTGGCTGTGCAGGTACAAAGATTGCCAGGGAAATGATTGAAGGTTGGGAAATGGGCACTTTGTCAGTCAACAGAAGTGCTGATTTACCACCAGCTTATCAGGTCCCAGAGGTTTAGATCTTGCAGCAATTCACGCTGCTTAAAATTTTTCATTTGGCTATGCTATAGTCTAGTTATGATAAAAACAGATTTATGATTTTTTTAACATTGTTTTACAGCTGAAAAATGTATATCTAATAGTAACAATTATATTTTAATTTTGCAAAATATTCTATTAGTCACAACTAGGTTCAGAACACTAATAATCCTCGAAGTGATTACATTTTGGCAAATTATCAATAATAATATTAAGCGTCCACTCATATTTTTTATTTGTTTGACCATCAACTAAATAGGGTCAGACCTCGTTTGTGGTTGGAATGGGAGATCATAGAAAAATCCCTGAATTATAGGTAGTCCTTGATTTATGACTGGTTGTTTAATGACCATTCGGAGTTATGACAGCCTCAGAATGGGTGCTTGTTTTGAGGTTGTAGCAGAAGAGTGCAGCTATCATATAATTTTGACCAAAGATTGATATACTTGTTTTATCTGGGATGTCTGTCCTCTTCTATCAAGCTCAGGAGGGATGCACATACAGCAGTGAGGGAGGAAGAGGATACTCAACTATCCAGACAGATCAGCCAAATCAACCCTAGTGATCAGATATCGCAGCCAGATCGCTCTCACATCCAGAATGGGTGTTTATGGCCCAATGATTTGTGATGTCTTTTGCCAGTTTCCATACAGTACAATGGATTTGAACTTCCAACTGCATGACTTGCTTAATGACCCAATAATTTGCTTAATGAATGCCATAAAAATGGTTGTAAAATTGGGTCTGGGCACATGGTGCCTTGACTTATGACCATCAAGACTTATACCCAAAATTCCAATCTAAACTGCATTCATAATTCGAGGACTATCTGTACAGTAGTTTTTAACTTACAAAAGTTCATTTAGTGTCTGTTCAAAGTTACTGAAAGTTACTTATGACCATTTTTCACACTTATGACCATTGCAGCAGCCCCATAATCATGTGATTTACATTCAGATGCTTGACAACTAACTCACATTTATGATGGTTGCAGTGCCCCAGAGTCACGTGATCCCCCTTTGCAACTTTTGGACAAGCAAAGTCAAGGGGGAAACCAGATTCACTTAACAACCATGTTACTAATTTAAGAACTGCAGTGATTCATTTAACAAACGTGGGGAGAAAAGTTGTAAAATGGGGCAAAACTTACTTAACAAATTTCTCTCTTAGTAACATAAATTTTGGGCTCAATTGTTATCGTAAGTTGAGGACTACCTGTGTAGGCTAGAATCTGAAACTGAAAAACATTCTGAAAAAAGGTAGTGACAAACTTTATTTTAATGCCATAAACATTTATATGGACATACCCATAAATTCTCCAAAGCTAGTAACAATTTAAAAGAGAATTTACATCTCAATTTTCCTAGTCTAATAAGTCTTAGTGAATACAAAATAAAACAATTAAGAAACTGGGTTTCACATGTCATTAATTTTCCACTTTAAGACTTGCTTTCAAAGAAAAAAATGAAATGAAAAATGAAATTTAAAAGTTGGCAAGAATGTAGTTTAAAAAGTCCCAAAAAGATTTTTAAAAAGTTCAAATAGTAAAGCGAGTCTAAGAAAAATATTTAATTTAATCGCAATTAAAACAACAATAATAAAATAACTGTCAACTCTACAATGAGCGCAGCTGCAGCCATTTTTTCCTCTCATTCTAGGTTGCCACATAGAACGGAGGGAGGGGAGTGGCCCAGGTGCTTTGTTAGTCAAAATAATATTTTGTCCTGTGGGAACCAAGGTCATCTACTGCTCCCGCGACTAGGAATTGGGTGTTGCATAAAAAAGCCCGTCAGATGAAAACATTGGGGAACATAGTTGCTTGCATAGTTTTTTGGGTGGGAGATTATATTAATTGGGTAATTGTTGTGTATTTAGACTTGGCTTCACTTTTGACCGTGCTGATACTTTGTAATTAATAAACATGTTCTTTGAGGAAATTTCAAGCCTCAGAGTTCTGCTTTATTTGACTTTGTTTGTTGGAACCATAACATTAAACTAAATCTCCTAAAAAATGTGTTTTTTCGGGGTGCTGGGCTCCACCGCCTACTCATCCTTTGGGAGAGTGGTAAAGACTCAGTGAAGATTTGAAGACGGAAGAAAAGAATGGAGCTGTTGCTGGCCGCAAGGGAACTCCGGCTGTCGGAGCGTAAGCAGCCACTCCAGCCAAGGAGGCGTCATTTGGCAGGGGCTCAGCCAAAATCCAGGTTGATCAACCTGGGAAGCTGGTACTGCAGGGGGGAACTACAATCTTGGCGGACCTCTATCAAGCCGAGGCTGCCCCTCAGAGCAGCACTCCTGTAGCCGCTGAAGAGGAACTCCTGTTGCTGCCATCCCAGGGGTTTTCATTCGCGGCATACCATAAGGGAAAGGGATCGATCAGAGGGGACGACTCCAGAGACTGGAAGTTCCAGTCCGCAGTCCATAGCCTCTTGTTCGAGCAGCTGAAGAAGTTAGGCAGGTTGGAGATGATGGGTCCCATCGCCCAGGATGTGCCATGGGGGGGGGGAATGCCAAGGGCTACCCATCTCTTCCCCCCCTTGCCTGTTCCCCAGCCAGCTGTGCTATCAAGCCCTATATTCCAGCCAAGCTTGCTGCCTTGTTCTCAGGCTGCCAGTCCAGGAGCCCGGCAAAGGGAAATCCGGAGAGTGGTTCACCACATCCCCATGACCAACAAGCAGCCAGCAGCAGGTGCAGGCAGCACCGCCGAGATTTGAGCCGCCTCCCATCAAGCTCACCTTTGATGGGGACCCCAAGAATCTAACCTTCCTAAATCAGGTGTGGGCTCATCTAGATCGTTACGCTTATGCCTACCTGGATGATTCCATGATGATGAATGCTGTGGTGGCCAATTTAGAGGGGGAAGCAGCCGACTGAGTGACCAACTGCCATGATGAAAGGCCTCCTGAAATGCAGGATGCTAACCTATTCATGGAGCAGCTGAGAGGCCATTTTGAAGATAAACCCCAAACCCTGCTGGCCGAGAAGGAGATCCATTGTCTGAAGCAAAGAGACCGCTCTGCTAAGGAATAAGTTTGTGAATTCAGAAGAATTACTGGTTGGCTGGGGCAGTGGCCGGAATGATTGTTGATTAATTACTTCAATCAGAGGTTAGACCATGACTTACTCCAAGCCTGTATCTATCGGGGCTTTCCCAACCAATTGCGTGAGTGGTACAGCATGGCGATGATACTGGACATCGAATTGGAACACCCCAGAAAGCCAGGCACAGCCGAACCCAAGCCACCGTGCATCCAGGAGAAACATCTCTTTGGCTGATGTTCTCAAGCCACTACGACCATCAGTGTCCCCCAAGCCAGGGCTCCTATCAAGTGCTACCAATGTGGTCAAATGCATCACCGTGCTGTGGAGTGCCTGGGTCCTAAACCCCAACCCAGAAGCACACCAGTTGTCACTGCAAACTGGCGAAAAGGTCCCAGAGGAGGAAGAGAGAAGACAAACTGGGCACGTCAAGACCCGGTCATCAAGGCCTCCCCCCCAATCGAGCTCGAGGCAAAAGCCTGGTCTGAGCCACAGCAGATGCTGGTGCTTTACAACAGTGATGAGGAAGGCGAGGAGGATCCGATAGTAAATCAGCCCATCCTACCTTTTGCCATCCCCAAGATAATAGTACCCAAAACCGGGGCCCAAATGGACTTAAACATTTTAATAGACTCAGGTTGCATTAGGTGCTCAAGCTGGGAATTTAGGCAAGGCTGTTACCCCTAGCCATGAGATTTGAACAAGCTGACGGATCCCTTATTGGCGGTGCACCTGCCACGCACCTGACAAAACCAGTGTGATTGGAAGTGGGTGAGCATTGGGAAATCATCCGTTTTGTGGTGGTCCCAAAAATGACTGAGGCTGTGATTTTGGGCCTGGCTCGGCTCGACAAATGGCGCCCAAACATCTGGTGGGAGAACGGAGTGAGGAATTTAAGATTGGGAATAGGACCTTTCCCACCTGCCACCAGCAATGATACAAAGGACTACACCATAAATGAGGATCAGGAGGCACTAAAGGCTGTTGTAGAAAAGGCACTAAAGGCTGTTGTAGAAAAGCTGCCAGGAATCCAGCTTATCCCAGCTGAATACCGTCATTTAACTGAGACATTTAGTGAGAGAGTGCGACACTCTTCCCCCCCCAAGGGGCTACGGACTGCGCCATTGAAATCTTACCCGGGGCCAAGCTCCCGAAGCCAAAAATGTATTCAATGACGCCCAGAGAGATGAAGGAGTTAAGAGAGTACATTGACAGGAACCTGGCTCGGGGTTTTATCCAACCAGCAAAATCATGTGTAGCAGCCCCTGTATTGTTCAAAGAAAAGAAAGATGGGTCATTGAGATTATGTGTGGATTTGAAAGGATTAAACACTGTCAGCACAGAGAACATGTACCCCCTTCCCTTAATGAAGGACATGTTGGCTCACCTAGCAAAAGGGAAAGTTTTTAAAAAGTTGGATTTAAGAGAGGCTTATTACCGTGTCCGGATTAAGGAGTGGGACTAATGGAAAACCACCATCAATTGCCCCCTGGGAAGCTTCTAATTTAAAATGATGCCTTTTGGACTACAAGGAGCCCCTACTGTATTTATGCAGTTAATCAACCAGGTGCTCCATGATCACTTGTATAAGGGGATTTAGTTTATCTTGATGACAAAATGATTCTCGTTTATACTGAGACTATGGAAGAGCACATTAAATTGGTCCACATAGTGCTGAGGAAACTACTAAAGGTTAAACTGTATGCAAAACTATCTAAATGTGAGTTTCACCAGACACATCTTGACTATCTAGGGCAGTGGTTCTTAACCTTTTTGAACAAATCGCCCCCTTGAGCCAATGAGTTGTCATCGCCCCCCTCTCAATCACAACGTAAGAAATAATTCTTCAATTTATGCAAACACTTTTTTGTTTTCTTTAAAATTGTCATCTGGACAAATCGATGCAAATAATTTATTTCCAGTCTTTTTCCCATATCTCAACTATGTGAAAAAATTTGGTGCCACCCATCACTTTATTCCCAAACTTCGTGATACATGTATTTCATTATTATCTTATTTATTCAAGACACTTAAATGTAATGACCACTGAAAACAAAATTCAATTGCAAGAAAGTAAAATGCCTGAAAAGAAAAACAATAACATTTAATGATTGAATTACAAGTGAAATTTAAGACACAAAAAGAAATATAAAAAGGGTAGAGGCTGCTGCGCAACGTGCATGAAGATAAGCGATGCGTATTCACATATGTACGGCGTTCTGTACTGAAGCTAGCTGGAGGAATATTTGAAAACACAATTCAATCCACCAATAGCGAGTGATCTGATGTTTTTGTATGACAGATATGCAGCGATTCACTGTACGAAAAAGTCTCAAAAGTGTCCCCAAATCTTCTCGCTCCATCGCCCCCATATCGCCCCCTTTTTGTTCCTTCGCCCCCGCACTGCCCCTTTTCATTCCATTGCCCCCCTGAAAAATGAAATCGCCCCCTGGGGGGCAATATCGCCCAGGTTAAGAACCACTGATCTAGGGTACCGAATTTCAAATGAGGGAATAGAGGTGGATTCTGTAAAAGTGAAAGCTGTATTGGAATGGCAACCCCCTCACACCCATAAACAACTTCAAAGCTTTCTGGGGTTTGCTAACTTTTACCGCCAATTTATCCCCTTTCACAAAGATAGCCATGCCAATAATCAACTTACTGAAAATGGGAGGGAGGGGGGAACCCCAACTTGTCAGCCATTGCCATGGTCCCTAGAATATCAAGCTGCATTCGAGAAACTAAAAAGACTCTTTGCAGCTGAACCTGTTCTCAAGCATCCTGACCCTGAAAAGCAATTCATCATTCAAGCCAATGTGGGTGATGTGGCTGTCTTCTTACAAAAAAATCACCAGGGGGAAGTACAACTCTGCGCTTACACTTTCTGAAAGCTGATTGACACAGAGGAGTTGTGCCATTTGGGAGAAGGAGGCTTTTGCGGTGTGATGGGCATTACTGACTTGGCACCACTTCTTGGAAGGGGGGGGGGAGATACCTTTTGAAGTGTGGACTGATCACAAAAATCTGAAAGTTCTGAAAATCCCCCATAAATTATCCCCGAAACAAATTCGGTAGGCTCAATACTTGAACCATTTCAATTTCACCTTAAAGTATCTTCCAGAGGATAAGAATTTTTTTGGCTAATGTTTTGTCTAGGATGCCGCAGTTCAAATGCCACCGAGAGGAAATAATTAATTCTTTCATTCCTCTACTGCACGGCTGTCAAACCCGCCACGTCACATCATGTTACGTAACATATTGTGATTTTTTTCGTATTGCCGGAGCTGGGGTGGGCGCAGCCTCCGTATGATGCAACCAGCCTGTGGGCCGGCAGTTTGACACCTCTGCTCTACTACAATCTGCCTCTCAAATAACCACTAGAGCTCAATTGTGAAAGCAATCCATCAGTCCTGATGACTGCTCTTTAAGACCTATTCCAAAGAAGCCGTCGGGTCCAATAGTGGTGGAGGGGAAACACATTATGAAATAAAATGAATACTTGATTCTAGGTTGTACAAGGAGAAGTTACAATACCTTGTTCAGTGGAAAGGCTATCCACTGTCAGAAGCTACATGGGTGAAGTGTACAGATGTGAAAGCAGAAAGGTTAATAAACAAATTTTACAACAAACATCCTCACAAGCCTCGAGGAAATACCTAATGTGCTCTTTGTTTCCCCTACAGGAGTCTCTTTCCTTTTAAGAGGGGCCGACTGTCAACGCTACAATGAGCGTGACTGCAGCCATTTTTTTCCTCTCATTCTAGGTTGCCACTTTATAACTAATAAACATGTTGTTTGAGGAATTTTCAAGCCTCGGAGTTCTGCTTTATTCGTCTCTATCTGTAGGAAACATGACAATAACACTGATTGGCTGCTTTCTTCCATATCTGTGATTACATTCAAAATTAACTAGTTCTGAATATGCTACACTAGCTATACCATTCTCTCAGAAATAATTGATAATAACTATATGGACACCTTTGTTCTCCCTTTATTCTGCAATGTACTTATAGAAAAAGTGCTAGTAAGAGCACTGAAACTCTCAAGAGTCCAAATTTCACTAGCGTTTGTTTCCTGCATTCATTCACACATTATGAATTACTGTAAGATCATGTTTCAGTTTATTTTAGTTCCCTGCATTTGTGAATAAAACTGGGTATACTTTATGTCCACGAGACACTCAAACTGCACAGCCAGTGCAGTTCTCTTAATAAAACTGCCTAATATCTATGATTCCAGTACCAATCTTTCTTGTGCAATATATAAAGATAAACAGAAATCAAAGGGAATGATCTACAAGTGAAATGTGTCGATTTTTTGTGAATTATCCTGGTCTTGAAAATACTGTTGTTTGTTTCATTTTTATGAAAATATTCAGAATACCTGGTGGTTTAGTTGTTCCTCTAGATTGATTTTTGCTGCCTGTAAGCTGGTTATCAATTCCTCAAGACGATTATGAACCTAGATCACCACAAAAGAAATTGAAAGTCATTATGCAAGTTACAAATGTCTTCAGTCTTCAAAAATTCTCTAAAAATCTTTTTTATTATTTACATTCCTTACTATTGTTACATTCATGATTTCAATAATTTTAATTAATGTATGACTTCTGAAAATGAAGAAAACTAATTCACTATGCCATATTACTTCTCTGAAATATTATATTTTTAAAAATTATAAAATTCAGTAAAGCAATTAAATATGAAATCTTATTTCTCCAAAATATTATGGCTGACTTACAGAAACACTATCCTGTAGGTCTTTTTGAAGTATTTCAATTCTATTACTTTGTTGGTTTGTTGTAGCTTCCAATCTGGCATTTTCTATTTCAAGTCTTAAAAGAAAAACACATAGTCTCAAAACAAAATACAAATTAACTATATTTCTCCTTCTTTATGTGTTTCAATGATTCTAAACCATATGTAAGTATAAACTGCAGAATAATTTTTTATGAATTCTTATAATTTAGTACATTTAAATTTCAGCATGTTTTACCTCTGTATGTGCTCTTCTAATTGTTTTATAGCATTATTTGTTCCCGATGATGCTACTAGAAAATCCTGTAGTTTCTGAGATGCCGCACTTGCTTCACGCTCTTTAATATCCAAAGCATGTCTTAATTCATGAGTAGATCTTTCACACTGGATAGTCTGTACTTCTGAATCTTGCAACTGTAAAATTTGAGAGCCAATGTGGCTTAGCTAAAAATAGGTGCAATGTGCTCCTGCTATGATATAACCTACTACACACAGCCTAGTCACCTCATCCTAGACTCTTGTAGTTTCTAAATCTCCTTCAAGGGCATCTCTATACAGAGTGCGCTGCAATAATTTTACTGGGAAATAACTAGTGGGTAGATCATAGAAACAACATAATCTCATTTCATGCACAATGAAACATCATGAACAAATGGCAAATAGGCACTTTTTATCAAAAAGCATATCCACAACTGATCCTTTGAAGAAAGAACAAAACAGGAAAAGTCCCTTCCCGTTTGCATTGTCTTCAATTTGGCTCAAGCAACAACTCAATAATCTTAGCATACTTGATCCCGATGGAAAGAAGAAATCTGAATATTATCTGCATAGAGGGGGCACCCAGACCTATAATTCCTGATAATCACTAATGCACTGATTACATAGAGAGGTTGAGTAGCCTGGGGGACACCATAAACTTTATGCATTCCACAGTATAAATGCCAGAGAGCCGAATAGTATTCTATTTTCTGGAAGGTATTCTCAATGTAGGAACAGAATCATGGCAAAATTATTTTAAAAGCTAATGCATCAGAAAGTGTTAGATATCATTTCTTCTGCTCCCATAGTAGAAGATATAAAGCATTTAATAAACTGTTGCAAGCATACCTTACATTTCATCCTTTCTACTTCCTTCAGAAGTTGCTGTTTATCCTCCTCCAAGTCAATACGATAACGTGTTGAAACTTCCAGTGAAGCTTCTGTCATGGATTGCTTTTTGAGGGAATCTGCAAGTTCTTGCTGCAATTGCCTTATTATACTCTATAAAGATTTTTAATGAAATAATTAATACAAAATAGACTGAAAGGATTGCATTTTAATTCATCTAATATTTATAATAGGTACAAGAATGTTCAATTACATATATTTATATGAGTTTGTGCGGGTTCAATATACAAGTATAGTTTTCCTTCCTGATCAATATCAACCAAAGCAATGAACAACCATTTACTAGCAGAAGGAATGCAAAGATAAATTATTTAAAATAAAGTCCATTATTACCATATTCAAATAATATAGTGTCTCTGAAGGAAAATTAAGCTTAGTTTAGAAATCTGTATCCTGAAAAATGATTGCATCAATGAAATTGACAGAACATAAATCATGCTTACCTCTCTATCTATTTTCTCAGATTCATATTTAATGACTTGGTCCTTTAAATTATTACATTTTGTGATTAATTCTTTATTTCTCTCTTCCATCATCTGAACTTGCTTTTCAGTATCAGCTCTAAGTTTATTAAAAATATCACTGAATTTATCTTGAACATCAGTCACCACTTTTTCTTTGATAATGCCTTTGTTTTGAAAATCTTCAAGTTGTTGTCGAAGTAAGAGATTTTCACTTTGGACCTGTGCTAAACGTTCTTGCATAGATTCCTGTTTTATTACAAATTTGTTTATTTGATCTTTTGCAATTTGTTGTGCATTTTCAAGTTCTTTCACTTGGCACTGTGACTGGTTTACATCTTTTTGAATACTATCTAACAGCAAATTCTTTTCCCGGAGACTGTGATTTGCATGGTGAAGCTCATTTTCTAGACTATTAGCTTTACTTTCAGCTTTCCCTAACTGTTGAGACAAGCTACTGTTTGTTTCTCGTAGAGTACATACATCGTGATTCAATTTGTCTTTTAAGCGGAGCCATTCATCCTTCTCTCGCTGAAGCAATCGTTCAAGATCACTTTTTGATACCTGACAACGATCAACTTCCTGAAGAGCAGAACTCAAACGACAGCGTAGTGAATCAAGTTCTATTTCCAATCTTTCTTTATTTTCCTTCATATGTTCCAATTTGGATGCTACCATTGCAACCTCAGTTTTTGATACATTTATTTGTCCATTGTATTGAAAAACTGTTTGAGTCAAAGCGTCTTCATTTAGTTTCAGTTCTTTTTTAAGTTCTTCATTTTTTTCTTTCAAACTTTCATTTTCTTCCAAATATTTGCTTTCATCCTCCTGATGTTGAATCCTGATGCGATCAAGTTCTAATTTTAACGCACCAAGTTCATCTTGGAGTATTTGATTTCTGTGTAATAATTCTTTTTCATGGTCATGATTATCAATCATCTGAATATTTAATAAGCAAAAGAATAACAAATAAGTAAATTGATAGAATCCAGAGATATAAGCTACATTCTAGGACATCAGACAAATTTATGTTGGATAAAAATTATCAATCAACAGGTAACACTCAGAATGTCTAAATATTACCTCCAGAAATGGACACATTATGTCTCTCATGAGTTCCTAAGAGAAACGATGTGGAAGGTGCTGCTACACATGCATTCGGCTTGTGGCTCTCTAACCCATTCATCAAACACTTTGGGAACAGAAATCTGGATAGTTTTTGTCTGAACAATAATTATTTTTCATTCTTATAGGGCATAACAGATGTGTCATAGCATAACAACTATGTATTTTCTTTTCAAAATAGTATAGTCCTTTCTAATTTTCTTAACTTTAATCAATTTTAGTCTATCATAGAGATCATTTAAAGAGAAAAGGTTTGTAGCAACATAAAAAATCCTCTCAATTTCTTAACTAAAATTTAATTAGAAATTACATTTATTAAGTTTATTTATAAACCACACTTCTAAAGCCACCAACTTCATAGTCTATCTATAGAACTTGAGAGAGAACTGAACTAACAAAAATAAGAAACAAATTCCACACTGTGCCTTTTTCTTTAACAGTTATGTAAAAATGTGTTTCTTGCGATTATACTCCCAAAGTTTTAAATACAGGTAGTTCACAATTTATGACCATGCATCCAGCAATGGTTTGATGTTACCCTGGTGCTAAATGAAAGGTCTTATAACGCATGACTGAATTTATGGCCATCGCAGTGCCCTACATAATTGTAATCTGGGCACTTGACAAGCTATTCGTAGAGGAAGCTGGCAGGGAAAGTTGAAGGCCACCACCACCTGCCGGGATGACTCTTTCTAATCTCTGGGGGCTGGTTGAAAAAGATCCAGGCTAAAATCCAAGTAGGATTTTGAGCCACAGAGCAAAGAGGTTTCCAAAATCTCTCTACTTTCTGGCTGACAATCTTGCTTGGATTTTGGCATGAAGGATTTTCAGTCCTAACTAAAACAGACTTGCCTCTTTGCTTAAGGGCTTAAAATCCTCCATGTCAAAATACAAGCAGGATTTTCAGCCATGGAGGATTTTAAGCTCCAGAATGGAGAGGTTTCAGAAAACTTTCAATTCAGTGCTGAAAATCCAAGCAGCTTTTAGGTCCAAAATTCCCATGCAATTCCTCACTCCATCCTCTACTTGACAGTTCCTGGGACTTGCATTTTCTGCTGGCTTCCCCACTGACTTGATTGTAGAAAGCCTGCAGGCAGTTGACTCATCTAACAGAGTATTCAGTTAATGACAGCAATGGGGACTGCCTGGATTGCTGTTGCTAAACAAAGCAGTTGCATTTAGAATCGTATCAGTTAATGATGCAAATTCCAGTCTCAATAATCAATAGTCGAGGACTACGATGAATATTTTTTAATTAGAAAACAACTAAAATGAACTGTAAGGTAAGAAAAAGTCTCCTTTGGGTCACTTGATTCCTAGTAAATTCATGGTGCCATCCATGAGTTATCTTTGCGATAATATGAAAAAATGTGTTGTCTACAAGATGTTTTACAACTGCTGTCTACAAGATGTTTTACAATTTATTAATCTAGTCTATTGTTAATATTCCCTGAGAATCTCCCAAGCAAAGATTCATCAAACTTGATTCAGTTTGTGTTCCAAGATTAAACAAATTCAGCCACCTCTTCTATTTAATGAGGCCATAAAATGAATACCTGCTCTCTTAAATAATTGAAAAATATTTTTCTCTAAATTACATCATCATTAAAAAAGCTAAAGGAAGATTTTATGTCTAAACAAATAATTAATTTGAAATACTAGTCATTAATACTGATTCTTCCTGAATCACAGGTTTTAAATATACATAATAATTTAAGATTTAATTACTGATTTATAAAATTATGTCCTTTTTACTTAAGATATTGAAGATAATTTACCATGTCCCCTCTCCCATACATGCATGCAAATATATAAGGGCAAAATCCCTAAATAATTATCAATTAATAGAAGCTATCAATAATGCAGTCCTATCTCCCTTAGGGTCCATACATTTTGTGGTGAAAAAAATTATGAGCCTTCATAAAAGTCAGTAAACTGGAAGGATCACATATTTCAAGCAGTAAGATGCTCCAGAGTATGGAACAGGCACTTTGAAGGCCTCCAACCTCTTCCCCTCACATAGAATGAAAATCCTTAGCATCTGTTCCCTGGACATACAAACAGGGTGGGTTGAAACTAACAGAGATAATTAATTCCATCCTATGTAATATCTAGCAGCTAAACCACACACAGAACTTTACAGATAATGACCAGAATTTTTATTTGTAGTCACTGAAACCGAAAACACTTGATATGCAGTTCTATATTTTTGAAATATTTGGTAAAGTGGATACCTCTGAGTGTTTGCTTGCTACTTTTTTTGATTCTTCTTCCAATTCCTTCTGCCTCCAGAAGTGAGTATTTAAAATATCTTCTTGTATGGCTCTGGCATTTTGTTCTTGACAAAGTTGTCTCTGTGTTTCATTACGTTCTTCTTCCACCTATAAAATGTCAGTCTTATAGTAAACTAACAAACTGACTGGTTTGTTATGGTATATATTTTCATGGACTAGAAAACATTTAATTAGATTCACAGGTTATGCTGATCTGACATATTGTGCTTGTGTATACAGTCACAAATATAAGGAATTGAAGTTGTATTAAATCAAAGAATACAATACAGTATATGTAATATAGATACTGACAATTGAGCAACTAAATAAAAAGATCACCAACACTAATAGTTAAACATAGGTAAAGTAATTACTAAGAATATTAGAAATTGTTAATAAACAGTCATTTTGGCAGCAAAATGTTAGTCATTATCTGCTGCTTAATAAAATATGGATTTCTAGTCATTTAGACCTGGTGCTCTTTTATACATGTTCCTTATGAACAGATAGTTTTCTTAACCATCAAAGTAATTGAGAAAGTATTTATTCATGCTAAAAATTTGGTTAAAACTAAGTAATTGAGTAACTGATAAGGACTATTACATTTTCTGAAATATGTTTCAATCTTATGTAGCATTTAAAAGAAAAAAACACAAGCTTGTGATATTCTTTTCAGAATGTATTTATTCTACTGAATAAATATAAAATATTATATACTGCTTTTAGAACAAGCTTACCATTTGTCGAACAGCATTCACAAGGTTTAGTAATTCTTGAGGGGTTTTAGTAAAACCTACATCTGTTGTACTTGGTGGGAAATTAATCTTCTTTAAATTATTTTCTTTTACAGGAGGAAAAGAAAAGGAAAAGCTAGGAAGCAAGCTTCCCTGATAACTAGTAGGTATGTTTCTTCTGACCAAAGGATTGTAAGTATTAGAGCTTCCCAAAGAAGGGCTGGAGAATGAAGAGATCAATTCCTGATTAGGCTGATCAGATTTTTTTGTTATATAAAAATCAGGATATCCTTGGCAGTTTGCCTCATCCTCCATAGCTCCCCAATTATGATATTTCTATATATAATCTGAACAATTCATCATTTTTAGTAATTTGATTTGGTGTTGACCATATGATTTTTGAGCCTCCTGCATATTCATTATGCTACCCTACTAAGGCAGTTATTGCTCACTTTAACAGACAGGATATTTAGCAAAAGATTCTCAAATTTGCTGCTTCCTCAATATCAAAAGAAGAAACTGACAAAAAAAATTATTAAATTTGAATTTGTGCAGATTACGCCCCTGCTATTGTTTGAGCGAAAACATTAGAACATGGATAGAATCTGCAAAGCTACTTTAATAAGTATTGGCATATCCAATCTCCTTGCTTCAGCTGACATCATAAACAACATAATGTCTCCATGTAATTATGAGGTCACTAAAATTCTTTTAAGTCTATTTTGTTTTTGCTCTCACAGCTTTTTCTTGATTATAAGCAAAATGCACAAGAAAGATCTGTATTTTCAAATTAAAAATGTTTAATTTTTAATTCTAATTTTTCTAAAAAGAAAAAAGTATTTAAATGAAGTACCTACTTAATTTTCAGCTACTGGATATCTGATTGATCAAAGAAATGTGGTTAAGTAGCAAATCAAAATTTTTATATAATGGGTGAGTAGTAATTTGTAACAAACTCAGAAGTATGCAATTCAGTTCTATGCATGTTATTTTTTCCACATAATTTTCCTTATACCTGGTCACAACCCTAATGTTGTGGCCTACCCCATCCCCCAGTTCCCAAGGTCCAGTACCTCACATAGTAGTGAATGACATCCTTCCCAGGGAAAAGCTAGGAACACTGAGGCACTTCAGGTCTATTGGTTCTCAGAGCCATCAGGGTACCCAGTAAACATCTCCCCTATTCACCTTACAAATGCTCACACACATACAAAAACACATGCAGAGTAACACCAACAGGGACCCACCAGCACTACCACTCTCACCCAGTATCTAGGGTTTCCTTCTCATTCACTCAATCCAATCAGCCCCCTCATCAGGAACTCACTTCAAGGGAGGAACTCACCTTAGGAATTTCATGATGTAGTTGCTTTTAAAGACAGATTATGTTAATTATATCATATTTCAAAATATGACAGAATGGGTATGGGGTGATAATAAATTCCATAATCCCATTCTGGCTTAATTTGTCCTACTTTTAGCTTTTCTAATGTTTCTCTTAAATAAAACTTGTAATTCTCAACAGTATTATATTTTTGCCACATACTAAGCAAACCACAAAAGTCTCTTATTTTATTATCATGGTTATGTCAACTGGTGTAAGTCCCTAACTAGGTCCTATTGGATCTATCAAACAGAATATCTTCTAGAATAAGAATTTCATTGCGAATACAGTATTATTATAGAATGAGTATCATAGAGCAGCTGGGATAAAAAGAGGAATATTTTCTTTACTATTCATATTCTTTGGCTGATTAAATCTCTGCACTGGTTGTCCCAAGGTGATAAGAAAACTTTCAATAAAAGGTTCACTTTTGTTCTGGGAACATTCTGCCATATCCCTGATGTATCCATCCAGGATGCTTGATTGTGTGCTTTTATTTTTTCTATTCTAAGTCTTACTGACAAATTGAACACCCGACATCACCTGACCTTGATGGTATTCTCCCAAGAATTATTAAGGACCTTAATAAGACTGTGGACCTTCTAACTAAAATTTGCAACCTATCTCTATACTTAGCCTTTACTCCTTGAAAACTGGAAGGTGGCCAACATAACTCCATTTTTTTAACTCCATCTCATGAGGAGATTCAGGAAATTATAAGCCTGTCATCTTAACATCTGTTCTGTTAGTGGAAGCTACTATTAAAGATAAAATTAGCAAGCACTGTTGACACAGGCTTTGCTCAAAGATCACCAACATAGCTTTACTAAGGAAAGATTTTATCTCCTAAAGTTTTTTTTAAAGATGTTAATACACATATCGATAAGGGTGAGACAGCAACATTATGTAGTTTTTTCAAAAAGCCTTTGATAAAATCTGTCATCAAAGTTTTCTCAACAAGCTTAACAAGCATGGAATATAAAGGACAATCTTTTTTTTGATAACAACTGGGTAAAGAATAGGAAATAAATGGACATTTCTCACAATGGATGGATATAACTAACAGCACTTCCCAGGGTTCTGTCACAGGACTGGTGCTTTTTAATATATTTAACATACTTATAAATGATCTGGAAATGGATGTGACTAGTGGAACTGCAAAATTTGCTGATCACATTAAATTGTTTAGAATGGTAAAAACAATAATGGGTTGTAAAAAGGTTCAAACAATTATCTGCGCATTAGGAAACTGGGGACCGAGCATCCAAGTAGCAGTTATCATTCAACATGAGGATTGTAAAGTGATGGATACTGGTGCCAAAAATGGGATCACACTAGTAGAGACTAATAAGGAAAAGAGATCCTGCAGTAATTGTAAACATTTCATTGTAGTTATTAACACAGAGTATATCTCTTGTAAAAAAGGCCACACCATGCTGTGAATAATAAGAAATGACACCGAAAGAGAGATGCCAATATAACATTCTTATGTAAATCAATTGTGCAATTGTAGCTAGAATACTGTGTGCAGTTCTGGCTGCTGCACTTCAAAACAGATATAGTGGACAAGAAAAAGTTCAAATAAGGGGCACTAAGAAGATCACAAGTACAATAGCTTTCCTATGAGGAAAGGCTGTAATGGGACTTTTTAGTCTACAAAGTAGACAAAGGAGAGGAGATGCAATTGAATTGTTTAAAATTACACATAATGTGGAATAAAGTGGACAAGGAGAAGCTAATTTCTGCTTCCCAAAATACTAGAAACAGAGATTATCCAATGAATCTGAATTGCATCTGAAAAGATCAGGACAAATAAAAGAAAATACTATTTTTGCACAACAGAGAATTAAACTTAGTAATTTGCAGCCATATGATATGGTGCTAGCTACCAGACTGATTTGCTTAAAAAAACAGGCTGGACCAATTCATGGAAGTCATGGTGATCAATGGTTATTAACCTTGATAGCAGTCTAACTCTCTCTGAAGTCAACAGGTGGGAGATTGCAGGGCTTCCTTGTGCAACTGGTTGGCCATTGTGAAAGCAGATTATTGGGCCACTGCTAATCTTTATGTTCTTATGAGAAAAATAAAGATATAGATAAAAAGCAGCTAATAGCAAAAATTACCATGGGATAGAATGTCTGAGAGCTGTCACAAAGTACAGAGATTAATGTCTTTCAAAATGAAAAAGGCAACTCATCATAGAAGACAGAAGCTACCTGCAATTAAAAAAAGCTTATCCTAAATTGCGTTTTTGTATGTGTATATTTTTATATTTAACTGATTTTTCTAAAATTTCAACAATAATATTTATTCACGCATAAAATATTAAAATAAAGGGAACCTTTTTGAAAATCACATTAGAGTAGTTTTTGTTTAACAACGGCAATTGGGACCAGAATTGCAATTGATGAGCAATGCAGTCATAAATACAACATTACATGACCGTGCCTCTTAGTGATGGAAATTCCACCAATCCTGGCTGCTGAGCTAAATGAGTCATTAAGCAAGGATTTCTTGCTGGCTTCCCCAATGATTTTGCTTGGGAGAAGCTAACAGGAAAAGCTGAAAATCATGGTTACATGACTGTAGGTTGCTGTAGGTTACATCATAATTATAAAACAGGTGATGAATGTCTCGATCACTATCACATCATTGTGGAGATGCTGCAAGAACTGGAACTCTGAGAACTGGTCATAACCACCACTCGTTGATGCTACTGCAAATTTAAATTTAAATGGACGGTAAACAAGAGGTCATTAAATGAGGGCTACCTGTATAAGTCAATTTATATTAGAAAGAAGGAAAAAAGTGCAAAACTCTAATTACAAAACATATTTCTATCGATTGATGAGAGTACCAAGCAGTATTTCAAATGTAAACTACTTTAAGACTTTCACAAAATTTCACCCTGTCTTCATCATCCCCCCTTTTTATTTGTTTTGCTCCCTTTCTATTAACAGAGTAGCCATGAAAGTGCTGCTACCTTAGAGAGGGTATTAAGTTTTCTCAGGCATTGCCAGTTTATATTAGTTCTATTACTTGCTGACACTTATACTGCTTGTTTTTTTTTTTGCTGATGAGCAAAGGATTTACCAGATAGGCCAGTGATGGCGAACCTTTTAGAGACCGAGTGCCCAAACTGCAACCCAAAACCCACTTATGCATTCTTGAGTGCTGGGTGTGCGTGGCCCATTGGGTGGGTATGGCCAATTGGGTAGGCTTGGCTGCGGTGGTAACAGCAGACTGGGTGGGACTAAAAAGTTCAATCAATCAATTCCAACTTTGCAAGATCTTTTTTTTCCCACGAGAAGTTGAAATTGACTCATTGATTGAACCTTTTTTTTTTTTTGCACACGGCGGCAGAGGCCTAAAGCAAAAAGGTTTTATAAAACCCAGCTGAAGGCCTAGGACTGGGGTGACGGCGTGCGTGCCACAGAGAGGGCTCTGAGTGCCGCCTCTGGCACCTGTGCCATAGGTTCGCCACCACTGAGATAGGCACTATTCTTCTATAAAGGACTTTCTGGGAAGCATGCTGTTCTAGAAGCTTTAAAACAGTGGTTCTCAACCTTCCTAATGCTGCGACCCTTTAATACAGTTCTTCATGTTGTGGTGACCCCCAACCATAACATTATTTTCGTTGCTACTTCATAACTGTAATTTTGCTACTGTTATGAATCATAATGTAAATATCTGATATGCAGGATGTATTTTCATTGTTACAAATTGAACATAATTAAAGCATAGTGATTAATCACAAAAACAATATGTAATTATATATTGTGAAATATTTATTTCTAATTACAAATAAATGAAATTTTGTCTTGAAGCATGGGTGCCAAATCACACCTTCAGCTGCTCTACCTATGGCTCTGAAGGGAGACCTGACCTTTTCTCTTCTTCCCTTGCCCTACAACACACACACATACACAAACACATTTTCCAGGGTCACGTGATCGCCTTTTGCAACCTTCTGACTAGTAAAGTTAGTGAGGAAACCAGATTCACTTAAGAACCAAGTTACTAATTTAATCTCTCTCTCCCTCTATTTCTCTCTTTCCCTTTCTCCCCCCCTCTTTCCCTTTCTCTCCCTCTCTTTCTTTCTCCGTCTCTCTTTCTCTCCCTCTCTTCCTCCCTCTCTGTCCAATCAGGGATTGATTTGGAAGTGCGGAACTTTTGACCAGTTCCAACCCTCTGTTGTGGAAGTTATTGACTGGGTACGAGCAGTCTGGGAGGCTTGGGCGGCCCAGCCAGCCTACCAAGATTGGAGGAGAACCTGGGATGGAAGTCCACGAAAGCCCCAAGCCTCTCTAGCTGCCATGTAAAGCAAGGGTGAGCAGGCTGGCCAGCCGGCCGGCTGATGCAACTGAACGAGCAAGCAGGCGGCTCACCCGTCTCTTAAGCACGCCGGCTTCCCCTGGGCGAGCGGTGGCTCTCACCCACCGCTTTCTTCAGTCGGCGGCAATAAAGGTGGGGGTGGGGGTTGGTCCCTCTTCCCCCAGTGGCATTAAAAGGCAGAATTGTTGCCGGGGGAGTGAAAGGGGCGAGGCTGACTCGCCAAGCTTGGAGGGAAGGAGGCTCTCTCGCTTGCTCCGCACAGCCCTGCCGCCCTCTTGGCCCAGCGCGAAGGGAAGCGGCGAGGGGAAGTAGCGGGCATTGCTGCCGCAAGGGAAGGAGCCAGAGGAGGCGGGTGCCGACGGGGCCTGGATCAGGTGGAGGGACTCACGGTTGCCCAGGAAGCCTGCGGGAGCGGTGAGCTACCGAGAGCCGCTCAGGCAGAGAGACTTGAGTGCTGCGACGGGACAGGATGGGAGCCCCCCCCCAATATCCTGCCTTTGGATTGGCGCGACTGGGAGTGCTTCGGGGCAGAGTCGCCCCTCCTGCCCTCCAGCAGTCGGTGAGAAGCTCCCGCCCCAGTGTAGTCCAGACAATGGGGAGGGGGCTTGGCGACTCCTGTGAAAGGGTCGTTCAACCCCAAAAAGGGTCGCGATCCACAGGTTGAGAACTGCTGCTTTAAAATGTGTATTAATATTTATTTTAAAATGTTACGTTATTGGAAAACATGAACATGTTTATTTTAATAATTCAAAAAAATATTTTGATTTAATCAGACCTGTTTCAGGTGGTTTGTTAGTGTTTTTAACTCCATTTCTTTGCTTCTCAGCATCAATTCAAGCTGTTGTTTTTCTTCCATCTGAGTACAATACTGCTCATCTTTCTTCCTTAACTGCTCTTGATTTTTCTCATGTAGCATTACAGCACCCTTTCTTGTTTCTTCCTCTTGTTTCAGACAAAATCTGGAGTACATGAGTAAACATTTAAAATAGATTTGTTCAATAAATATATGAAAAGCAAAGAAACATATGTGTAAAATGGAACAGCATTGCTTATTTGTTCTGGCTCCAGAATCTACACTGAATTAACAAATTTGCATAGACACACACACACACACATACATACATACATACATGGAGAGAATGAGAGACAACACATCATGAATGTAAAATCAGAGTTTGTTCAATTTGGCCAAAGTAGTGAAGTGAAAATATGACAAACTGAAGTTTTAGAAATTGAAGACAACAGTTATATTGAAGACTTCTAGTCTTCAGTTCTTTTATACAATTGAAATTGCTGGGTTTAGCAGCTAAAAGCCAAATTTTTGAAGTTTCTTTAACCATATTTATTGAAGGGAAATTATGTTACAAAAGTCTTGATACCTGGCTATGTATAGTTTAGCACCCAATTTACCCCTAATTTTTTTGGGTATAGATGCCTTGATCTGCCTGTTAACCATGCACCGTTAGGTTTTCCTGAAAAGGGAAGAATGTACAGATATTCTGGGCTTATTTACAAGAGCTTTTTTCTCAGGCTATAAGAAATCTAATATGCTAGTCATACATATAAAATATGTAACACTTGAAAAAACTTCATACTCTGATTATGATAAAATAATTTAAATATAGAGAATCAAATATTTTAATCTGTCATTTAATTTCCAATGGATACATTTCTCATTAAAATTTTGAACTTTCTTTTTATTTCAGACAATATTGCATGGTTTAACAACCAAACAGAAATTAAGAGCCACCTTGCGGCGAGATGGGCAGCAAACAAGTTTAATAAATAATAATAAATAAATGATTCAATTTGCTCTAACTAAAAAAAAGTTTTGGGAAATTATACCAAAGTCAACTATTTATTTAAAAGTTCTTACTTCAGATTGGTGATTTCACTTTCATATTGTACTTTTTGATGATCCAATATAGATTTCATCTCTCTCAAGTCTTCCAGATTTTTTTGCCATTCATTTCTCTGATTTTCAAATTTTTTTACTTTTTCAAGCAATTGAGTATAACGTCCCTTCTCATGTTCAATTAGTCGTTCATATCCATGAAATATATTCTGAACTTTCAAGAGACTTACAGAATCTGCTTTGGAAAAAAAACATGTGTTAACATTATTTATCCAAAATGATATTTGATTAAAAAGAATGACATACACCATCCTCTGCAAAAATACTCAGATGTTTTCCTTAATGGCAGCTAAGAAATAATCAATGGCTCAATCACAAAGAAAGACGCAGGGTCCAATTACTTGTTAAAAAATACATGGACAAGTTTACTTAGCTTTAGGATAAACATGCTAAAAATGTGGCTTATGATGTTGGGGGGAATCATGAGCAAATTTTGAGGTGAAGTGTCACAAATGTTGAGGGTTGAAAGGAGGGGACATGAAGAACAAAACGTTTGAAGAGCTCCAACTCCTGCGGAAGGCAAGAAGGAAGTAACTTATGGCTGACAGGGAGATGATCAGGTATTGATAATAGGGTCACCTCATAGCCAGAAAAAAGCAAGCAAAACACCAACTTTATCACCCTTTATAGACCATAGTAGAAACATTATACTTGCTTAGTCACTTCTGCTGTCCCAACGACAGCAGAAGCATAATATAGACCTTTCTCAGAAATCATGACATACTCATTCTCAATTTCACTGAAGAGAAACATGCTTGAAACATAGGAAGCAGCCCCCTCATTCCTTGTTGTTAAGACTTCTCTTCTTCCACTCTACTACTCTCCTGGTCTCTCTATCTCAGTAAATAGTCAAACTGCAAACTTCTTCAGTTATTCTGGAGGATCACAAAGTTGAGAAAGCCATCTTTTTTACAATAGCAAAGGGTATCCAAATCCTGCTTCAGGAATTCCTTGGAACCCAAGGGCATAGAAAAGCTATCCCAAAAAGTCATAGCATGGTCAGTTCCAGAAGATCTATCAGGTCACCATTCTCAAAATTAGTAAAAGGGCTGGCCAACCAGATAGCCTAGGATGAAAACAAGCTCCATATTCTAACTTCCAGATTGCTTATCTTCTTTGGGCCATTTTCCTTCTTGTGTAAACATTTGAATAAGTAAGTATTTGTAATCAATAAAGTATAACTGAGGAAACAATGCGGCTTCACTTTTTTAATATATGTTTTGTATTATAACTTAATGAAAAACACACACACACACAAATATCTATCCATATTAATAATTTTTGAAACTCAAGCAGAGTATATTAGCAGACTTTGTTCTTTAAGTTAAATTACTTATATTACATTGCAGTTATGTAACTATTGTAATTATATCACAATATAATCCTTATATTTATCTACAAAGGAAGAAAAAAGCCAGTAACAGCAAAAGGTTTTCTCCAAAACTCATTAGCAAGATGGCAAACTGGGGCAAGTTGGCAATTGGATTACCGTATTTGTGACCTTGTCAGATAATATAATAATATTCTTCCAGGTGAAGTGCTAGTAGTAACGCAAAGAATTGACATTGCCAGAATACCTATCACAAACTCTACTTCCTCCATTTCAAAGGAATTCATTTTTCAGGTGTATATTGATGGTGCTGTCTTTCCTCCAGCAAGACTGAGATTAGGGGTACGGAATATTATACAGAATAACAGTTTCTGTAAAACCTCTCTTGTCAGCCACCAACTGGAGAAAGGGCAAGATACACAAAATTGTATTTGTGCCAGTTGAGATTTACAAAATTGTGATCTTAATACAAATTGTTTTGCTTCAGACAAAGCCAAACTTCTTTTGAACCATGTAATTTTGAGGCAAATCTGACATTTTGTGGAAGTATATCTTGTCAGGGAATTCCAGAGTGTTTGTTCTCATATTAATGCCTTTTGGATGTCCCACTGATTAGGACAGCAGCCCTGATTATATTTTTAATACAGACTTAAAAAATAATCAGTTCCCTAATGCTTTGCCTTATTTGTCTGCTATATTAATTGCTATTGGGAATTAGTTTCCAAATTACAACATAATTCCAGTTTCAATAAGTCATGTTATCCATTGATTTGTTAAAAATGTTCTTAAAGTATAGCTACGGTACATTATCTTTTGTGAGCATGTGAACACATACCTCTAAAGCTGACTGCAATTTGTTTGAAAACATCAATCTTCAGCTCACACTAAATCAAAGCCTGCTCAACTCATATTATTAATGACCTCTTATTAACTAATGTGGAAAAGCACAAAATGTGGTAACTTTTAAAAGCTTTTACAGAATAGAATGAAATATACTGCCATGAAGAGATTAAAGATTATTCAATTTTAGAGAAGTATATATGGGAACTGTAAATTCAACTACCAAATATCAAATAGATATTTAAATAAGGCATGTGTTCTTAGCATTTTAATACTTTATTATTTAATGACTTTGGATACTACAGATAAGTTCTTGCTTTTGATTTTGATTAATCTGCTAAAACTGATGAAGATAAATTCAAGAGTTTTTTAACTAGTTCTTTATTTTTTTAAAAAAGGGGAATCCCTATTGACATAATTAGATCGTAGTAGATGATACTACATCCTTTCAAGGAACTACAATTTCAAAGTCCCTGATAAATTATGTGAATAGAAGATATACCTGTAAGCCATATAACTCCCCTGCTGCTTTTAAAACAAAAGGAAAACCTACTATTATTTTCAATATTCTCTTTGATATGGAGATTCTCAGTCATCCAGATCATAGTTGTCCCAAAGGTGCTTTTTCAAGAGGCAACTGGACTTTCTTGTTTTTATTTTGATAGTTGAAAAATATTTCTTTTTGTTTCTGAAAATGATGACTAATACTCAGTGCACGGTAGTCTAAATGAACTTTCAAATTCTAAAATAAGCTCTACAACACCTATTATTTTCAACCAGTACAGCCAACAGTCATACTGGCTGAGAATGCTGGGATTTTTATTTGATTAGTTGACTCTTTTTTATTATATATCTGGAAGGTGTGACAAAAACCTTGATAAATCTTGATAAAAAAGCAGCTATCCAAGAAACACTATCTATTTTGTATTCAAAAGAAAACATTTATGCTTGACAATAACAAATTTGCTCACCTTTACAATCTAAACTAAGTTCTTCTATCAACACTATAGCTTCCTTGTAAATGGAAGAAAGTGACTCAATATCCTCTGCAGCTGAATCTGAAGATGGAGTTAAGTCATCCAGATCATTAGTAATGCTCAATGTTCTGTAAAGCTATAAATGAAACAAGTAGAATTAAAGATAATTATATTCTAAATCAAAACGTTCATTTCTCTTTTATTAACTTTTAATTCTACTAGGAAAATTTTACAAATGGAAATTGGCTTAATTAGATGCCACATCAAATCATGATTTTCAGATAGCTAACAAAGTAGTATTTCTAATAAATCCACTTAATATTAACAGTTATAACGACCCCTATATCATAACCAGGAGACATAAACCCATATCTGTCTGCATAAAGGACTACTTTTAACTGTAAATTATTATTATTTAAATCATTTATACTGAAGTTTACAAAGCTATTGTATTGCTTTCTGTGGAAGCTTCCATATTTAAACTATATTCTTTTGCATTCTAAATTGTGTTTGACGATTCTGCCTTGTCAGTTGCAGAGCTTCCCCAAGGGACCAATTTCTGTTAAAGCCTCAATGACCTATAGTTTTTTATTTCTACATAATTATTGTCAAAATACGTTCTCTAATTCTATAATTTGTTCCCTAGTTCCAACTTTTCATTTAAATCTGTGAGCAGCAACATGTAGGGAAATAAACAATTATTCCTGCTTTTCAAAATCTTTCATTTCTTCCCTCAAAATTTTATACTTCTTCACTTTTTATTACTCCTTCATGGATTACTGCTTTGTCGTGGCAAAGGGGCTTGCATAACTCAATGAAGCTATGAGCTATGCCATGCCGGCCACCCAAGACGGACATTGGTTCAAAATTGGGAAAGGAGTCCGGCAAGGCCGTATTCTGTCGCCCTGCCTATTTAACTTATATGCAGAGCACATCATGAGAAAGGCAGGGCTAGATGAATCAAAAGTTGGAATTATCAACAACCTAAGATATGCAGATGATGCCACTCTAATGGCAGAAAGTGAAGAGGAACTAAAGAGCCTCTTGATGTGGGTGAAGAAGGAGAGTGCAAAAGTTGGCTTGAAACTCAACTTTAAGAAACCAAGATCATGGCCCTCTCAATTCCTGGCAAATAGATGGGGAAGAAATGGAGGTAGTGACAGATTTTATCTTCCTGGGCTCCAAGATCACCACAGATGGGGACTGCAGCCAAGAAATTAAAAGATGCTTGCTCCTGGGGAGGAAAGCTATGGCAAATCTAGACAGCATACTGAAAAACAGAAACATCACCCTGCCAACAAAAGTACGTATAGTCAAGGCCATGGTTTTCCCAGTTGCAATGTATGGCTGTGAAAGTTGGACCATAAGAAAGACTAAGCGCAAAAGAATTGAGGTTTTTGAACTATGGTCCTGGAGAAGACTCCTGCGAGTCCCCAAGACTGCAAGGCGATCAAACCGATCAGTTCTAGAGAAGATCAACCCTGACTGCTCTTTAGAAGGCCAGAAGCTGAAGTTGAAACTCAAGTACTTTGGCCACCTAATGAGAAGGAAGGACTCACTGGAGAAGAGCCTAATGCTGGGAAAGATTGAGGGGAATAGAAGAAGGGGACGACAAAGAATGAAGTGGCTGGATGGAGTCACTGAAGTAGTAGGCGTGAGCTTAAATGGACTTCAGAAGATGGTAGAGGACAGGAAGGCCTGGAGGAACGTTGTCCATGGGGTCGCGATGGGTCGGACACAACTTCGCAACTAACAACAAATTCTTTATTAACTGCTTACATTCAATGATACATAAGCACAATAAGTTTGCATACAATGCTCAAAAGAATTTTGTCCAAGGCTTAGGACTATAGCAAAGAAAATATGCTACATTCAATCCCGGGCCACAGCTAGCAATTTTGATATCACTATTACAAGAAATCGATGATGATATTAATGATGATACCTAAATTTAAATCAGGAGACATATGAATATTACATGTTCTGGGGGTACCTATCTTTATCTGAAGACAAGGTGATGGAGACAATATCACTCTGATTGATCAGGGACCAAAGAAAGAACTCTCTTTTTTTAAATAATTGAAGAATATTTAAGCTACAACTGTATTTCTTAATTCTGCTCACTTCTGTACTATAATTGTATATTATAATTTTTAAATCAATTCTGGTATTAATTCTATTGCACTTTGGTTTTGTGAATCAGTCTGACAATCTCTGTTCCAGATATTTACCAATAAAAATTAGGAATGAGGCAGAGATTGTGGTGGAGAGTTTAGAGGGATAAAGTTGGCTTATTTAAAAAAAAACTAGTGGAGGACTTCTGGCTGTGACGTCATCATGGAACGGGTGAAGGAACAGATCTCTGTTCCTAAGTCCCAGGAAAATCTTCGCCAAGAGCCCAGCAAGGGCTTTGCCGATCCCGGAGAGATCGGTAAATTAAAGAGGAAGCTTCAGAGAAGCTGTGTGGAAAGCAAACACCCGAGCCGAATGAAGCAGCACTCTTAAAACTAGCGGAGATGAAACCGGTCTTTTAGACCGGCCTGGAGCGATGGCGGCAGCCCGAGAGGGAGTGGAAAATTGAACTGACAGCTTTGTAACAGGAGACGAGGAAACCCCCGAAGGAGGTGAGGATCATTTGGCTGAGAGAAGGCGCAGGAAAAGTAAAGCTATAAGGAGAGAAACACAGCGGCAACTGAATTGAAACAGAACGGAGAAGGGAGCAAATAGAGCAGAACGAGAACAGCGTGAAGAATGCTGAGAGCCCATAGTAAAGTTTTACAAAATGTGAGAGACTGGAATTTAAGAATGGCAAGAAGGTGTGAATGAAATCAAAGAAAAAACTGGAGAAAGGATGGTTGGAGACAATTAAAGGTGATTAAGAAGGACTTTGAAAAATTAATATGAGGAATAAAAGGTGAAGGGAGAGAACGGAGAAATTTAGCTTATTTTTGAAGGATAAATAACATTGAAACCTGGACTTTAATTGACATATATCTGGACAAAGTGACGAGTGGATGTTTTGGAATATTGGATACAGAGAAGAAGAAATAAGAGGTGATATTTGGTGGATTGGTGGACATATTAAATTGAGACTGAGAAAAAAAAGGGCTGATGCAATATTCACTCACACACAAGCAGTGTTTAAGCTACAAGTAGACTCAGGCAAATGTATTAAAAGTACTGAAGTAAATGAATTGTATTAATGAAATAGAAATAAGTGTAATTGAACTAAATAGAAGTGGAAAAGTAATCGTAGCATAGTAGAGAAATATAAACAGTAAGAGTGATAGTGAATGAAATTAAGAGTGGTGACAACACTTAGAGAATAGTATACATATATGTATCATGTATAGTGTTATATATATATATATATATATATATATATATATATATATATACACACACACATACACATAACAGATGTTAAGAATATTATAAAGTGTACAAGATATATAGTGGGATAAGGAAAGGTACAACTTTACTTGTAATTTTAGTTGTTAACGTTAATGTTATACAATGATATTATAGTCATATATATTGATTTATAGTTAGAAGTATTATATATATTCTTTATGCAAAAGTGGAGAAATATTATTCAAGTTATAAAAATGACAAGTACTGTAACTACAACTAAAGTTAGCAAAAAAAAACAGTTATAAATCCCACAAATACAATGGCCTCTCCTTCAGGCCAAAGAATCATGTTGGGGAAAGAAAAAGTAGAATTGGCAATGAACCCACAGAGTTTGCAGATAACACTACAAATGATTCAAGAAACAATGATGATGACCCAAGAGGCAATAGCAAATAATCATGAAGAAATGAAAATACATCATAAAGAAATTAAGAATGATATTGGAAAAATGAGAGATGAAATTAAAAATATAAATGATAAGATAGGCAATATACAACAAACAATGATGGAAAATGAACAAAGAATTCAAAAAGTTGAAACAAAAATGGAGCTTGTTGATAGTAAAATAGAAGGGATGATACAGAAATCTGAGCAAGCAAATAGGGAGTTGACTGAATCTATTGCTTTTCTGGAAATGAACAAAGCTTCGTTTTGTTTAAGATTTCAAAATATTGTTGAGGAAAAGGAGTAAGATTTGGGAGAAAAGATGGCAGAGATTTTGGCGGAGATTTTAGGCAAAGAAAAATTGGAAGTAAAAAGAGACATGGATGAAACATAGAGTATACACAAATTATGCACGAAGGCATAGATTGGCGAAAGAGGTTCATATAAGGTTTACTAGAAGATCAATAAGGGATGAAATATATAAAAAAACAAGAGACGAATCAATAATGTATAAGGGTAAAGAAATAATTGTATTAAAACAAATATCACGTAAAATACGAAATCAGAGACGAGAATACCAATTTTTAACGACTCAATTAATTAAATATAAAGTCAAGTTTCGTTGGTTAATACCTGAAGGCATACTTTTAACTTGGCAGGAGAAAAAATACAAGATAGATACACTTGAGAAAGCACAGGACTTTTATGAGAGTTACTTTTCACAAGGAGAAGAACAAGAAAGTAGGGAAGAGCCGGAGAGTAAAAGTTATGAGAAGATTAGAGGAAGTTGATTGAGAGCGAGAAATACGAAAGTTACAAGAAAGAGAAAGGTTAGAAAGAGAAGCAAAAGGAAGACTTATAGAGACAAGAAGTATAAAACAAAATAAAAACAAAAAAATAGATCAAGTTAAAAATGGGAGACGTAATTAAGCTCTTTTCTATAAATATTAATGGATTAAATATATCAAGAAAAAGAGTTTAGACGTTTAACAATTTAAGGAAATTGGATGTAGATGTGATGTATCTTTAGGAAGTTTACATAAAATAGGATTATAGAAAATTACTAGAGAAAGTAAAATTTAGAAACATTATACACAATATTAGCATAAAACAAGAAAGGAGGAATTATTATATATGTCAAAGAAAAATAAAATTAAATCAATATACTTGGATGAAAAGGGGTGAATTTTAATGTTGGAAATAGTATTAGAGTAAAAACAGTATATGCACTAAATAATATAAGAATATTTGTATGATCACCATGCTTACATGGAATTCCAGTTGAGTCTTATAAAAAATATGAGTGTTACTACAATGAATAATGTTGGATTCCTAGTAAGTAGTAGAATATGAAAGAAGGAAAATGTAAATAAGAAACAATGGGGCAATAAGGATAAATATTTCAAAGAAGAAAGAGGGGGGAAATGTAAAAAATAGAAGAGTACTGTTACAAACTGCTGTTAACAAAAAAGGATATATTACGTGTGTATGTGTGTAATATTTGTTGTGTTTTGTTTTGTTGGTCTAAAATAATAATAATAAAAAAATAAAAAAAAACTAGTGAAAATTTATTCTGTAATTCTATTTGTAGACTTTTTAGTGCTTGTGACAGTGGAGATACAACAAATTTTAGCTTACTGATCTTCATTTTGTAGCCAATCAAACTATACATTCCATAGTTTTGGGAAGTAGTTGATGAGAATACTGAGAACTCATGATTTATCTATCTTACCAAAGCATTGCTAAAAATCTTAGTCTTTAAAATCAAATCTAAATTGGCCTACCAGTACTATGCTTTTCACTTAAAAGCTTTAGAAATATGAATTAAGTTGATGGCAACATTTTGCAAGCTTGTTTTATCCTACCTTATTTTTTCCATTCACAGATTTGGCTGGATATCTGAAAATAAGTATAAAAACTATATTAAGATTTTAATGTATTTTTATCCTGAAATTCTGAAAATGTAGGGCTGCTAATCCTAGACCATCCATTCTGAATCTACTGAGTTTAACAGTGCAGCAGAAGTGCAGCCTAGATATCTATGAATTTTTATGGGTCTTCCCACTATCAAGCAGACTTCCAGTATGATTCTTTTAAGAAACAGTTTGGTCAGTTTCATCTTTTTGAAATTCTTTGCGGCTTATGATGATGTGTAGGCTTCCTTTAGGTCCAAAAAGTTGATATGCAAGTTTGGGAGCATAGCTACTGTAAGGGGCACCAAGGATGCACCTCAAGGGTGCTTTCTTATAGAATTTTAATATGTTTTGGCTAGAAGTATCACAGACCTAATTCCAAATGAGACAGAATTTTACCTTTATTCTAAAAAAAGATACCCATACCTTTCTTCAAGAGATGCTTCACTCAAACTGCTCTCATCTTGTGGCTGATGTAGATTATTACAAAGCTGTTGACTGACCTTCTGTTTAGAATTCCGCCTTTTATTTTCACTTTTTCTTGTAGCTTTTAAACTGGAGGATCTTTTTAAAATAATAATAATAATAATTAAACACTATATTTAAAGATAATTTTATTTACAAAAAAGTTAAAATATAAAAATGAGGACATATCACTAAGAATTGAAGAATGGCAAAATTTCTAATCTCTGACCACATAATGAATTTAGGAATCAAAGTTCTACTGAATAAAGTGTTAATTGTATTAATGTAATAACATATAGCTGTATGCATCTTGGAAAAATCTGAAATGAAGCCCCAAAGCATCTATCATAATGCTTCTCAGTGAATCAAAGGAATTTTGGTCCTCACTTGTACTTAAACTGAAATACTTCTGTATCAGTACATGAATACCCTATATATAATCAAGTAAAAGTTCTGAAGGGCAGATAATAATTATTATTTCATTATTAGATTTTTACCCCATTTATATACATTTAATACTCAAGGCAGCAAGCATACCTAATATTCCCGCCTCCTGTTTTCCCCACAACAGCAACCCTGTGAAGTGGATTAAACTGAGAAAGAATAACTGGCCCAAGGTCACCAAATTGACTTTCATGCCTAAAGGAGGCATAGAACTCATAGTCTCCTGGTTTTTAGGCTAGCACTTTAACCATTATAATAGACTGCTCTCTGAGTCAAATGGTGTTATTGATCGCACTTGTTCAGGCAATTTTGTTCTCTGCATCCTTAATAACGTGTCCCAAATACTAAAATTGGAATCTATGGTCTTCATCACTCTCATAACTTTCTATAAAGAGTGGAAGATTTCTGTCACTAGAGAGCTTTCATTACCAAGGAGAGGAAAAGCCAGAACAGCTACTGCATACAATTACACTCTCAGGTCTTAGGCCCTTCATGTTGAAAATATCTCAGCAAACACCACCAGTGGGAATTTGAACTAACTGTGGTTATGCTAACAAGCAAAATGAGTGATTTTCATAGTTTGGGAAAAGGAGAATGTATAAAGAAGTTTCTGACAAGTCTATAGACGAAACAGGATGGAATCCTGTCACCCATAAGCTCCTAATCTGATCTCCAATAGAGGTAGTCCTCAATTTACAACAGTTCATTTAGTGACTGTTATAGAGCCACTGAAAAAAGTGATTGATGACCATTTCTATTTATGACAGTTGCAGTGTCCCAGGTTCATGTGATTACCTTTCGCAACCTTCTGACAAGCAAAGTCAATGGGAAAGCCAATTCACTTAACAACCATGTTACTAACTTAACAACTTCAGTGATTCACTTAACAACGGTAGCAAGAAAGGTCATAAAATGGGGCAAAGCTCACTTACCAACTGTATCACTTAGCAGTAGAAATGTTTGGCTCAATTGTGGTCATAAGTTGAGGGCTATCTGTACTTAATCAGTTTTAGCTATTCTGATAGCACAGAGAGGTGGGATAGATTTATTACTTTTGCTCCCATTAGTAGCTTATCAGTAAAAATATTTTCAATCACACAAAAGGTAAATATTTTGATGCATGATGATTTCATTTTGGTTATTTTAGTTGTTTATATTTATTTTAAAAATATATAATATTGCACCTGATTGATCCTGGCTGACTTCAGAAGCTAAGGAGCCCTAGTTCAGAGGCCCCCAACTTTTGGGGCACCAGGGACTAGTTCCGTGGAGAGAGGTTTTTCCATGAACCAGAAGGGGCGTGGTTTTGTGTGCTGCCTGCATCCTGTGGATGGGGCTTTGCTTGTTTACGCGGCCCAGTTTCTGGAATGCTGCGGCCCGGTGCCGGTCCACAGACCAGGGATTGGGGACCGCTTCCCTAATTAATGCTTAGATGGCTATGTCAAGTTAAGGAAAAAATCCTACAAAGTATCAATGATAAACTACATTGATAATACTGCAAAGAAAATTGTGTGGGAATAGTGACAGGAATCAAGCCTATCTTGAAATTGTCTTCACCTTTATTCTAATTGTTACTTAAAAATTTGAAGAAAAACTATAATTTAATGATGGATGAAAAACTTTGGAAGCAAAAGATCTCAATTTTAGTCATGACACCAGAGGAAGGGCTTGGGACAATATTTTAAGTGAACTTATTTTCTGATCATAGAACATTTAAGGCAACTTACTATAATAACAATACTTGAGAAAACAATGATTTTAAACAATGACCATCCAGTCAAACTAATGATCTGTATTAAGATAACTATCTATGCTTTGCTTACATTTGTAATATTGTATGTCTTAATTAGCTGAAAACAACACAACAAAGTTTCAAAGGAAGTTAGTACATTGCAACAGTGCATAAAAATTAGTCAAGTCAGTTCATATAAGAGAATCAACTTAATGTTATTACTGTACTCACCCTAGACAAATTACTTCCTTTTTATCTGCTGGGGAAATACTATCTGCTGTAATATGCTGGATTTCATTTATTGAATGCTTTTGTTCTATTTTCTCATCATTATTAACAGCCAGCTTTTCAGCATTAGCAATTTTTTTTCCTTTGGATTCCAATTCTTTTTTTATTTTTTCCTCTTCAATCTAAAACAATGATATATTGCAATATTGATTTAAGAACAGCAATAAAAATATCAATAAAATTATTTGCTCTATTACAAATTTCTGCTTAATATTTCAGAACAGTCCTAGAAAAGAAAATATAATCACTCAACACTATGATTGCAAATTAATAATAATTAGTATGGTCTAATCAGAAACAATGGAAAAATCATGTAAGTGATAGGCAAAACGCATTAGAAACACACATTTTGATTATAAACAGAAATTATTTTAAAAAGTGATCAACAATATTGTACTACAGAAACTAAATCTAAGATAGTAATATTTCACACAGAGCAAAAAAGTGTTAGGCAAGCATGATAAGAAATGGAAAGATCAATTAAGAACCTGTTCAAAAGCCAGTTTCACATTTTGGATCAAATTTATAATTAGTATAAAAGTGTGCAGTTCATTTGTTAATGAAGTTGCACCTATGTAAACTGAGCTATTTGAATCTTTGTTATGACAGTATTATACTTCAATTTCTGAATGTTCTTAAATTAAAAAGAAAATGCATGAAAAAGGTGTAATTTCTTCCCACATTCACATTAGCGTTACTGCGTGAAGCCAACACATAAAGGCCTTTTTATATAGTGCTGGAGAGCTGAAATGAACAGAATGGCTGAAATGCAAGAAAGATGAAAGAATGAAAAGCAGCAGGTACTTCTCTACCTCTTTTTGCAGTTGGATCTTTTCTTTCTCCAAAGCGAGGAAAGCTGAATGCAGTATTCCTACCTGATTTTTAAATCTTGCAACATCACCTTCTAATTCTTCATCCAGACCTTTTTGGGATATTTGAGGACATACTTGTTTATGATTTTTCGCTTTATTTCCAATTTCAATATCAGTACCTTTACAACTATTGATACTGTTATTAAAACGGTATTCAGTTTCTTCACTTGGATTTTTTGTTACACTAATATGTTTAAATAAGTTGTTGGAGGCAATTGGTTGATTAACATCTATAGTTTTAAAAACTGTATCTTTGGTAATGTCCTCATGGCTTTGCAATGAATATTCAAGACATTTTTCTGCAGCTTTAGTTTCATTTGCTTGCAGTTGTGTAATTGTATTGTTATTCTTTTCTTCACTGATGTTTACTTTTGTTCCTTTTGCATTATTAAATAATGGGTTCCTATTTGTGTTCCAGTCATCAGTATTTAATTCCCTTTCTGTAACGACAGATCTTACATCTTTAATGTCACCCTTTCCTTGAATATCCACTTTCATGTTTTGTAGATGAAGTGATGTTTCTTTTACGCCTTCTACTGCACAACAGAAACCATCTTGTGATGTTGCTTTGCTTGGAGTGATACTCGTTTTCTCATAAACTTTAATTTCACCGAACATCTGTTTTAGTTCTGCAGTAATACTCTTAAAATTTGCCTTAAGTTCTTTTTTTTCATTTGCAACCCACATTTTTTCATATTTTTCTTCCCAGTGTATTGAATCAAAATGATTGCAGTCATTATGGGCTTCTTCACTATGCATGAGTGCTTTGGTTACATTTTCATCATGAGTACCGGTATATTCGATTTCAGTCTTGTCAGTGTGTTTTTCATGTGTTGATTTTTCTACAGAACTGGATGTGTTTAACAGGCATTTTTCCTTATGCAAGCAAGTATGGATAGAGAAAAATTAACAAACAAAAACCAGTGTGTTAAATTTGTTTTAAATGTCATAAAGGTTTTGATTTTGAGAATATTTTAAGAGTAACAAAAAATTTTGGTTTACAAAATCTTTTTTTCAATTATATATTTTATTAAATACACAATTTAAATGTTTGGAAGAGAATTTCATGGCAGCACAGCATAATAATTAAACTTAAAATAGCTTTCCTTTTTTTGTCATGGCATATTCATAATTAATTGCTTGTCAATCCTATCTAGCAGAGTCCCTCTAACTGAATAATTGGGAAAAAGCAGAACCAGATTCTTCACTATCTATTGGAGGTCATAATCTTCAAATCAATAATAAGCATTCTACACATGTGGTATCTTCTACGGGATAGGAGTGTCCAATAATATGTAGCCTCTTCTCAACTCAATCAATATCTCACTGATGGCCCTCCCAAATTGAAAACAATCCTGTGAAAATGGTCTAGAAGTGGTACCAATTACTAGAACTTTGTGAAAGTCATCTTTTGCAACTGTAGAACATATCTCTCATAGAAATTTTATTAAATTTATGTTTAAAAGTTATTTTGATATGACCTAGCAGGTACACATTAATTCTTGCCAGCGTATAACAAAACCGTATAACTATCACCAATATAGACTATAAATACCAAGCATAATCATGTGTCATAATCAGCATTACTGATTAAAAGGACCATAATTCTACCAAATCTTTAAATACAGATGCAAATAAAAATTCTAATTTGAGACTGAATAAGGTACAGCACATTTGAAGTGGAATAAGAAGGTACTCCAGAGAATGGATGACAATTTCTTTTTCAAAGCTGATATCAAATTAATGTCCATAGTAGTGACCCAATCAAGCAGGAACAATAATGGTTGTATATGACAGGCATGTCTTTGAAACTTTTCTCTCAATTACCACTCTCAAGTATCAATGCACTAAGTTATTTAAATTCTTGAATTTGAAATTGTTAATTTGTGATTCTAGTCTGGTGTCAAATTGATACCTACAGTACACTTATTTTAGCAGTACTGTTATACAGCACAACAAAGCACAATTTGATACAGCTTCCGGTGGTGAGCGACGGTGATGGCGGCTACCTTGTAGCCGTCCTCCTGAGACGGTGTCAGATCTGCGGAGCACAGCATACATCAGTTGGCCCGCGGTTCGAAATCCCCTTCCCGGGTGAAGGGAAGGGGTAGAGACTGCATGAATAGAGGTAGAACCTCTTAACCTTCCCTGGATTTTCTTTTTAGGGGGGTAGAAAGAGTGTTCCCTCGGAGTTCGTGCCTTCTCCGCCTCTCAGCTGTCTTTGTTTCTTCGGAAACAAAGTGAAACGCCGCTACCATCTCCGCACTTAAAGTTTTCTGGTGAGTGACTTTTAAAGCGGACAGAACTGTTTAAAGGATTTTTTTTAGAGTTAGAGATTTATTTCTTTTTTAATTTCTCTTTTAGCTTATGCTGATTCTTTTTTTGTGATTTTTTTTTTTCCGAGCGGAAAGTGAGAGTGAAAGTAAAATGGCGTTTTGAAAGTGTTGCTTTTTTTTTATCTCCGGAAAGAAAAGACGGATTGATTGAAATGTATACCTAGCATTGCTTTTCTTCTTTTTTAAGTTTCTTTTTCTTTTTTCTTTTTTCTTTTAAAGTGCTTTGGAAGTTTGTATTTTTATTGTATTTTTTCTGGTTTTTTTTATTTGTAAAGATTTAAGCATTTTTTTTAAGAAGAAAGAAAGAGAGATTAACTCTAAAATGGCTTCAAAGAGACAACCAGCTTCTATAGTTTCTAAGGTGATTTCTTCTCCTGTTATTGCAACTGTTCAACAACAACTTAAAGTAACACCACCGGTGCAGCAACCCAAGGCTACATCTCCACCTTCTCCTCCCCCATCAGGCTTGTCTGCATAAGACATTAAAGATATAATGGGAAATGCTGTGTCTCAATTTAGGGAGGAAGTGAAGCAACTTCTGGAACAGAGCAAGTCTGAAAGTAAGGAGGAAATGAAGAAAGAAATGAAGCAGCTTTTTGAACAGAATAATACTATTTTGAGGCAAGATATAGTCACAGCTTTATCTGGATTGGCTTCTGTGGTCGTGAAGCTGGACTCCAGAGTGGAAGAAGTCGCTGAAAAAGTAGATTTTCTTGAGTATAAATTTCAAGATATGGAAAAAAAGGTGGAAACTTCACAAGATGATATTCTTATGTTTCAGTATAGACAGATGGAATATGCCCTGAGAATTAGGGGTCTTAAAGAAGATATGAATCAAGATTTGATGGAGATGGTAATCAATGACTTAGCTGTTGTTTTGAATATAGATAAAGATGAATTACGTGGAGAAGTGGAAAAAATCTACAGAGTTAATTCTTGGATTGCAAAACAGAAGAATTTGCCAAGAGATGTGGTGATTTATTTTGCTAAGAAGACTCTGCGTAATCAGATCTTACAAGCATTTTATAATAAGAGATTCCAGATTGATGCCCAAGATATCATTATTTTAAAGGAAATCCCATCCAAAATTTTAAGAAGTAGAAAAGATTTTGCTTTTTTAGCAAATGAACTTAAAACAAGATTGATGCCATTTAGATGGGAGATCCCGATGGGTATTGTTTTGAGCCATGCGGGGACACGTTATAGACTTAACACGGTTGCTAAAGCTAAAGAATTTTACAATACGGTCCTGGGAGCAGGCTCATCTTCATCCATGACTGAGAGAGTTTTGAGTGACAAAGAGATGGAACAGCAGTCTGAAAGAGGTTTGATGGCTGCTGGGCAGGTGGAATGGATGCGTCAAGCAGAAGTTAAGGAACAGAGAATGACTTGTGCAGCACATAAACGTAAGGAAAAGGAACAACAGAAGAAAGAAGCTAAAGAATCTTCTCATCAGATTGTTTCAATGCCGGTGGGAGGAGTAAGACCCAAAAGCTCTGCAATACATTCTTCAGTAGCAGACCTTGAGGGAATCTTCTCCAGGCTCCTGGTTGAGGGAGATGGCAAAGTTCCTGACCTGGAATGTTAACGGTTTAAATTTTCCTCAGAAGAGAAAGAAAATATTTCACTATTTAAAGCAACATAATAATGACATTATTTGTTTGCAGGAAACTCATATCTTACTTAAAGATCAAAAATATTTAGCTAATGCTCGCTTGGGATCTCATTTTGTATCTCCTGCCCCTGGGGAAAAAGGGGGTGTGGTAATTTATGTCAAGCAAAATCTACCAGCTTGTCTGGTAGAATCAGATCCTCAAGGAAGATACGTTATGATTGAACTTGGCTTATATGGTAAAAAAATACTTATAGTGGGACTGTATGCACCAAACCAGCAACAGGAACAATTTTACAGATTGCTACATCAGAAAATAACTTTGTTGGATTATAGGTCTGTGATACTAATGGGAGACTGGAATGGTGTTTTAGATACACAAAAGGATAAAAAAGGTTTTTCTACCTTTTTCAAACAGGCTAAATTACCTAAAGCTTTTTTTGATTTGAAAGAAGATTGGGAATTGAGAGACTATTGGCGTGAACGTAATCAAGAGGAAAGAGACTTCACCTTTTTCTCAGATAGACACCAATCTTTCTCAAGGATTGATTTTTTTTTTATCACAACAGATTTATATAACAGGGTGAAAAATGTAAAAAATTTTCCTAGGTCATTGACAGATCATAGTCCAGTTTGGATGGAACTGATTGCTGAGAAAGAGGAGAGGAGATCCTGGAGGTTGAATGAGAATTTATTTAAACAAGAAAAAAATGTTCAGAAATTAAAGGAATACTTAAGGGACTATTTTGTTTTAAATATGTATAAGGGAACATCAATGTCAATGGTATGGGATGCAAGTAAAGCCTTTATGCGTGGGATCTTGATAAAAATGAATAATTTTTATAGACAAAAGCAGATTCAGAAATGTAAAGAATTGGAAGATGAGATTAAATTAAAAGAGAAGCTTTTAATCTCAAATCCTTTAGATGAAAAGGTGAAAGGAGCTATAAAATTGTTAAAAACACAATTCAATATGTTGATGGCTGATCAAGCTGCAACTAATTTAATGTTTATGAAACAAAACACATTTTGTAATGCTAACAAACCAGGGAGATGGTTGGCTTATCAGTTAAGAAAGAAACAGAGACATAGACTTATAGATAAAATAAACTATAATGGTAAACTGGTTTATCAGAAAGAGTTGATTAAGAAATCTTTTTTAGAATATTATCAGAAATTATATAAGAGTACTAATGTACAAACTACAGATATAAATAATTATTTAAGTAAAGTTAATCTTCCTAAATTAACAGAAGATCAGAAAAAAGAGATTAATGGTTTAATTACTAAAGAGGAAATTGTGACAGCTATCAAGCAGTTAAAATTAGGTAAAGCGCCGGGTACGGATGGTCTGACATCTATTTATTACAAAACTTTAGTAGAAGAGATGACCCAACCTCTATGTGAGTTTTTTAATAATATATTACAAGGTTTAGAGATTCCTCCGTCATGGCGCAATGCTTTTATATCTCTGATTCCAAAAGAGGATCAAGATCTTACTTTGCCTAAGAATTATAGACCTATATCTCTTTTAAATGTGGATTACAAAATTTTTGCAAAAATTTTAGCTAATAGGCTTATGGGGGTCTTGCAACAGCTTATACATAAGGACCAATCGGGTTTTATAACTGGAAGGTACATGAAAAATAATGTTAGACAAATTATCAACTTATTAGAATATTTAGATAAAAACAACCAAGTCTCTGCAGGGCTGATATTTTTGGATGCTGAAAAAGCCTTTGACCAATTGAACTGGCAGTTTATGTTAAGTTTAATTAAAGAGATGAATTTTGGTCAAAATATATTACAAGCTTCATCTAATATATATCAAAAACAGACTGCTCAACTTATTGTTAATGGGGGTTTGTCAGAGGTTTTCACAATAGAAAAAGGTACAAGACAGGGTTGTCCATTATCTCCATTATTGTTTGTTTTAACATTGGAAATTTTGTTGATTAAAATTCGGGAATCGCAAGAAATAAAAGGAATAGAAATTAACAAAAAAGAATATAAGTTAAGAGCTTTTGCAGATGACTTGGTTGTTACTTTGTCTCAACCTACTTACTCGGTAGTAAAATTATTACAATTGATTCATCAATATGGGTGTGTTTCGGGTTTTAAAATTAATAATAATAAGACTATGGTCGTGTAAAAATATAAAAGCTTTTTGGATTAAGATATGGTGGAATATTCAAAGAATCTTTAGAAGGAGGGTAAAATTTACTCCGCAATTATTTTTATTAGGTATTGTTACGGATTGTGATGCTAAGGAAGTTATATTGATGTTAAATTTGATCACAGCCGCAAGGCTGTTAGTAGGACAATACTGGAAGAAGGAATCTTTGCCTACCTTACAAGAGTGGTTTTATAAAGTTTCTTATCTGGCGGAAATGGCAAAGATTTTGGCTTTTTTAAAGGAGCAATCTCAAGAGAAATCTTTTGTTGCATGGGAAAAATGGATAAATTTTATACAATATAATTTGGATATGGAAAAATATCATTTAGCTTTTTTATAAATTGTATAAAAATTTTTTTTTGATATTTTACAGATTGTTTTTTTCTTTTCTTTTTCTGTCCTTTGCTTTCTTCCTTCTTTTTTTTTAATCTTTTTTATTCCTTTTTCTTTTTCTTTCTCACTCGCTTTCCTCTCTTTTTCTTTCTTTTTTTAAGTATTTTTCTTTTTAATGCTTATGTCATATATATTTTATTATTAATTATTTTATAAGTTGTAAAAATTTGTTTAGGTTTTTTAAAATTATAGATAAGCCTGTATTCAGTTCTGGGAAGCTCGGGGAGGGGGGAGGGGGGGTTGGGAGGGAAGGGTGAGGGTTGGTTGTTTATTTGTAAAACTTTTAAAAACTTTTCAATAAAAAAAAACAAAGCACAATTTAATCTAATATAATTTCATAGTATTTGTAAAAACCTTACAAGGTGCCAATTTCACAATTCCGTTGTTCTGCTGGAAGAGGAATTAGTTCAGTTGAATTGCACAGTTGCAAGGTTACCCCATGGAAACAGCTCCAATGGAAACTCCTAAAATTTAATCTGCAAGCTACAATCTGTCTGGTTTAAGTAGGGTATTTTCAGAGGATGTGATTAACAGGTTCTCTCCAGGAACGTATTTATGAATAAAGCTTCCAGAGGTATCTGTTAGCTCAAGAATATGTGTGCATGATTAAAAACAATTCATTGGTTCTAACAGTTTCTATAATTTCCAAATAGGTAACACTTTATCATAATATTTCCTAATTTGAATATATTACAGATGTATAGACTTTCACTCTCAGGATTTTAGCAAATTCCGTATTGCTAAAGAATCTAAGAATTAAATCCATGAATTTGGAATATTAAGACTGAGGAAGGCAACCTATCATGCTAAGAAGGAATCTTTAATATTAAAATTGGGTGTGGACAGACAAAGGACAGGAGAGATATATTATCATTCTTATTTGTATAATAAATTTTATTAATTTGTTTTTATATAATGAATCATAGATTGGAAAAAAACAGATTAGAATAAGAAAATTAAAACTTTGTGTTTTGGTGACAAGGTATATGTCACGAAACATATAAGAAAGTAGTATATCTTGATGGTTTAACATACAGGGAATCATATAAATGTGAGTTAAAGCTCTATAAATTTAATTACTACACAGAAGCAGAAAGCCCTTCTGGTACCATTTTTGTCCCAAAAGCAGAACATTTAGTTTTTAGAGTTCCATAATTCACAACTACAGAATAAAAAGTTAATGATACAGAATAAATATTCCTTCATTTCATTTTAATCATAAATAGCTAGTATTAAATGTGCCTTTAATTTCAGAACTAAATGTTAAAATTTGTTTCAGCCATATAATACAAAGAAATATCAATATTAAAATGAACTCTGCATACATACCTTGCCTTTACTTTTAAATTCTTTGACGATTTTGTGTTCGATATATTGCTGACCTATAATAAAAATGTTGGATAACATACTTGTAATTATTATAATTTGTTAGTTGCACTGCATTCTGAAAACTTTTCCAAGATATGTTTGACTTAAAATGAGGTTGTATATAGATAATTGTTTCACAGTGAAGGTGCATTTTGAATATTAACAAATAAAAAATTCCAGGCATAGCAAGTGAACCTAGCACATAAAGAATAAAGTTGCAGCTCAATAGCATTTATCTGTTAATTTCCTACTCAAATTTGTTTGTTTTACAAAGAAAAGTATTAAAAAAATACAGAGTTGGATTAATTTTTGGCATGTGCATAAAATCTAGTACAACTAATTTTTGCCATGTTGTCCTCATATACCATGAGTATACAGTATATATTCATAAGAAATGAGTAGCTTCTCATATATACAGTGCATTCAGAAAGTTTCAGACCCCCTTCACTTTTGTCAATTTTGTTATGCTGCAGCCAGATTCTACAGTTGTTGAAATTAATTTTTTTACTCATTAAACTCAATACCCCATAATGACAAAGTGAAAACAGAATTTTAGAAATGCCTGTAAATTTATTAAAAAGAAAAAAACCTGAAATATCACATTGGCATAAGTATTCAGACTCTTTGCAACAACTCTTGATCATTGCTGACATGTTCCTATACCTTGATTGGAGTTGACCTGCGGTAAATTAAATTGATTGGATATGATTTGGAAAGGCACACACCTCTCTATAGAAGGCCTCACAGCTGACAAGGCATACTGTAGCAGAGCAAAAGCCATGAGGTCAAAGGAACTCCTGCAGAGTTCAGAGACAGGATTATTGCAAGCCACGGATCTAGGGAAGGCTGCAATAAAATTTCTGCTGCACTGAAGATTCCTAAGAGCACAGTGGCCTCCATAATTCTCAAATGGAAGAAATTTGGCACGATCAGGACTCTTCTAAGAGCTAGTCGCCTGGTCAAAATGAGCATTCATAGGAGAAGAGTAAGAGAGGTGACCAAGAACCTGATAGTCACTCTGACTGAGCTCCAAAGATCCTGTGTGGAGATGGGACAGAGTTCCAGAAGAACCACCATCACTGCAGCCTTCCACCGATCTGGGTTTTATGACAGAATGACTAGAATTCTTCAGTGCAAAACATACAAAAACCTGCTTGAAGTTTGCAAAAAAGCACCGAAGGATTTTCAGATTATAAGGGACAAGATTCTCTGGTCTGATGAAATCAAGATTGAACAGTTTGGCCTCAATTCTTAACGTTATGTCTGAAAGAAACCAGGCACCGCTCATCACCTGCCTAATATCATCCCAACAGTGAAGCATGGTGGTGGCAGCATCATGCTGTGAGGGTATTTTTCAGCAGCAGGGACTGGGAGACTGGTCAGGGTTGAGGGAAAGCTGAATGGAGCAAAGTACAAGGATATCCTCAATGAAAACCTGCTCCACAGCGCTTAGGAGCTCAGACTGGGCTGAAGGTTCACTTTTCATCATGACAATAATCCTAGGAAATAGCCAAGACAACACAAGAATGGCTTAGGAACAACTCTGTGAATGTCCTAGAGTGTCCCTGCCAAAGCCCTACTGAACATCTCTAGAGGGACCTGAAAATGGCTATCCACCAACGGTCAGCATCCAACCTGACAGAGCTTGAGAAGATTTGCAAGAAAGAATGGCAGAAAATCCCCCAAACCAGATGTGCAAAGCTTGTCATGTGATACCCAAAAAGACTCGAGACTGTAATTGCTGCCAAAGGTGTTTCAACAAAGTACCGAATGAAGAGTCTGAATACTTATGTCAATGTGATATTTCAGTTCTTTTTAATAAAGTTAGACATTTCTAAAATTTTGTTTTTACTTTGTCAATATAGGGTACTCAGTGTAGATTAAAAAAATTGAATTTCAACAGGCTACAGCATAATAAAATTGACAAAGGTAACAGGGGTCTGAATACTTTCTGAATACACTGTACTTCTGAATATCATTTTAGGATGCTGAAAAATAGATATGTAAAAAGGCAGAAACTACAGTTTCACCAATTTAGTTTCATGTATCTAGCTCCTGATATGCATTTTCAGTCTCAGATCTTGTAGTTCATTCTATTGGGGTCCATTCTTTTGTACACATAAGGGAATTTAATATGGAGTATTTTAAATATTATCACAGTTTTTTCAGTCAAAGTATCTATAACTTAGAATATAACTACGAGCAATTCAAAACCTTGAATTTTGATTTCTGTATTTCTTAATGGAGCACAAGGTCTGATTTCATTTTTAGACAGCTTCCAGGTTTACATGGTTATCCATTAGGTTCACGCAAAGCAGTTCAGATTAATCTTCACAAATAGATTTGTGAATGAAGACAAATGTTGAATCTTCCCATCAAAAAAAAAATGCAATGGAATTTGCTTTGTATTGTTTTAAAACAAAAGTATCCCTGTAACAAGCCAAAGCCAGAAGAATCTTATTTGCAAGAATTTTGGGTAAGAAAAACCCAAAGAGGCTTTTTGTGAGACTATGCTATAGTAAACAGAAAGGTATATTCTTCAGTACAAGTTCTCAAAATTTTGGTGAGCTTACTAGAGGAAGTGTCTTCCAGTAACATATGCCAAATGTGACTGGTACATCTGAACAAAAATTGGAGGATCTGCAGAGGTGATCATTTGATTTGGAAAGCAGCTTCAAAGGAAACCTGCACTTAAAGCTTTATTGAAATTAAATTCAAATATAAATATTTTGTCACTGGATTTTAGCTATACAATCAGATGGGTGCTGGGTTATCAATTCACTATGGAATGAAGAAACAAATGACTGGACCAATTGCAGAATACTACCCAGGAAAGGACACATTGCTTTATCTGTTTTTTCGTTCAGTTACTATTGCCTGTTGGCTAATGTATTAATGGAATATAAGAAGAAAAAATCAACAAAATTTCATCCACTATCTGCAGGCAATGGGAGGCTTTATTAGATTTCAATCTTCTCTAGGAAGGAAAGGAATTATTTTCTACAAAAAAAGAAAAAAACTTGCTTTCTAATTAACAAAACATTATAATAAACTATCATTCTGAGTCACTTCGGGATGTCAGAATGTTTCCAGTAGAAAAGTGGAAGAAACAATGAATTATTTGTTTCGGATTAGGGTTATCTAAATTGGGATCAGAATTATTCTCCCTCCTGCTGCACAAAATTTTGATTTTTGCTACCTTTTGAAGAAATTATGTTTTGAGTATCTGAGTCTTCCTTCACAGGGACAGAGATTTCAGGTGCAATGTTTGTTTCTATTAAGTGTTGTGGAGATACATGGTCTTCTAACATAAGCATATCAGATGGTTTAACACACGGAGTGCTTTTAAGAGAAATGCTGGTAGAATCCCAGTCAGATGTATCTAGCAACAACAAAAAAGAAAAAAGGTCAAAGCAGTAATACAACAACATACAATAGTTTAGCAAATGTTAATCCAATATATTATAAAATCAAGTAATATAAAGATCTATTAGGTTGCCAATATTAATAACAAAAAGGTCTATAGCTGAAAAATTCTTACATTTGCAATATATCAGCATGTGGGTCTTAAAATACTGATATGTACTGAAAAAAGTTTGACTTAACAATTACATTTAGTCCAAATGAAAAGAATTCAATCTTCTATAGTTTAAGAGAAAGCTATGTGTGATTTGTCTTTTTTTAAAGAGGATGCCACATTTAGTTTCATAAGAAAATTTTTATTTTATTTTTTTGCAATACATGGCAAAATTTGATGTTCTTAAATACTTTCAAATTTATGATACATAAATATGCATAAAATATTTGAAGACCTTCAATATCGTCCGCCTCATCCAAACCAAGTTCTTCCATTAAATCTGAAAAAAGAAATTAATTATATTAGAATATAAAATACGCAACAATATGTACGATATAATATTTTAAATCCCATATAATCTACTATAGCAAAAATTACCTGATTTTTGCTTTTCTATGATTGCCTTCTTTAAAACAGGAGCAGGAGATTCACATACCAAGTTTTCTTTTGTGATCTTTTGCTATAAAGATAATTTGGCAAAGAATGAAGTAAGATACCACAATGTAGTAATAACAATATTTAAATAAAGTTCATTTTATGTAACAAAAGTAGTACTAACCTGGAAACCTGGTTTTCCTAGGAAAAAAGAGGGAAACAAGTTACTTAGATAATATACTATAACTTTTAAATTTGTGTGAACCCCACTCTTGTATTATAAGTATAATATGATATTTTTTTTGTTACAAACAAAACTTCCAGGGAAGAAATGACAAATTGGAGACAGCTCCTAAAAAGCAGAGCCAATAACCAGAGCAGAATGAAGAGCTGGCAAGTAGACCTGCTCTTTGTAAGTCCTGTCCAGACAAGGAGGAGACTTGAGATCATCCTCAGGTGCTTCAGACAGTTGCTTCTTGCAAGACAACAGGTCTTTGATGGGTCTAGAGCTGTGGGAGACAAGGTAATAGTCATCTTGCTCAAACAGCAGTAAGTACATTAAAAGGAACCAGATTGACATACTTCCTTTTCTAATCACTTTCAGAAATTGCTTGTTAACTGCTTTTCAGCTACCGAATTAGGAACCTTTGGATCAACGTATTTTACAGCACCAGGTGAGTTTTTTTCAATTCTTAGTGAAACAAATTTTAAATATGAAGTTAAGGATTTAATTTTTTTCTGGAATAAATAAAAGATTAAAATTACAAATAAACTAAGGAGCCAATATAAATTAGAAATAAGACTTTTGAATTAATTATAAAGAATATTTTCCATAGAAAAATGCTTTTGATTTTAAAAAAAATAGTAAGACAAGACTTCAAAAATTGGATGCTAACAAGAACTAGAAGAAACTAAAGATTACTTGACTTACTAATGCAAAGTGAAGCAAATATTTTAACACAGTATGTATTGAAAGGTATTTTTGAACAATGGGAAAAGATGTTACACTGGAAATACAAAACAATGGCTCGTGTCATAATAAAGGTAAAGGGATAAGCAAATAACAAACCAAGAGAGTGACCTGGTTAATTTTCCTATATTGGATTTACAAAAGAGGGTTCTTAAAACTTCAAAGAATTTTGTGAGAAGGGACTAAGAAAAAATGAAAAGAAATCAAGTTCATTGACAATATTTGAAGGAACTAAAGATCAAGGTTGTTAGGAGCAAAGAGAAGGAATATAAATTTGTTTTATTCAATCAAGGTTAAAATAGTTATATTATTATTTAGGGTAACCATTAATGGACTTTTGCTGACATTAGAACTAAAATGATGAAGTGTTATATATTTGTTTTTATATAAGAAATAGAATATGGAAAGAACAGATCATTTGTTTTATTTTAAGAGAAGGTGATAAATTACTAAAATTGTTTGTACTTGTGATAATTCTTTATATTTTCTTTTCTTTACTATATTCTTTTCTTTTCCTTTTATTCTTTTGTTAGTTTATTAGTTTTTATTATTGTAAAACATAGTCTTTAATAAAATTACTATAAAAATCTATCAAACAAGAACACAATATGATATATTTTACTGGATTAAAAATATTCTGTTGAAAGATATCTGGAAGTAAGAAACACTGACAAAATGATATTTTGGGGTAAATTTCCATGACAATACTGGCCTTTTCAGTAACAAAATTACAAATATGAATCTATTTCAATCATACATAGCAGTCCATCAATCTATTTTACTCTCACAATAACACTATGAATTAAGTTTGGCTGATATAGATTAACAGATCAATATTGCCATATATATATTGGTATAGCTTGTACAATAAGGCATAACTTGAATCAGGCAGGCCCAAGATAAAGTTTTACTCAGTTCTGGAAATTTGCTGGCAATATATCCATTATATTTTCTATATCTAAATGACTGAAAAACATTTACAATATTTACATATGTTAATATAACAAAAAGGATAATTTATGATGAATTTACCATTAAATGGTTCTTCTATAATACTGTGCATGTGTATTCCAATTTTGGCAGGAGATGTAGGCAAAGAACTAATAGTTAGTTTCCTGGGGCTTTCTGAAGTACACTATTGGAAAAACACATATGTGAGAAACATACATACAAATATAGCCATATACCCATTTTATTTATCTTTATATTTCTACAGAAACATATTATGAAAGCTTTTAGTTACAGAGAACATAAAAGCAATTTAATGTTTAAGTTTAGTTTTTTTTTTAAATGGTTAATTTCTTAAAATTAACTGAACACTGAAATGTTTGAACAAACATTCATATCATAGATTATAAATGTTTTCATTTTAAATTATTGGAGTAGAAAAGTAGAAAAGATAACTGGAAATAAAGTCATTTTTTAAAAAAAATTAAAAAAATATGATCTGTGCAAGTCACTAAATTTCAAATCTCCTTTCTGAACTACCTCAAACCTAGTTTAATGAAGAATGCATCCTAGAATGAGTTGGTTACAACTCAGGATGAAAAGCAAAGTGAACTACTAGTATTCCAAAATTATCAGTATCAATTATCACTATTCTCATGTGCCATATAAGAGAAGCCATTAGAGTCTTATACAAGAAAATTTTTAATAAACATAAAAATAATGTATTTATAACTAAAGTAACCTTTAAGCATAAAGACAATTCATAATGCAAAACTATAGAATGTTAGAGCAAGCGTTCAATATTAACACAGCTCCAACTATGGACCTTATACCATATTGATTTATATTTCATAAAATTAGAAACTTACTCCTTTATTTAATTCTAGGAGCAGGATTTCAACTAAGCAATATTAAACACCATTGATAACTTCTATGACCACACTTGTACCTACTGTGCCTTGTGGGACAGCTTTAATTCACCTCAGCAATGAAATGTCATGGAAGTGGCAAAGAGATAGAATTATGTGTCTCAAGGAGGCACTTTAAGTTGATTTGTCTAAATCAATCAGCACTTGCAGGAAAGTGAAGTAGTAAGTTCACTTTGCTTTTAATAATAAGGGTGCTATAGAGCTATGCATTCAGGTTTAAGCGATACTTTACTCAAATCTTTATTGAAGTGAAGGACTTCATTTCGATTTTAAGAATCAAATGTATAGACAGAGCATATCTATGTTTCCTCAAACAGAACTTATTTCAAAAAAGTGGCTTAATTCTCGTAACCTATGCCAAATTATATATATATAATACAAAATACAAAATGGGTAAAACTTATGAGTAATTATGTGGAAAAGTATCTTAACTATATATCCACAGACACTAGAAGCTAAAACTGATTAATACAAGAAACAATATATCAAAACAGATTTTAAAATGGAAGTATTTCTTTGAAGTCATAGAGCACAGAAAAATTTAAAAACCTACTTCTGAATCCCATGGAGATTCTGTACACTTCTCCTCTTCATCTTTGTCCATGCCCAAAGTTGATTTAGCTATAAAATAAAATAGTAAATTCTTTACATTATTCGTTATTCAAAAACTGAGATTGTGGCAATTCAGATTTGAAAAGTATTGTCAGACGCTATTCATTCCTCCATCTCCGTGTTTGCTTGGTTGTTTATCATTCCTCAGTCCTATTCTTGTAGTCACACTTTGGTAAGACAAGACAAAAGAGTTAACTAGATTATAGTGCAATTATTTAATTTAAATAATTAAATGCTTCTCATAGCTATGTCATTCTGGCATTAGCTATGCACACTACTTTGACTAAATATTGCTGAATAAAGCAAAATTAATTGTATTCTTGGTCAGCCCTCAAATTAAAAAAAAGTTGTTTCCACAAAAGTAAACAACTTTCTCCTGACACAGATTTTTAGAAACCAGCCACAACATTTTTTAAACATAGAGCATGAAAACTGAAATGTAACATGATAGCATCCCAATAGATGTCCAGTTCATAATAAAGCACTTATTTACAAACAAGCTATTTCCAAAAACAATTTTGTTTATATATTTTAATCTTTTAATATTAAACTGTATTAAAAATCATGGCAATAACCAATTAATGATTGGTTTCATGAATTTTAATTATTAAACTATTAGCTTAATGAAACTGTAATGCATAAACATGTAAAGCGACTATATTAGTTCTAATTTACATGTGATGCAGATTAGTTAATATAACTAAAGCTTATACCTTTTGGTGAGAGATTCCAAGACTGCCTACAAACAATACTTTTTTTATTGGCAGTATTCTGTTCATCACCTTCTTCATCTTTTGAAGATTTCTCCTAACAGAAAGAACAACATTCAGTATTTATTGTATATAGCAATTGGAAATTGTAATGTCCAGTTATTACTTTAAATAAGTATTTAGAATTTATGAATAAAATTTTAATCTATGTGATTTTATCAGGGAGTCATAAACTGTCTGGGATATTGCCAAGAATATATAATCACAAATATACTGGAAGTAATAAACTAGAGCAGTGGTCTAGGATCACTGAAGCTGCTCCAAGACTCTCCCAGGAGTCCAAAATATCAAAATTATTTAGCAGCCTATGCTTAAAAATACAATGTTAAATTCCCATCAAACAATCATGAGAAATAAATGCAATTTTAATTTTTAGTATGATAAATATTGATACAAACAAAAGCTCTTTTGGGGACCTCCATAATTTTTACAAGTGGGAAAGGGTCCTGAGAGAAAAAAGTTTAAGAAACACTGAACTACTAAAGTATCCTCTGTGTAATGTAAAGTGTGACATGTTATAATACCAGAAAAAAATGTTATAATACCAAGACCATAAATTATACATTTTCATTATGTACATTATTTATGTATTATGTATCTTATATATAGTTATTATTACCATTAACAAAATAGTGGTTATTATTACTATCATTTTATTAATCAATAAAATAAAACAATTACAGTATTAATCAAATTAACCTATAAAAATATATAATTGTGTTATAAAATGTATGCCTTATTTTCTTTGTACCATCTTCCAAACAATTTACAATTAAAATTATAAAATTAATTTTGAGAAAAAATTAGAATACATTCTTAAAGACTGATATGCAAATATGGGGGCATGTGTAAGTGCACTAACATGCCTATTGTCCATCACATTTTAGCTCTTTAATTTTGTTTATTGAAATTTATAATTTTTGTTTGATGAATGAATGAATGAATGAACAGTGGGTATTCTAGCCATAAGTAATTTTGGCTTAATAGAATAAAATAAGCACCTTGAATTGTATATACTGTAGTACTAAACTATTAAGCGTTTGGATATTTTCACTTCATTTGAATATTATCAAGTCTCTGCATTAATCTGGATTCTGTATTCCAAATCAGCAGTCCCCAACCTTTCCAGTTTGGCGGCCCAGCCTAGCATGGGGGGGGGGGCGTGTGAATGGCAGGCACATGCACAGCTCCATTTGTGTCAGTGGTGCATATGCGTGCCCTCCACTTGCACCAATGGAGATTCCGCACGAGCGGAAGGTACTTGCACTTACATGCAAAGCTCTACTTGTGTGAGCAGCAAACATTTGGGCTTGTGAGTAAAGCTCCACTTACATGAGTGGAGAGTACTTGTGCTCATGAAGCTCCACTCCTGCGAATGGAGCTTCACACATGAGCCCAAGCACCCTCTGCTCACAAGTGGAGCTTCATGCATGTACTTGCCCATTCTCCGACTCGGTTTTGAACAGGCTACAGCCTGGGGGCTAGGGCTCCCTAGTCTAAATGATTAGGAATGGATTTTATTTCTGCTGTGCCATTAATGGACAAACTTGTTAAAGTACAGTTTTTTATTTATGAAATCCAATTTTATTGAAAACATTTTCCCTTTGCAATAGATTAACTTACTTTCAAATCAGATTTCAGATTTTCATCCTCACTATATTTATATATTGTTGGCTCATATATTGCTTCTTCCAGTTTTTTTTGAATCCACACATTCCTTTTCTCCAAGGTTCTGATATCCTGCAAAATCAGGATTCCTAATATTTTGTTGTGTATTTGTGGTTATTCCAAGTTCTGCTTCTGATCCACAATTACGACTTTCAATATCATCCAGAACGGAATCCATGCCATTTTTATTGGATTTAGTAAAGAAAGTAAAGAGTGTAGTTTTTTCAACATTCTCCAAAGAAAAAACATTTCTGTAAAACTGTTTTTGATTCTCATATGACACTTTATTATTATTCTCAGTGTCCTGGAGTTTTTGTAACTTCTGAATTTGATTTTCATAACTAGATTTTTTTTTCAGTTGAATGTTCAGGCAGTTCCCTATTTACCTTGTTAGTAATTGCATGGTCACGTGAAGATTCAGAATGACCAGAAATAAAAGCTTCATGAATATTAGTTCATCTTGCATCTTTTCATTTTGTACATTGCATTCTTCATTATTACACTTTAAAAGATTTGCTTCCCTCTCGTGTTCATTTTCTCTGGAATGTTCTTTCCCTCCTGATTTGTCAACATATTCATCTTCCTTATTTTCTGCCTTGCTCCAAATTTGTTTTATGTTTTCTTCTTTCCTTTCTGTAATGGAATGCTCCTCCATTTCTTTTACTACTTCCTCCTCCTCCTCCTCCTCCTCCTCCTCCTCTTCCTCGTTCTCCTCCTCCTCTTCCTCTTTTTCATTTTTCTTCTCTTCTTTCCTCTTCTCATTAAATTCTTCTTCCTTATTACTTACAAAAGAACTGTCAGAATCATTTAATTCTTGCTTATTGGGATTATTTTTTTTGCATATTTTTTAATAGTTTCTTTTGACTGATTTTTGTTTTCATTGTCTTCACAAAATCATATGTGGGTATAAAAAAACATACAATAAATAATACAATACAATGGATGAATTTAAACTTATTACCTGCTTAGAATGCAAGGTTCTCTGGGAACATTTAGAAAAGGACCCAGGAGAGGAATGGACAGAATGAGGGAAGGTTTTGACTTGGAACAAAGGCTTAGGAAGGGATTCATTGCATTCTTCAAATTCATAATCTGCTTTATTTTGCTGTGAACCTCCCAAGAGTTCTGTTTGGATAGTACAGTCTTTCTCATCTACTGCATCAAATACAAACACACAGAGAGATTAAAACACAATTAATATTTTCTGTAGACAAGCAGTAAAACCATAACTTATTTTTTCAAGTAACTTACAGTTTTTCAAGAAGTCCCATGGAACTTTCATTAGCTGAGCCAAACTTGGTTTTTCTGGTTTCTAAGAATAAAAGTTGAAGCAACAGAAGTTTTCACTGTAACAAGCATTTCTATACTATCTTTACATTTTGCTCTTCTTCCAAAAAACCTTGACTGATAAATGTTATCAACCCTCCCCTTTCCTATTTTATTCTGTAAACAATGTATGAGCTAAGTGAAACTTAAAACGGTGTGTCTTCCTGGTCTAGTCCAAACTTCTATCCACATTGATAAAATCATATTATTTTAATTTTAACCACCTAGCTTTAATTTGGAACACAGCATTAAGCAGGAGACAGAATTTATGAATAAATAGCCCCTTTCAATTCTGATTCTATGCATATTTTTCAAATGACAGAAAGTGATCCAAATACTAGTACAAAATCATACTCACTCCTGAGCTGAGCACAGCTTTTTCAAATGGCCTCAGCTTAGAAAATCCTGTTCCAATATTTTTGTTCCAAATTAAGAACCAAACTTTTTGTTCTAAGTTTGGGGTATTTTGTTCTATATCAGGGGTCCCCAACCCCCGGTCCGTGGACTAGTACCGGGCCGCGGCATGCCAGCAACCGGTCCGCACAAACAAGCAAACCCCCATCTGCGAGATGTAGGCAGCACATCTCTGGTCCGCAGAAAAACCTTTCTCCATGGAACCGGTCCCTGGTGCTCAAAAGGTTGGGGACTCTGTTCTATATGATTTTAGGTCCAGTGACTGGCTAGTTTTAAATACTTACACATCATGAAGACCTGTAGAATTATCAATCAATAAAATAGCAAGTTCATCCTATTCTTAATATATTCATTGGAACTAAAGGGCAGGAATGCTGAAGAACAATTAAAAGCACATTTTTAGAGAGCGGAAACAATTTCAGAATTATTGATTATAGAGAAATCCCAGTTCATGGATGGTAATGTAATGTTATGTTATCTTTATGAGATTTCTATCTTTCATTTTTCAGCAATTTCCCAACTGCAAAAGTATGAAATTGCATTATAAATATTGCTGTGATGTTGAGCTTTCAAGATTGCAAATGCAAACTTACTTTTTAAATTTAACTTAGCAAGTGAATAAGTATGTTTTTGCTATTGAACCCAATCTACCATCTTTTGTCTATTTCTTCTCTGGGCTCAGTTCTGTGGCTGCTTCCACAGGTCTGCCATGATACAAAATATGGGCCTAATTGCTGTTTAGATTGTTTGCTATAGGAATTCTTTTTAATGTTTTAATCTGTTATCCTGTAGGATGGGTATTGGTGGAGCTCGAATAGCCTGCTCTGCCTCCTATTTTTGTGAAACTAGAACAAAAAACAAAGCATTTGTTTTAAATTCTTATCATTTTCCACAGTGGAACATCATGAATTATTTTCTTTCACATGAAATAGTTAAAAGTATTTTGAATGTTGCTGTATCAGAAACAAGGCACATGAATCTTTCTGATGGAACCATCCCAAAAGGATCTGTTTTGTTCTGATTGCAGGTCAAAATATGTTTTCTGATTCAGGTGCTCCCTTATTGGGCATTTTTCAGTAGTTATCCATATTCTTGAAACTAGGATAGCATATTCAAACTGCATATACATATGTTGTTCATAGTATGTTTAGGTGTGTGTCATGTATGTGTTTTACTTTGAGAGCAGGCAACTAAATTTCATTTTTGATGTGTGCCATTGTGCCCACAGTATAAAAATGACAATAAAGGTTATCTTATCTTATCTATCTATTTGTTCCCTTATTCCATGGCTGCACTCACTCTTCAGATTAAAACCTTTTGCTTTAGTTTTTCAGTAATTTCATTTAGGATCTCATCTGTAAAGTCTGAATACTGATTAGCTATAACAATCAATAGCAATAGCACTTAGACTTATATACCGCTTCATAGTGCCTTATAGCCTCTCTAAGCGGTTTACAAAGTCAGCATATTGCTCCCGACAATCTGGGTCCTCATTTTACCGACTTCAAAAGGATGGAAGGCTGAGTCAACCGTGAGCTGATAAGAATTGAACTGCCAAACTGCAGGCAGTCAGCCGTCAGCAGAAGTAGCCTGCAGTACTGCATTCTAACCACTGCGTCACCACGGCTGAAGCTGTATGTATTGCATTAAACTTAGGATCTGAATTATAGTTCATATTTTCTTTCCATCCAAAAAGTATTAATTAGTATCATAACAAGTCTCTCATTATTAATGGTTTTGAGTGTTCATGGTACAAAATCCTACCTTGGGACTGCAGCCTAGTTCCTCTTCTGAAGAAAGCCAGCTATCATCATCTGCTTTTTCAGAACTGCTTAAACAGAAATGCATATATATATATATAAAAATAAGAATCTCTTTCTAGAACTTCCTGAATTTAAATCGAAATTTAAATCCTACCTTACTGAATCTCCAGAAGAGTGGTTATCAATAACTGTAAAAAACCCAAACAAAGAAAATTAAAAATGCAGAAAATCAAGTGACAAAATTATAAAGAATTTTTATATTAAGGTACTTCAAGCTGCATAAGTTTAAATGAAGAAAAATATCTTAAAAATAAAAAATAATGACTTCCGGTGGATTTTGCGCGCGCGATGGCGGCTACTTTGTAGCCGTCTCTCCTGGGTAAGTGTAAGAACCGCTATGAACAGCAGACACCAGCTGTTCAGCGGTTCAAAATCCCCCTCCCGGGCAAAGGGGGGGGGTAGAGAGTGTCTGAATAGTGGTAGAGCCTCTTTTGCACCCCCCAAGTTTTTTGGGGGGGGGTGAAAGGAGTGCTCCCACGGAGTTCAGACTTGTCTCCGCTTCCCAGCTGTTTTTGTCCTCAGGGACAAAACGAGTTGCTGCAAACACCTCCGTGCTTAAAGAGAACTGGTGAGTTTTTTTTTTTTTTTTTATAAACGGACAGAGCTGAGTAGAGGATTTAGTTTTTGCTTTCTTTGATTTATTTGGATTTTAAGTTTTAAGACTTGTTTCTATTTTTATTCTCTCTTTTTATTTTTCTTTCTTTGTTGAAAGGGAAAGTAAAATGGCGATCGGCAAATCTCTCGGTGTTTTTTTTTCTGAAGTTAGAATGCTGACCGGCAGGTTTTTTGGTGTTTCTCTTTCTTTCCTTTCCCTTTCCCTTTTTATTTTCTTATAATTGGAATGGTTGTTTTTGGTATCTCTAAGTATTTTTTTTTGGAACGGACTTTTTCTATTTAATTATTTTTTTTTCTTCTCCCTTTTTTTTTTCTTTGAACTCCCTTCTTTTTATTGTAATGACCCTTTTTTGAAGGACTTTTTTCTGTTTAATTTTTGCAATTTTTAAGAAGGAGTAAAGCTTTTTTTAAATTCCTTTTCTCTTCTTTTTTTTCCCCTTTTTTCTTTTTATTATAATGACCTTCTTTGGAGGGAGTTATGATTTTTGAAGGAATTTTTATAATTTTTTAAGAAGGACTAAAGGTTTTTCTTTAAGATGGCTCCAAAGCGTCCAGGGATTTCTACAGCTTCTAAATCAACAGTTTCACCCTCTTCTGGGGGTCAGCTAATAACTATGAAGGATTTGCAAGACATGATGGGAGATGTTATAATTCAAATTAGGGCAGAAATGAAAAAGATTTTAGAGGAAAATAATAAGATCTTGAGACAAGATTTTGTTTTGGCTTTAGAAGGAGTTGCTTCTGTTCTTGAAAAGGTGAACTCCCATGTGGAAGAGGTAGCTGAAAAAGTGGACATAATGGAGGGGAAAATTGAAAGTATGGAAAAAGAAATGGAAAATGAGATTCTTATGCTTCAATATGGACAAATGGAATATGCCTTAAGAATTAGGGGCCTGGGAGAGTCTTTGCAAGGAGATCTGAAAGAGATGGTTGCAAAGGACTTTGCATTGATTTTGAATAAAGAAAAAGAGGGAATACTTAGTGAAATTGAAAAATTATTTAGGGTTAACTCTGTGGTGGCAGCACAGAAGAATCTGCCAAGAGATGTGGTAATTTACTTTGGTAAAAGATCTTTACGCAATGAAATTGTGCAAGCCTATTATAAGAAGAGATTTCAAATTGCTTCACAAGATGTTATAATTTTTAAGGAGATCCCATCTAAAATTTTAAGAAGAAGAAAGGAGTTTGCTTTTCTAGCAAATGAACTTAAAAAGAGAAAAATTCTATTCAGATGGGATGTTCCGACTGGAATGGTGGTGAACTACCTGGGGACATGTTATAGACTTAATACTGTTTCTCAAGCAAAAGATTTTTATACTTCGGTCCTGGGGGTATGTGCATCGCCATCTATTAAGTTTAAAGCTTTGGAAGAAAAGAATGTAGAATTACAGTTTGAAGAGCCTATATTTATGAAAACTGGCGAATCTTTGTGTGAGAGGCCTCAACAAGTCCAGGTTGAGGAGCAGAAGACAACTTGTGCAGCATACAATTCCAAAGAAAAGCAGCAACAGAAGAAGGTTAAGGAAGTTTCATATTCAGTGGTTTCTGAATCTCTGGGAGATATTAGACCTACAAAGTCTTTGGAGCAATCTTCAAGGGTGGAATTGCTGCCTGAAATGGAAATTGGGAAATCTCAGTTTGAGGGGCATCAACAAGAGAGGAACGGGCAGAGGATAACTTGTACAACTTATAATTGTAAAGACCAACACAAGGAGGAATTTAAGGAACCCTTACCTGTATTGGCTTCGGAGTCGATGGGAGATTCAGGAATTTTGGCTTCAAGGGTGGAACTGCTGTCTGAAATGGAAGTTGGGAAGGCTCCGGAGTCGTTGAGAGATTCAGGAATTTTGGAGCAACAGAACAAGGTTAAGGAGGTTTCATATTCAGTGGTTTCTGAATCTCTGGGAGAAGCTAGATCTACAAAGCCTTTGGAGCAATCTTCAAGGGTGGAATTGCTGTCTGAAATGGAAATTGGGAAGGCCCCGGAGTCGTTGGGAGATTCAGGAATTTTGGAGCAGTCTTCTAAGGCAGAATTTTCAGCATTTCTCTTGAGTATGATACGAGGATCGATGACAATGGATAACTGAGACTGATAATAATGACACTAGTATAATTGAGATTGATAAGGATGGAGTTTCTTATGGATGGAATTTGTTATTGGTGAAGATTGAAATGTTTAATGTGTTTATTGTAGATAGACGTATAAGGGAATTTTAAAGTTTCAAGTTTTAAATTTGTGTTCTGGAGGGAGTTTATAAAGAATAATGATAATATTAGTAATTATTATTATTATTACTTATAAGATGAAATTTGATTAAATTTGCATAAGGGGATTTTAAAGTTTTAAGTTTTCAGTATTGTTTAAGTTTGTGTTTTGAAGGGAGTATAATTTGTTTATTCTAGCCAGGGGACCTTAATGTTTTAAGTTTTTTGTGTTTTGAAGGGAGTATAACCTGTTTAAGTTTTAAGTAATGTTTAAAATTGTCTTTTTAAATATTATTATTAATTTTTTTAAGAGAAAATAATTTGCTTAACTAAAAGTGTCTAGATTTGTTTAGGATTTATATGTTTTTTAAGGTTTTTTTTTTTTTTTTTTTGGATAGGAGAGAAGACTATGAAGATTGAAGGAAATATGTACTTATTTTTAGTTTTTAAAGAGTACTTAGTTTTAATGGTATAATAAAGGTTTTTTTTCTTGTTTGTTTTAGGATAAAGAAAGAGGGAGAAATTAGACTTTATATTATAGGTATAGATATTCAAAGAAAGTAATGTTTAAATTTGTGCTTTTTGGAGGGAGTTTATATAGAATGATGATTGTATTTAGATTTGTTTAGGTTTTAAAAGTGTTTTAAGTTTTTTTTTGTTTTGTTTTGTTTTCAATTAAGCCTGTAATCAGCTCTGGGAAGTCCAGGGGGAGGGTTTGGGAGGTTGGGGGAGGGGGGGGTGAGGTGGGGGGGTATGGGAAGGGGATTTGTTTTTGTAAAATTTAAAAATTTTCAAAAAAAAATAATAATAATTTCCTCAGTAGCTAAAAGTTAGCAAACATTATTTAATTATATTTTTGTATCTATTGTAAAGCCTTCCAATTTTTAAATTGGAAGTTATATTTGTATAAATATTTGTATTCCGTTGCATCTTAGATTGTACAGAAGTTAATGATTTAACAATTTTACTGCTTGTTTTATGGAATTTCCATTTCAATAGTAATTTTTTATTTGGCTCAATAAAAGAATGACATTATATGTTATTCTAAGAGTGAAATATGGAAAAGGCTTATATGCACAAAAAACCTATAAGTATTCAGCAATCTCATATAGAATGAGACCAATTTTATACTAATAAGCACCTAAGCATATGATTAGATTAACAAATTGCATAAAGTTACTATGGTGATTCAAGAACATCAAACTTGATAAATAAATAAAAATAAATAACAAGTTCATTGTTACAATAAAACCAATAGGGTTCCTGAGGCTTGGGATCAAAAACTATTTGATCCCAACTATTTGGGATCAAAAACTGTTTGACTATCTTGTAATCGCTTACAAAATCACATGCTTAAATTTATGTAAAACTGCTCAAAAAGAGGATCCTAGGATTGGATGCAATTTGTGACTGAATGAAATTTAGCCAGTGGTTTGCTCTCCAAGCTTGTTTCAATTTGGTTCTAACTTCTTCAGATCATAGAGAAAACGAAAAATTCTGAACTAACATCTGTATAGTTATGAAGTAGCTATTGAGAAGAAAGCTGACATTTGATATATTTAATTCAGAATTATTTTCTGCTTCAATTGTGATTATTATTTGTTTTTATATTTTATTTCTGTAAACTTATGTCTAGGGTTATGCGTGAACACAGAATTATTTTAAGTTTTATTGAGAATTTTGTTAAAAAGACTTAAAATATTAGGAACTTTAAAAGAATGGAATACACCTGTAAAACTCCTGACCTGCAGTTAGTAAGCACTCGAGGAGGTAAAGGAATTATACAAAAAACAAGCTGACAAGAAATGCTCCAAACCAAAAGAATTCAAAATTGGAGACAAAGTCTATCTATCCACCAAATATTTATAGTCCAGACAATCTTCAAAAAAGCTGGGTCCAAAATATACTGGCCCTTTTCCCATAATAAGAGTCATCAACCCAGTAATTGTTGAACTTGAATTGCCAAAAACTTTCAGACACATTCATCCAGTATTCCACTGCAGTTTGCTAAAGTCGCCCATCACCTTTATCCAATGCCCAGCAACTAAAATGATCCCATTATGATTGAGGGGGAGCAACATTTGAGGTCAAAGACATTTTGGATTCACATACACACGAGGGGAAAATCCAATACTTAATGGCGTGAAAGGACTTTCCACCCTCCGAAACAGAATGGGTAGATTCACAACATATAAGGGCTTCCAAATTACTTAAAAAGTTCCATGAACAATACCTGGACAAACCTCATTGAATATCAATTAATTTAGCATTTGTATTTCTTTCTCTTTCTCTCTCTTTCGCTCTCTCTCTCTCTCTCTCCCCCCCCCCCCTCGTTTGCTTTCCTCTACACAACTGACATCTCTGAAAAGGAGGGGCAAATGTCAGATCTGCCATCTTCAGCTTAGCGCTTTGCTGGCATCCTGCTATAAATTGTTAGGGGGCTAGGGGAGAAGAGGAAATAAGTAATTGGCATGTAAAGGGTCAAGATGAGCCAAAGAGGAGTGGGTAACAGGTTTGGCAGAAGCCAGAAATGTGAGAACCAGCCTGTTCCAGTCTTCAAATCCACGAAGACTGAGAAAGGAATACTAACTGCACCAAGTGGCACCAAACATCCAAGCAGTTCCCAAAACATCTAGGTAGCACACCAGTGGACAAAGACAAATCGGCAAAGGGGGAGGACAGGGAGAAGGGGGAATACTGTAACTTTTAGCGAAGGAACTTTAGTTCTAGCCTGATTTCATTGCAATCACTAATCCTTAGTAAAAGAACCTATCACATCAACCAAATGGAGTCGAGGACCTAGCTAGGGCAAGTCTGACAATTTGTTTGGCAGTTCCTTGATTGGGGTATTGTTTACTTCTTCATTGTTGGCCTGATATTAATCATTTTTGGACTTGGCTTGGTCTAGAATAGTCACAGTTTCAAATTGAAACTATGGTTAAGTCTGTTGATGTTTTTATATACTTTACATAGTTTTTATCTTTTATTTATTGTAAGTCTCCCAGAATTACCTTGAGGTAAGATGGACTGCCTATATATTTAACAAAGAAGCAAACAAACACTACTTGGACAAACACAATCACACTGCAGCAACCCTGAACATCCGAAAAAGGAAACATTCATCTATACAATATCTTTCAACACAATGGATATCCACACAAGTTCATCAAAAAGTGCCTCAATGTAGCACAACCAAGTTGTAAAAAAGATAAATTACATCAAAAATATCTCAGAAACCACCATCAGAGTATTACAACTATGTGGCATCCATGTAGCATAGTAATCAACTGAAGTCCTCCAAAACATCCTAACTAAACCAAAAGATCCAGCAGCCTTGGAAGAAAAAACAGGTGTGATTTATAACATACAATATACAGTAATGACTGCAACAGCCACTATGTAGGATAAACAAGCAGAAGAGTAGCAGAACGCATCCATGAACACCAACTAGCAGTCAGAAGACATGATTAAATTAATTTCACAACACATGGACAGACTTAACTATAATTTTAATTGGGAAACTGTGACCATCCTAAACCGAGCCAAGTCCCAAAAATGCTAGAGAATTTTTGGAAGCTTGACACTAACAAATCGACCATCAATACGCAGTTAGGCATAAACAATATATACAGTACATACCATTCAAGGGATAATCAACAAGCCAAAAAGACCAATGTTCCACCAGCATTCAATACCCAGATGAGCAGAGATTAACACCAAGATTAGCATCAGATCAAGAATCAAGAAGTAAACAATGTCCCAATCAAGGACTTGCCAAACAAGCTAATAGTAAACAGCCTAACCAAATAACCACAAAGATCACTCCCACCAACATTAACAAGGCAAGCCACATATAAATTGAAAGCAAACCCACTCCCTACCAGTACTGATGATGTTACCTATTTGGGTAATGAAACATCTGCAAGAAAACAACCAAGCGGAAAGAGCACCCACCTCTCATTTCAACCCTGGGTTACAAATATTCTTCTGCTCTATCAGTACCTTTTCTAAAAGCAGTAAGAACAAAACAAGCAGGCTATCCCGATTATAAACTAAACATTTAAACAAATTATTATAGATTTGACCTGTAGCGACTGTTACTCCTTTCCTCGAATCCCTTCCTGACTTGTTGAGCAATTCCTGCACTTCTCTATCTATTTTTCTATTTAGCACAAAGCCTGTAAGGGACAATAAAAATTCAGAATGTAAACATGCGTCAGCTTATAAAGTACTAATGGTAGCAATCACATTAAAAAAGAATAATACATTTAAATTTTCTGTCCAGTGGTATTTTCCCCTTGTTCTTTGAAAATTAAGAACTATAACAAATAGATCTCCAAATTCAGTCTTACATGGAATATCATTATTTGTTTGAATTTTGATTCAACTTTAATACTATTTGTACACATTTTTTATGCCCAAACTGGCTACTTACTGATATTCAGAATTGCCAGAGAAAATGGGAATTTTCTGTGAATTCCTAGAGTTATTACAAATATGGAAACCATACATTTTTTTGGGTTTCTAATATTTACAATAGAGATATGTATAAAGCAAAATAGTTTTATCCTGCGTATAGTCCACCTGGAACATTCTACAGAAATATTTCAAACTGTTTCCTTCCAACCCCCCCCCTCCAATTTTGATTTTTAAAATGCAAGGAAAAATTTACAAAACCTCTTGCTCCCTCATTTTTTTTTCTTCCTTGAATCAGCAAAAAGTCCTATTTTGAATATTCAGCCATTCAGTCCCTACAAAAACAGGCCACCAAATATTAAAAATAACAACAATAATAATAATCAGTCAATTGTAAAAGGCAGCTTTATTTGGAATAGCTAACATCCTATGACAATAAAACAACATCTCCCTATCCCAGGTCCCTGAGAAGCATTCAATAGGTGGATAAAAATGCCAAATCTAACATCTGGCTGACTGTGAAATGAACTATAATAATCCCTAACAATAGAAGTAATAATTACTCTTCTTTTTTGCAAACTTTGTCTATAAAACTGAATCCAAAGCTGGGAGCATACTACTTTAAAAATTTATCTCACATAGATTTTAGAATTTTCAACTTCAAATTCAAAGAACACTTTATCAATGATTCTCAGCCCATTTTTGTATTTAGCAGCCTCCCTATAAAAGAAAGCTCATCACAGACCATACAAGAACATCAGTACAGTACATACAATTCAAGCCATTTAATTTTTTCTTAGCCAAAACATTAAAAACAGCAGCAATTCCATACCAAGTAGATAGCAGCTTTTTTCCAAGTCCAGCCAACTGAGAGTGGAGAGTAGGCCGACTCAACATCAAATCAAGCTTTCTTGTCTATTCCCATTCCTCAGGATAGATGAGGAGTAGGGCTTAGTAGCAACTTTATCAACAATAAAATGTTTGTTAGGGGAATAGCCTTGAAAAGGAAGAAATGGGCATTCAACTCATAAGAACAAGCTGAGAAACTGATTATGGGGACATTAGTCTTGAAAAATACCACTGCTCCATCAAGAAATTAAGAAAAAAATAAATAACAGGATGTCAGTACATTAGCTATCCTAGGCAATATCCTATTTCTCAGAAGACTGATTAGAATACAAATGTGACAAATCACCATTAGTAGGTCTGGAGCAGAACTGTTTATTGGCTTCTCCCAGAAAGGAACAAATCTAACTTTGTTTGCCTTACTGGTAGAGTTTCTCAGTATTATTTAAGGTATTTCCTTGACAAAATTGTTATTATTCCTCAAGAGGAAACTGGCATCCCTGTTGCCAAGGGAAATCCATGGCTGGAATTGGACTCCAGTTGCTACTGGTTGACATTCTACCATCTTTTTCCTGGCTGTGATCTGTTACTTCTCCTATGCCAAGCCTAGCTTGCAATCAGCAAGTTTATTCACAATAGATATATCAATGCCGATGATGCTTCCCTTAAAAGCATACAAGCTCTTAATACATATGTGCTTCAATTATAATGTGCACTATGCTAACTTTATATTACTCTGCCAAAATTTAACCTTCATTAAAATCCTCTCCTGAGTATTTTCCAGTCTTTTCTAAGAAAATAGCTTCCTCAATATGATTTCCTTGGTGTTCATAAGGTTTAGCTTAAATTCCAAAACTGCTTTGGACATGAGCTTTCAACAATCAAGGAAATGCGTCTGTTTGCTTTGCTATGTCATACACCAACAACTCCGTTCAATCAGTTGCTTAAATAACAAGTCACTAAAATTTCACTATAGTGTGGCAACTTCCATGGAATTTAGTTTTGGGATCTTGTCACCTTTGTGCTGGATTGGAAATATTCTGCAAACCTATAGCACAAAAGAAACATTTTTTAAAACAACAGCAATAATGTCTACCTCCATTTGGGAAGGACTAGAGTTGTACTAATTGACCAGCCATTTGTACTATTAAAACTGTACCTTCTTTATTTTTAGCAGGAGCACCAAGTGTAATACCAGTATCGCCATCTTTTTCTGGATTGCGTAATATAGACAGAACTTTTTGACCATCAAATGAGCCCTCTTGTCTATTTTTGTAGTCGGAATATTTAGCAACATACTGCTTAAGGCTAAAAGGAAAAAGAAATATTTTATTCAATATTGAGATGATACTTTAATAAAGCAAAATTAATCTCAACCTGGAAGAACAGTGTTAAATGAAAAGCAACAACTTAGTTGTTTGCCTGCAACTTTAACACCCTACTAATATGTTATGTAATCCAAATCCAGTTTTATGGTTTTTATTTTCATATAGGCAGTACTTTTTTTGTAAAAAAAAAAAAAAAAGGTGCCAGAATACATCATACAACCCGCCTTGCCTACCCTACAAGGTTCCATCCAAAAAAGGTGCCGGAACTCTGTTCTGGGCATTCTATGACAAAAAAAGCCATGCGTATAGGATAGCTTTGTTTCTTGGTTATGTGACAAGGGAAAGACAAAAGTTTCAGCTTACATGGAATCATCATTAATCATAGCATACTCTTTTGCTGACCATCCACTTTTATCTCTGTGGGCAACATTCGATCCATGAAAGAGGAGAATATGCGTTAAGTCACGGTTTTTATTAGGAACAGCAATCAATAATGGAATTCTGAAAGAGAAGACCCCCCCAATTACTGTATATCATCAAACCTTCATTAATATTTAACATCCTGTATTCACTTAGCATTATTCTCTCTTGCAAAAAGACAGGGGGAAAAATCTCTTTAATATATTTTGTAATACAATTAACAAAAGTTTAAACATTTCAAAACTACATATATGAGCTTTCACATTATACAAAGCTCCAATTGTTTATTTATTTAGCACATGGTATCTCATACATGGACTACATAGTAACATTTTACCTAGATTAATAAATACAATAAAATATAAATGTTAAAAAGATTTATTTCAAATACAAATGTCTAAGCCATCTAATCATTAAAGCATAGCATCATTTATATTTAAAAAAATCAGATACTGGACTGGTATATGCTTTCAGCTTAAAGCTAGTTATGATGTGATATACCATTTGACGTGGGATCACGCAGTCACAGTGAGGATACTATGCCCCATTAATAGAGTCCTGGCAGATGCCGTGTGAGGTGCAGGATTGCCCATTGCTGACATGGTAGTTCAAGACCTGACACTTTTTTTGTGAGGTCATTTATATGTCTTCCTATGTCTGTACGTTCAGTGACCCATTTGGCTTTCTACTGAAAATTGATGTTAAAGTTGTTGGGCAGAAGTTGTGTAAGTGCCAGTGGGGCTGGATTTGAGTCTTCTGGCTAATAAATGGGGAAGATTGGCATGCACTGGTAAGAGTGAGTTGCTCTTAGTTTTTCTGTATTCTCTCATTAGTGCGTCTTGCTTTCATAAAGTTGGTGGTGTATATGCCTCAGAACAGGAAGCCAGCAATTCAGAAAGGTTTTAATACATCCGCTTATAATCCTCATGGTGTCATTGAATCTGGTGTCTAACTTACTAGTATGGTAACAGTTAAGCAGTTACCAGTTATATTTTATAGGGGCACAGTATTCTGCTGCGGAGTAGACTAATTCTAGTGCTGATAGGTTGAGGATGGCAGCTGAAGCTCTCCATTTAGTTCCATATAATTTCTGCAGTATGTTGTTCCTAGTACTGATTTTTTCCATTGTATTCTCTAGATGTATCTTGTAGGAGAGAATCTGATCCAATGTTACTCCAAGGTACTTTGGATGTGGATCCTAGGGGAATAAGTTGTTGTTTAAGTAGACTTTTGGGGCTTCAGATGCTAGTTTGTGGTTAAGGTGGAAGCACATAATTACCGGTGCTAGGAGTAAGCCTCCAGTCAGTGAAGAATTTTCCCAAGATTTTAAGATTTTTGGATAGGAGGCAGCTACCTCCATGTGCTTTTCTTCTACTGCTATGGTCAAATCATCAGTGTATCCAAATTTGCATCTCCTTGTCACCAGCATATCTAATATGTACAAGCTGAATAGTGCAGGTGCCATTACAGAGCCTTGTGAGAGGCCATTGTTTAATCTTCTTAATTATGTTGTCCCCCATTATTATTGAAAGGACCTATCATTCAGCTTGATATTAATTAGTTGATAGAGATTTTTGCAGGGGATAATATGGCACAGTCCTGTCCTCCCAAACTGTGTTGCATGCTGCAATTAGGTCTATGCACACAGCCTTGGTTTTGAGGCCTTGTTGGAATCCTGCTTCAGTATAGCCCATTAGCCTTAGCACCTGGTCTACACAGCTCCTGTCTTACCAGAAGCCGGCTTGTTCCACTGGCAGATGTTCATCTATTATGAGAACTAGCCAGTTTATAATTAATCTTTCTTTTTTTTTTAAGCAAATTTTGTTAGTTTTTAAATTTTTACATCAAAGTGCTTAGGAAACAATGTGGTGATGGGGACATCAATCATCCAAAAGCAAAATCATTCATATATAACTCAGGTTAATTCATTAAAAGTTCTCTCTCTATTTCCCTCATATAATATTTCATATTCAAATTAATACATTTCTAAATAAAATTCAATCAAATCAGTCATCAATCACATTTCAGCTATAAAGATCCAAATCCTGTTTTTAAGCTTTACTAATTTACAATTACCATATTCCAATTAGCCTTGAATAAACATATTATTATCACTTCGGGTGTCCTTCATTTCCCTTTTCCCTAACATAATAATTATATCTAAAATGAATATATTATTCCAACAACATTCTTATATTTTCCACATATAATCTATTTCTTAATCTAATAAATCATTTATTAATATCATTTCTTCTCTTGTCACAAATCCCTCTTATTCTCCTTCTATTACAAAATAATTGTCTTACTTGGAGTAAAAATATCAGCCCAAAAGATACATTTTTACTCTATTTTAGATATATATTCTATCAGTCAATCTATGTCTATAAAAAGTCTTTTTGACCCATTAGATAAAACTTACCCCGCCAAATAATTATTATTTCTAAGACAAAATATTATTATAAAAGATATCCTCTTACAGAATTCACGTACTCTGTCAGTTATTCAATGTCAGGATCTCTGAAGCCTTTTTAACCCATTAAGTAAAATTTTAAATCACATTTTTAAATCTAACTCTAGCTTTCTTCCTGTGCCAAACCGGTTTCCATAGTAAACCTTCTGTGTCATCAAACGTCAATATTTAAATAGAGGTATTTCTCAACACTTCAGACTGGTCAAAGGTCTCTTCCCTTTCTTCCAATGTCATCTGAATGGTGTAGTCAGTTTTGTTCCATGTTGCAATTACTAGTTGATTATCTGCATTATCACAGTTTTCAATAACTTGTGTCTGGATGTCAATTTCTGCTGTTTTTAACATTTCAGGTAACTCAGTTAAAGTCTTTCTTTGATTGTCAAAATTCTCCATAACTTGTGTATGGGGTTGTGTAATATCCTCTTTTATATTAATTAATCCCTTTTCTATTAGTTCTTGTCTTATGGCATAATCAATTGGAGTCAAAGAATGAGTTTGAGATTTTGGAGCAAGAGTTTTTCTAAGATTGGTTTGCTCAGTAGTTTCCACAATTTCTCCCGGTATAAGTTCATAGTTGAGTTGTAGGCATGATTCCTCCATCTCTTTTAAGTTGTATATGTTGTTGCATATAGGCCTCTTTGAGTTACTCTGTTCCTCCTCTGTTGTTCCTTGGCCTATAGCTTGATCCATTAAAATTTGAGAATCAATTTGTGGTTCTGAAATATCATCTTTAATTTTTCTTCAAGATTTCATATACTCCGTAGCTCCAAGATTTTTTCCAGTATAAGTTCATAATCAAGCTGTGGGTGAGATTCCTCCATTTCAGTGGTGAAATAGTCTTTTAGTGGAGGCTATATTTAGTAAGAGTCAACAAATATCCACCTCCAGAATTTTTAGTAGACAAATTCACCACCAAGCTGTTCCAAGTCCTTTATCTTTTCCCTTTTATTATCTTTTGAAGGTCAAATCCATCTTCAAACAGCAAAAGGAAATACAGTTGCAGTAGCAATTTTCGCCACAAGATGTCCTCAGTAGACTGTAAAATCTTTTTTCCAGGTTAATAAAATTTTATCTCATTAGAGAAATAGAAAACAAAAAACAGATATCTCCAGTATAATAAGTAGAGTAATAATAATGTTCTATAATAGAATTTTTTCAGGACCCCTAGGTATCCCAAAAATTAAAGAGTCAATAAAAAGTTAGCTATTTTATTTCTTTTGTCAGAGCTCTTTTTCCCAGGTACACAGACGCCGCTCTCTTAAAGCAGGGAAGTAGTTCAAAGGCTTTTTACAGGAAAGTAGTTAGGGCAAAGAGAGGAAAGGAAAGGTCTCACCCAGATTCACCACGATGGATCTTTATGCTTAGCTGTTCTTCTGACTTTCGGCTGGTGCGGCTGGGTGATTGGCTATTTTACTGGCTGATCTTTTCTCCGTCAGCCCTAAGGAGCTGGCTCGGACTGCGGAAGGAGCTGCCGCCCTTCCGCAGTCAGACAAGAGCCTCCTCGATGGTGGTCGCCCCTCCAGGGCGACTTTTCAACCCAATTAGGGGTCTACCGGCGGAGGGAAAGCGGCCAGCGAAGAGACGAGTCTCTCTGAACGACCGTGCACACCGCGATCCAGAACCAGAAGTCTATAATTAATCTTTCAATGAGTTGCAACAGGAGCTAAAAAGGCCAATTGGGCAGTAGCTTTCAACTCTGTCTTGTGGTTTGACAGGGTTTAGAAATGATATTATTTTAGCTTTTTTGAATTCTGGTGGGAGGCAGCCATTGGAAACTATTTCTGAGATGAATTTATTAATCCAATTCCATGTGCTCCTTCTGGAGTTTATCAGGAATTCTGGATGAATGCCATCAAAGCCTATCAATGGCAGTGTCAATTTCCTTTATAGAAAAGGGACAAGACTACTCTATAAAAATTCCAATGTTTTATATTTGATAAGCAAAATATATACAAAGACAGAACACCTATGTCAAATAAAGTGTTCTTTGTTCTGTGTGTAAGACTTAGGATGGTAACTGCCTTTTAAAAATAACTTAACAGAATTAATCTCTTCCCTTTTTATCAGAGGAATCTATGAAATGTGGTTTTCCAGTAGGAAGATACTGTCATCATAAATGCACTAGATGGATCATCAAATTAATGCTAACAGAAAGTCCCCCCCCCCACAAGAAAAGGTGTGGGGAGAGAAAGGATATGAAGATTTGTTTATAACAAAAAATAAACTAAACATAAAAGCTACCCGTGTGCTTTTTTTTTTTTACTGAAAACAAACTGAAAATGATGTTGAACAGAAAGAAACATCAGTGCTTTCTCTAAAATGTAAACCACTCGGTAACAAACCTACATTTTTTCCTTTATTTTCAAGTTGTTGTTTTTTTATCCCAAAGGCAATTTATAATACAGCTGGAAATAAAACTTTTAAATAATACTACAGTGGTAATGTTAATAATAGCATCAATCCATTGATAAAGAGTTTTTTATATTGAGAAAATGTTATTCTACCAGACTGATTATCCATTATGTTCAGGGGCATGAACACTTAAAAGTGGTCCTAAAATCCTGCTAGAGTTATCAGCTACATGAACCAAATTGTACCTTCCCAATTTATCTGTGGCATGCACAGATGCTTTTTGTTGAAGAAGAAACTCTACCATTTCTCGATTATTTTCAGCTACAGCAACAATTAATGGGGTGCACCCATCCTGTAATGAAAAAAAGAGAAACACATATGTCCATAGCTTCTGTTTATCATTCAACAAATGCAATGAAATGCAATCTGTCCTGTACTCAAGCCAGACAAAAAGGGTAAGAAGTTTTCTTTTTTTTTTCAACTGCTTCTAGATGGATTTCAGTGTGAGTTAAACATCTCTGAAATAATATTTTCTATATTTCTACTTGGCTTTAAAGTCTCAGATACTTTCAAACATTTCTGCAATATATCAGATTTGACTATTATAGCTACAAAGATTATATTGGAAAAAGTAGGGCTGTATAACTTCAAATCCAAAGTACCTAGACCTGGCAACAACTCCGTGCAGTTTTCTTGGCAATGTTTTTTAGAAGTGGTTGCTATTTGCTTCTTACTAAGGCTGAGTGAGTTAGTGACTAGTCCAAAATCACCCAGATAGATAGAGGGAGTAGAACTCAGTCCCCCAGCTTCTAGTCCAGTGCCTTTAACCATTATACCAAACAAAGACTTTATTTTGTACCATTTATTCCCACTGAAGATCAGCCACAATCCTACAAAAAACAAGTACATTTTGTCTGCAGAGGGATAATGGGCAGTTTCTATATGTTACCCAAATTGATGGGAAAAAGGGGGAAAAAATAAAGATAAATTTATATTTGGATGTAAATAATTCATAACTAAAGCACTCTGGCTCACACCTGATGCCAAAAATATATATTGAGATAAATAAGCTGAGATAAATAAACTATATGCTGGGCATATATACGAAGTTTCCCCTATTTCATTTAACAGCAAGAAGGGATAGCTTACATGACATTTGAACCTGAGATCATGATTAAGTATGCCCAAAACAAACCCATATGTGAAAACTAGCAGAAGTTTATTTAAAGGTAAATTACAAATTGTAGTCAACTTTTTCAAGCAAAATAAGGAATAAAGAATCTCAGGTTCCACTTTATTATGCAGCAGATACTTATTATTTCATATTTGTCTCCCAGTAAATAATGCAGTGTTTTTTTCTGTAAATTATGTTAAAACATTTTTTTAAAAATCTGAATGCTTATTGGCTAATGCAAAATCAAAAACTACTTAACATATTAAGTAAACTACTGGAATTTTACCTTATTTTGTGCTTCAATGTCAGCTTTCTTTTCAAGCAGACATTTTGCTAGAGATACATTAGAATTACAGGCAGCGAAGTGGAGGGCAGTGTTGTTGTCTATATCCTTCACATTAGGATCTGCTCCATGTTCAAGCAGATAAATTGCACAGAATTCTTGCTGGCATTCCACCGCCTGAAATATTTAAGATGTTAGGTCTACTACTTATTTTCATATACAGGTAGTCCTCGACATACAACCACAATTGACCCCAACATTTATGTTGTTAAGTGAGATATTTGTTAAGTGAATTTTGTCCCATTTAATGACCTTTCTTGCCACAGTTGCTAAGTGAATCGCTTAGCAACTGCAAAGTAACCCGTTTGTTAAGTGAATCTGGTTTCCTCATTGACTTTGCTTGTCAGGTCACAAAATGTGATCACATGAACTTGGGACATAGCAATGATCATAAATATGAATCAGTTGCCAACTAATCTGAATTTTGATCGCACGACCATGGGGTTGCTGGAATGGTCATAATTGTGAAAAATGGTCATAAGTCTGTGGAGGAGTCAGCTGTTTTAATATGGACAAAAAAATCTGTCTCTGCTTCTTAGACACTAGTCTCTGCATATTTACCTCTTTGGCTTAAAAGAGGTTTCCTCTGGCTGCAACCTGACTTTTCCTTTTTGTGGAATCATTGTCATTTCTGTGGCTTCAGGATTTCAATATGGTGAGGGGAGGTGCTTGAATATCCGAGCCAAACTAAAGAAGCTGGTGAACACAGTGGATTTATTTTGAAAATTTGGGTTTAAAAAACTCTTGGAGAATTACTTATCTAACAGAGTCTGCTGAATTCTTTCTTATCTTCCCTGAGCAGTGTTTTGTTTTGGCTGGAAGGAGGGGGAGAAATAGTTTTGATTTCATTTCTCACCACTGTTTCCTCTAGTAGTAGACAAAAGAAACTGTTCTTATTGTAGTGGTGCTGTTTGACCACATGAGGGAGCCAAAGACCATATAATTGTGATTTTATTTTTAAAGCCTCCTTGGTGGCATTATTTAGAGTTAGACCAGGGCTTTTCAACCTTTTCACCCATTGTACCACTTTTAGGATATGGCAATATCCAAGCACCACCAGTCGCCTAGCAAGGTGTCAAAAACTTGACCAAAAAAAAAAAGGAAAAAGATGATAAAGTACAGGTAGTCCTCGACTTACAAGGAGTTTGCTTAGTGACTGTTCGAAGTTACAACAGCACCGAAAAAAGTGACTTATGACCATTTTTCACACTTATGACTGTCGCAGCATCCCCAGGGTCTTGCGATTTACATTCAGATTCTTGGCAACTGATTCATATTTATGGCGGTCACAGTGTCCCAGGATCAGGTGATCCCCTTGTGCCACCTTCTGACAAGCAAAGTCCATGGGAGAAGCCAGATTCACTTAATAACCATGTTGCTAATTTAGCAACTGCAGTGCTTCACTTAACAAATGTGGCAGGAAAAGTTATAAAATGGGACAAAACTCATTTAACAAATTTCTCACTTAGCAACATAAATTTTGGGCTCAATAGTGGTTGTAGGTTGAGGACTATCTGTACACCCACTTACCACATTGTTTCTCTGACATTAATCTTTGCACTGTTCTATCCCCTTCTCTCCTTCTGGTTAACTCAAAGAAGCTGATAGGTGATTGCAGGGGCTTTGGAGGGGGGTGCAGCTTCTGCACTTGAAGTGGGGGCATGGGGGGTATGTTGGGATGCTAGTTGGCTATCCCCCAAAGATTCCCTAACTTTAAAGTAGCTCTTGAGTGGCAACAGTTACCCAGCACGAGGGGCTCAGGAGAAAGAGATGCTGGCAGTGCTAACTCCCAAAAATGAGGGGCTCAGAGGCAGCTACAAGCAGGGGAGGTGGGAGGAGACAAAGAAAGGAAATCAAACCTGATTGATAGGGAGCATAGTAACCCTGCCCCTACTCCACAGAGGGCAGATCCCCATCATCCCCAGCCCTGCAGGGGTCTTCCTGCTCCACCATTGCAGACAAAGGGAGGCTCCAATGAGAAGGAGGAGGAACAGGGTTTAAGCAAACTTAGCCACTGGAGTGGAGATCCTCCCCCAAAAAACGTGCTTCAAGGGGTAACCACCCAGCATGACAGAAGTAACCAAAATCTGCTGCAACCATCCAGCAGATGGGGGGGAGGGAATAAAAACCAAACAGCCCTGCCAATTCTCAAGAGAAATGCTCATGACAATGAAAACTTCGGACAGGGGGAAGAGCGCAAGCAGGCGGGCGTCTTGCTCGTCTGGTGGCTTGGGGAGGAAAGGGGGCAACTTCACCCCCCCAAACGCTGTCCTGTCATGAAAGCAGTATGAAAACTCTGAAAAATGACCAGGAAAAAAGGTTAAAACAGAAGAGTGTCTCTTCTGAACAAGAAAAAAAAAAGATCACATCCACATCCAGCTCTTATGGGTGGAATGGGGGATTTTTATTTTTTGCCTCATTTTGCTCTTTTAAAATGATCGCGCCCCCCAACATCAGAAGCCGTACTCCATCACCGTTCGCCTGCTGTGTGCCCTACAGACCCAAATCCCTATTTTCCCTTTCTTTGAAACAAACAACCCCCCCCCAAATCCTCCTATTCCTCACTTCTGAATTACAATGAAAGAAAGTTTTTTCTTTTACTTATTTAAATTGCTAGAAGGAACTGGGGAAGCAAAACCATCATAAGACACTCTTCTGTTTTAACCTTTTTCCCTTGTTGTTTTTTGGAGTTTCAATCCTGCTTTCATGAGAGGATAGCACTTGGGGAGATAAAGCTGCCTCCTTTTTCCTCCCCAAACCACAGCTGAGCAAGACACCTGACCAGCGCTGATCCTGGTGCTTCCGCTGAGCCCTGACAGCCCCGAAGAAGTGCTGATCAGCTGGAAAGCAGCGCTGATCCTGGTGCTTTCACTGAGCCCTGACAGCCCTGTACCTCCAGCTGTCTCTTGCTCACGCCTATGTGGTGCTGCCGCCGGTTGAGCTCATTTCCCTCCCCTGCTACTCTAGCATGGTTGTGTACCACCTGCCAGGTGCCAGCGTACCACTGGTTGTAAAGCTCTGATTTAGACTAAAACCTAAATTATAGTTTGAAGAGGTGACCACCCGCAAAAGAACACAAACTGGGTGATGTACAATTTTTTAGATCTTTTCTGGATGAATATACAGCCAAAATACATGAAGCTATACAGGCGATGAGATCTAAGCTTGAATTAAAAATTGAAACTTTGGTAAAGGAACTTGGTGATGAGATACAAGGTTTGAGAGGAGACATCGAGCAGGTGATGGTGAGAGGAGACATCGAGCAGGTGATGGTCAGGACTGAATTTTTAGAATACAAAGTTGGAAAAAAAAATATTCTTCTGGAAGCTTAAGGTATTGAGAGAATTCTCCTGAAAATCCATGCTAAAGAATTTAAATTAAGATTCAGAGCAATTCCTGAACAACCTGGAAAGGATATCAGAACAAGGATGATTAAAGCTTTGGCTGCGTTAATTAATTGTGATGAAAAAATTCTTGATCTGGATATAGACAAGGTGTATCGATTGAATTTGAGATTTGCTATGAGAAAATTGCCAAGGAATGTTTTGGTCCACTTTGTAAGAAAAACAACAAGAGATCATGTTCTGAACTGTCATTTCAAAGCAAAATTATGAATGGAAAATGTAGATATAATTATTTTGAAGGAAATTCCCGTAAGAATTTTGCGAAAAAGGAAAGCCTATTTATTCCTTACAGATATTCTGAAGATGAGAAAAAATCCCTTTCATTGGGATAAGCTTGAGGGGGTGACACATACTGTGAACAAAGATTTCAACTGAACTCCATAGATAAAGCCAAGCAGTTTTTGAGCAGACATAAATTAACTTCAGAACTAGGTGATGAGATGGAGATAGATAAGTCTTCAGAAGCAGACCAGCTTTGAAAAATGGACATTGAAGAAGAGATGACTGAGGTGTCCATACAGGAATCTGATGTTTCACTTAAAGATGGAAAGTAAATTCATTACATGGAGTATCAATGGGGCTAGTGCCCCATCTAAGTGTAAAAAAATATTTCATCATTTGAGAAAACTTAATTTGTCTTCAAGAAACACATATTAAAAAACAAGATGACATATACCTAATAAATAAAAGACTAGGGAAGGAATTTGTATCTGCTGGGGAAAAAAAGATAAATGGAGTGGTTTTATATATAAAACCCCAATATAAACCTAGGCTACTTTTATCAGATGAATACAATAGATTCGTATTAGCGGAAATTAAATTTAACGGAATAAAATCAATAGTGTGCCAAATGAGGGAAAAGGCAAATTTTTTCAGTATCTTATGGACCAACTCTTGCCTTTTTCACATGAAAATTGGTTTATGCTGGGGGATTGGAATGGAGTGACTTTGTCATTTTGGGATATAACATCTACTAAAGGGATCAAACCATCTCAGGGCAAACTACCAAAGTCATTTTTTGAAATGATGGACAATTTAACGTTAATAGATTCATGGAGGCATAAAAATGGTTCCACAAGAGAATACAGTATACCTTGTTTTCACAAAGGCACAAATCTTTCTCAAGGATCAATATGATATGGACCTCTAAAAACTTAGCAAATAGAATTTTGAAAGTTGACATCCTACCTAATTTTTTTTCTGACCATAACCCAGTTGTTTTGGTCCTTTAGAAAAAAGAGTTGAGTTATAGATAGAGATTGAATGAATCCATTTTACAAAAGGAGAAAACTGTAAAGGACTGTAAAAAGAAACTACATGAATGTTTTGATAATAATTTAGGTAAAGGGACAGATCTAATAATAGTTTGGGAGGCTAGTAAGAAAGTTATGAGGGGGTATTTTATACAATACAATCAGTTAGAGAAGAAAAAAATCTTTAGAAAGGACCCACAAGATACTCGATGCAATCAGACAGAAAGAAATTGATTTGCAAAGGTCACCTACGGACCCTTAAATTCTGCACCAAATTAACTTACTATGACAGCTTTCTATGTTAACAGTCCAAAAAACAGAAACAAAATTGAGTTATGTGACGCAAAGACATTTTGAGTTTGCAAATAAACCAGGGAGATGGTTGGCATATAGATTAAGAAAGGAGAGGGAAAAGAGAAAGACTGAAAAAAATTGTGAAGGTAATAAAGTCACAACTGATAACAACCAGATTAAAAAATCTTTTCACAATTTTTATTTTAATTTGTATAGGATGCAGGAGTTAGATAGGTCAAAAATGGATGAATATTTGCTTAGACAAAATTTGCTGAAACTTTCACAGGCTCAGAGACAATTTACGAATAACCCAATAACTACCTTTGAAATATCAGACGCTATAAGAAAAATGAAATCAGGCAAAGCTCCTGACCCAGATGGACTTACAAGTCAATATTATAAATGTTTTGAAAATGAACTTTGTCAGCCATTAAAGGATGTAATGAATGTTATATTATAGAGATGGAAATACATCCATCATGGTCAGAAGCTAATATTATGTTACTTCCGAAGGAGGTCAGGATGCCACAATGGTAAAGAATTATAAAATGTATAAATGCTTTTCAAATGAATATTAAAAATGTAAAGTTAAAGAGGGTACTTTTTATCATTTATGGTGGATGTGTGATAAAGCAAGAAAATACTGGAGTAAGATTCATATGTTAATACAGAAAATTCTTAAAGTAAATATAGAAAAAAAATCAGAGATTTTTCTTTTGGGGCTAATGGACAAAGACCTGGGAAAAAAATATGGAACTTTTACGGTATATACGTTGACAGCAGCAAGATTACTCTACACTCAGAAATGGAAGACTACCTCAATTCCTACAACAGAGGAATGGTTACAAAAACTGATGGCTAAACTGACTGTACTGATTAAAGAAAAGAATATGAATACTTTTATTGTTATATGGAAACCGCTTCTAGACTTTGTGCTTGAAGTGGAAAAAAATGAAATTTTGATTTGGGTTTTACCAATTAGATAGACTTGATGTTATTGAAATGGCTTCTTTATATTATTTTGTATAAATAAAAAGCTGAGGTTTGAAGGAAGTCAGAAATCAATGCCTTTTTTTCTTCTTTTTTTCACCCTTACCTCACTTCTCTACTCCCTTTTCCCTTCTCCATCTTTCCGCTATTTACTTTTGTTTTTTCATTGTATCGTATAATATAAACTAATAAAACTTTTAAAAAGGAAAAATGGGTATAAGTCATTTTTTTCAGTGCTGTTGTAACTTTGAACAGTCACTAAACGAACTGTTGTAAGTTGAGGACTACCTGTACCTAGGTAATACTGTCTATAATTTAAACAAAACAAAGCTACATCTGATTCTTGGTCCCTTTTGATTATTAGCTGTATTAACAATTCATTATACTAATAGTTTTGATTAGAACAAATGTTATAGAAATTTGGCTTTATACTACTACTAAATTTGCACTATTTTAAATGCATACCTTTATTAATGGAGTTCTCTTCTCTTTATCACAGATATCTAGTTGGCATTTGTTTTCCACCAAGAAAGTAACAATGTCTATATATCCATTAGCACTTGCAAAATGCAAAGGTGTTCTAAAAGAAACCATATTATAAAAGAAGCCATACTAAGTCAATAAGTAACTAACAATAGAATACACCTTTCTTTTTCTTAAGAACATTTTGATATTGTATCTTTGAAATGTATTTCAAAACTAGAATTCAACATATGATGAACTGGAATATACCATGTATTCTGTATACTCAGTAGTAAGCTCTACAACATATAAATTGCAGACTTGGTTAATTAGTTCTTCCCATTTGAAGAAATAAATTATACTTTGCAAGAAAGAATAAAGCCTAAAGTACAGCAGAAGTGAATATCATTTCCTTGATTTCAAATACAAATACGTTGATCGTACAATCTAATTGGAAATTAACAAATGATGAGTTTATTACAAATTCTAAAATAATCCAGCCACTACTTCCCAGTCAATAATAGATATTAATGTAATAGGTAGAGAGGGAAGAAAACAGAAAATTTCCATTATAGCAATGGTTTATTCAAATATTCTTTTAATTAAGGTATGCTTTTTAAAACTTAAACATCTACAAAACTTGCTATCCAAGCTTACATACTGAGCTGTTTTCAGGAGTCTAAGGCACCCGCATTACCATGTATTATTTATACATATAGCTTTCACTGTGACATTACTTGCATAATACAGGTAGTCTTTGATTTACAACAGTTCATTTAGTGACAGTTCAAAGATACAACAACATTAAAAAGTGACTTATGACAGTTGTCACACAACCGTTGCAATATCACCGTGATCAGGTGTAAACATTCAGACATTTGGTAACTGACTTATATTTATGACGGTTGCAGTCTCCAGGGATCATGTGATCAGCTTTTGCGACCTTCTGATAAAGTGAGTGGGAAGCCAGATTCACTTAACAACTGTGTTACTAACTTAACAACTGCAGCGATTCACTTAACAAATGTTTCACTTATAGCAACAGAAATTTTGGACTCAATTGTAATCATAAGTCAAGGACTACCCATACATGAACTAGCTGCAGAGTTCAACATATAAAAAAGTGATATATGAAAAATGATACTTCAACAGTAGAGTTAATAGAAAGGATGACATTCTATTAGAGCAGCGGTTCTCAACTTGTGGGTCACAACCCCATTTGGGGTCGAACGACCATTTCACGGGGGTCACCAAACAACGCAGTCCGCCATTTTTTCCCCCTTTTCCTTAGCTGTGCTACTCTCTCTTATTCTATTGGCTTTTGAAAGCCAATAGAATAGACTCTATTCAAGAGACTCTATTCTATTGGCGTTCGAAAGCCAATAGAATAGACTTTCTTGAATAGAGTCTAATTCTATTGGCTTTCAAAAGCCAACAGGAATTGTCCAGGCTGTCTCTGCCCTGCTGAGCCCGCCAAAAGCCCCAGTCTGCAAACGGTGCTGAAAGTTGTCTGTAGCTAAGGCAAGGTTTCTGGACGTTTCCACCCCTCCCTGCTGAGCAACTACTAAATGTAAGTAAAAGAGGGCCAGGAGTGGGACGCCAGTGGGCGCAGGGAGGGTTGCTGGCACGTGTGGGGCCCGGCGGGTGGCTTACCTCCCTTGGGTTGGGCCAGCTGGTGGCCCAGCCGGTGGTCGGCCTGCGCCCTCGCTGCCGCGTGTCATGGCCGCACAGGAGCGCCTGGGCCTGCCTGCTGCCACACCGAACATGCGGTGGCCAAGGTAAGGCTAGCAGGGCAAGCGGCAGCGAGGGCACAGGCCAAGGGAGGTAAGGCCTGTGCCCTCGCTGCTGCTTGCCAGCTACGCCTTGGCCGGCGCAGAGGGCGGCACCACGCATGCACGGCACTCCCAGGCCGAGGCAGTTGCTGGGCGATAGCCTGCGTGCAGCCACAGAAGAGGCGGAGCGTGCGCGTCTCCTCCTGCCCCGCCCACAGGGAAATACAGGTAGTCCTCAACTTACAACCACATAGTTGGGGTCGCAGCATTAGGAAGGTTGAGAACCACTGTATTAGAGATATACTATAAAATAGGCATGTGAAGGCACAGTATTAGGCATAATATGGTTCTAGTTACAGGTAGTCCTCAACTTATGACCACAACTGAGACTAAATTTATGTTGCTAAGCGAGACATTTGTTAAGTGAGTTTTGCCCCATTTTACAACTTTTCATGCCACAGTTAAGTGAATAACTCCTGTTAGTAACACAGTTGTTAAGTGAACCTAGTTTCACCATTGATTTTGGTTGTCAGAAGGTCTCAAAGGTGATCTAATGATTCCAAGACACTGCAACCGTCATAAATATGAGTCAGTTGCCAAGCATCTAAATTTTGATCACATGATTATTGGGATGCTGCCAACAGTTGTAAGTGTGAAAAATGTTCATAAGTCATTTTTTTCACTGACATAAATTGAATGGTCACTAAATGAACTGTTATAAGTCAAGGACTACCTCTACAGTGCGTCCTAATTACAGAGTGTCTGGTATAAGTGGGAAAAGAAACTAAATTATTTCCAGGAGCCTATTCCCATGTATGGATTATACCAGAACTGAAAATTTCAGTATTTTACACATTACAAGCTTCCAACAATGGGATGGTATTTATTTCTTTTAAGCATACAAGTAGGGTTCACAAAGAGGTCATAACGTCACCTTTCCACACAGTGAAGAAATGCTGAGGGAAAGCACGAACTTAAACCTCAATGCCACAGCAACCCTCAGCCAGACTCTGAGGAAGCAGTCCTGGGAACAAATTTCCCGCTTCCCAGTTACCTATGACATTCATACAATCCTTCACGTGGACATGTTTTGGACACGTGACGGGCCTCATTAGGGGAAATGTCACCCTCGGAACCCCATGGAGGGAGAGGGTGGCCCAAGTATTCAAGGAGGGATGAAGCGGAGAGCTGGTGTTTGCGTGAACACGAGGCGAGAATCTAGCCCAGGCCCGCTCCTTCCCACCTGCCACCTTTATCCTGCTCGTTGAGGTCGTGTTTCTGCAGGAGGTGTTGGAGTTCCCCGAGGTCTCCTTCGGCCGCCGCTCGGTGCAGTTTACTCAGGTCCTTGCTCTGCAAGTCATAGCCGTCGCAGCCGCTACAGATGAGAGCGCCTGGGGCTGAGGCACAAGCCACGACGCGGCTCCGCGACGGAGATTGTTGCTCATTCTTCTTCCTCCCCAGCCCCAGGAATTTCTTCACCTTCTTCATCCTTCTGATCGAGGAGGTGGACGGAGAGGAAGACTTTGAGTCACGACATGCGTCGCGGCAGTTGCCGCCACCAAGTCACTTCTCCTGCGCTCATGAGCTCGCTGGGGAGTAGCATGGGTGCCTGAGGCAGTCAAAGTCGGCCACGCTCTCCAGCCGGGCGACGGCAGTTGAAACGGGGCGTTCCATCCAAGGAGTCGCGGGCATCGATTCTACGACGTCAGAGCATGGAAATAGCAGAGGGCAAGCTGGAGTTCGGTAGCCAAGGCAACGGCTTCCCGGGGCGGCATTGCGCATGCGTACTCAAACATGTTTTCTTGGCGGGATCATGTTGCTTAAGAAGGCGCAGGCGCAGTCTTCCGTCATTTCTGCTTCCTGGAATTTCATTTTCCGGGAAAGTTGGCGCCGGAGGAGGTCGGAAAAATGGTTGAGATTTGGTGAAAGTAATTATGGCAGTTGTAAAGTCAGCAAGAAACTAGGCCATGAAACTAGTGAAGAGAATTTAAAATAGATTGCGGCCAAGACTTTGGCGCATGGCGTTCTTGTCCTCGAGCTTATTACATGCAGTTCAGAAAACTTTATAAGCTTGTAGAGATCAGTGCCAAAAGTTTATTTCTCAGAACCCGATTGTCAGTAGGAAGAGTTGCAGCATAGTATTCAATGTCCTATCAATCGCTTTTATCTAAATCCAGTTTTGCAAGTACTCTATAAAATTAACATTTTTCCTTAATAATGTTTTGAGTTAATAATCAAATTAACATCATAAAGTTTGCAAATTTGAATTGTTCTCCAAAACAGTCCAATTCTCCAAAACATACCTTTGTTTACTTTGCTTTTGGAAGGTTCTTCCTACCCTTTCTAACCTAAAAACATTACATATATTGCTAAATAGAAAATACTATCCCTAACTTTAACATAAAAAGTAAATAAAAATTTTAAAAACTTTATTTTAAACTGGTTTGGCTTGGGTCCTGCTGCCTTCAACTCTGGAATAAAGATACAAAAACTTTTTATGTGAGTGTAGTAGAGCCAGTTTAGTGCAGAGGTTAAGGCATCAGGCTAGAAACTAGGACGGGTGTCAAACTCAATTTCATTGAGAGCTGCATCAGCATTGCGGTTGCCCTTGTGGGGGCCGAGTGGGTGTGGCCAGGGTGGGTGTGGCCTACTGGGTGGGTGTGGATGGAGTGGGTGTGGCCTATTGGGTGGGCATGGCCAACTCTACATCGTTTGCATCAAAGATGCCTGTGGGAGCCTGGGCAGGAGTGGGACAGATCTGAGGGTCTCTGGCAGAAGGGGTGGGACTGGGGCAAGTGCCAAGGCATGGTCCACTGGAGGAGCCTCACTGCCTGCTGAAACCCCTCCCCCGGAGCCCATCAAGCTGGATATGTGAAGTAGGCGAGGGCCATTTGCTGGCCACTTCCAGTTGATGATGCATTTCTGCATTCCTCACAAAGAGTGACACCTCCCCAGCATGCACCCAGGGAACGGGACCAACACAGCAGGCGTTGGTTCCTTGCTGTTTCCAGACGGCCTTGTGAAGCTAAGACTGAATGCATTTCAGCATAGATGGCTACCACAAAATTGTACTTGGCTCCCGGCCGGCTTGGGCCAGGGCCAAGGCAGTGGGGGCCGTTCCCTCACTGTTTCCAGGATGGCTTCACAGGCCACATGAAACCACTTCACGGGCCGCATCTGGCCCCCGGGCCTTGTGTTTGACATGTCTGAACTAGGAGATTGTGAGTTCTAGTGTCTCCTTGGGCACAAGGCTAATTTGGGTGACCTTGGGCTAGTCTTTCTCAGCCCTAGAAAGAAGGCAATGGCAAATCACTTTTGAAAAATCTTGCCAAGAAAACTGCAGGGATTTGTCCGGGCAGTGTCTCGGAATCAGACATAATTGTGTGGGAAGTCAGCCCCCCCCCCCCAAAGAAGGAAATAGTTTGGGGGATATTAAAAAAATAGAATATATTTCCCCACAGGAATAATAGAAAATCTTAGGCAGAACCCCCACCTGCAAATCTCTCTGCCCCAAGAAGAAACAGCTGTGTAGAAATGCAGATTTTATAATCCTATCAGAAAGACTGGAGTCAGGAAGCTTGGAGCTGATGGAATTGGAAAGACAAAGACCCCTAGAACCAGCAACCCCTCATCCCAAAAATCCAACACAGGACATAGCATCAGCCTCAGCCCCAGGGAAGCAGGGCATGACCTTTAGGGCATAATAGGATTAACCCACCACCATTAGGAGATCAAAAGGGCACACTGAACCTCAGGTCAAGGTTCATGCCACAGGAACAGGAATAATTCCAAACACAAAAACCCAAGAAGGTATAAAAACCCACAACTCCCAGCAATATGTAGTTAGTTGCCACATAACCATTTCTCTCTGGTTCTGTAACTAAATAAACCAGAACCTTTTTTCCAAATAGCCTCCATTTTGTTTATTCCCAGCTTGGATTGGACCCTGAAGATTTTTCTTTCAACAATTTGGCACCCAGGATGGGACTTCAGGCTAACTTCACCAATGGACTGGGACTGGGTAAGCCACCACCTTGCTGGCAGCAGACCCCTTGTGTCTGGGCAGATTTCCTAGAGCCTGCCCATTTGGAGCAAGGGTAGTAAAGGCACTTTTGAGTTTTGAGCTCAAAGACTGCTTTGGAAAGAAGGTGACTACCTCTAAATTTTAACTTTAAAGCCCAGGGCAGGATGAAAATGTGTGTATGTCTGTGTAAGAGAGAAGACCCTTTCCCCAATCACAGTTGGATCTTGCTCCCTCTGGCCTTTCCTAACCGCAAAAAGAATCTGTTCAAGTGACACCCTAGAAAGCATGGGGGTTTGGCCAGAGTTCAGGACCTTTTGTTAGGGAAAAGAGAGAGGCTGTGTGAAAATGGAATGGAAAATAAGTCAGAGAATTGGATCTGGGCAACCAGCTGGGAAGTCAGTGAGCAAAGCCCAGATCAGGAGGTGCCCATATCTGCTGTGTTGGAAAAAGTGGCAGATCCTCCCAGATTCTGCGGAGTCTGAAAAGTGACAGTTGTGGTTGAAGGAGGTACCCGTACCTGCTGTGTTGGGGGGTGGCAGGTCCTCCTGAACCCCTTTTTGGTCTGCAAAATGACAGGCGCTGTGTTCCCTGGTTAGGAGGTGCCTGTACTCTGTGAGGGAACCAGAATCCTCCTGTACGTCTTTTTTTGTCTGAAATCTGACAGGCAGAGCGGCAAAGTTTGGCCGCAAAGGGAGACCTGGCTAAGCCAATTGGACCCTACATCAGAAAGAGAACATGGGAAGCTGTAGCTCGAGGGTCATGACAGGATTCCTCTAGAAGACTTGCTTATGGGTTGGGATGAGAGGATGTGCCCGTCCTAGCTGGTATGGAGAAATGAGCAAGGGAAATTTGTGAAGAATGGGCTTTACTTAGGGCTTTGCTGGGAAAAACCAATTTGGCTAAATAAAGGTACTTAAAAGGAAAATGTATATTGGAGTAGTGATTTTCTCTCTCTCTTTCTATGCAATCACATGATATGTTTACGATTTGTGCCTTCCCTAATTTGAATTAACTGAGATTTATAGTGGAAATGACCAGGATGTGAAAACTGAGGATCTGTTTTCCTCTCCTTTTCTCTTTGTCTTTGTATGTGTGTGTGTGTATGAAGGTGTATGTGTGTGTGTGTATGAAGGTCTTTGTGTATCCTCAAGGTAAATGTTAACTGTTTCTGCTAGAAATTCTGCTTCAAATAAGCCACTGAAAAGGAAAATATCTTTACCCTAGTTTGCCTGGCCAGCAAAACAGGATGAAGAAAACTGTGTCCCTTTTTTCCTTCCCTCCCTGTAACGTTAAAACAGCCCAAATTTGTCAGGAGGGAATGTTTAAGCTCATTTAGAAGAAAAGTTTTTTTTTTGGTTTGTTTTATTTGTCCATTTTCTATATGTGTGGTAAATGGGTTTTATCTGTTTATCTTTTTTCTGAACGTGAGGTATGTCCACCCACAGGAGTCTCATGAGCTCAAGTTTGCTTGTGTAGGGAAATAACCTTCTTCTTCTTAAGTTACTTTTCTTATCGTATCGCTAATCAGTGAAACTACTATAAAATTAATCCTGGAACATATAAGCATTTTTTTTCTCAGTCTAATGTGGTCTTTTTATCTAAACTGTGCATTGGCGATACTGGGCAAAATGCTGTCAGAACGTTTAAGTGTTTTGAAAACAAATATTAAAGGCAGACTCCCTTGCCCCTGGCAAATTGTACTCATTAAAATATTAGGCTTTTAAAATTATTTGGAGCTTTCAGCATTCTCAAGCTGCCCAGCTTCTCTTTTCTCCTCATCTGTGGTGTCCCCATTTTGTCTGATTATCTCTTTCTTTAACGACTGTGGTATTAATACAAATACAAAAAATGGAAAAAAGGGGCACATAACTAAGGCCGATTATCAGCAGACAGCGAGAACATGCAAAGATGAAGTTAGGAAAGCAAAGGCTCAGAATGAATAAAGACTTGCAACAGAAATCATGGATAATAAAAAAAAGTTTCTTCCAACATATTAACAACAATAAAAAAGCCAAGGAAATTGTAGGTCTGCTAAAGAGAGAAGATGGCAAGGAAATAACAGGCAATAAGGATAAAGCAGAGCTGCTTAACTCATACTTTGCATCAGTCTTCACTCAAAAAGAAACTATTGCCCAACATACCAAAAACCACTGCAAAAGACAAATTAGAAACAAAAAAATAAGCAGAAAAATGGTAAGAGAACACCTATCTGACCTTGACGAATATAAATCACCAGGGCCTGACAGATTAAATCCCAGAGTTCTGAAGGAGCTGGCAGATGTTATCTCAGAACCATTGCATCACATCTTTAAAAAATCCTGGAGCACCGGGGAAGTACTTGGATTGGAAAAGGGCTGATGTGGTTCCTATCTTCAAGAAAGGGGGGGAAAACGGACCCAGGAAACTACAGACCAATCAGTTTAACATCAATACCTGGGAAGATCCTAGAAAAAATAATCAAAAAACAGATCTGCAAACAACTAGAAGCAAACAAAGTTAACATAGTAGCCAGCATGGGTTTGTTAAAAACAGATCATGCCAAACCAATCTTATTTCATTCTTCGACAAAGTGACTAAACTAATAGACCAGCGAAATACTGTAGACTTCAGTAAGGCCTTTGATAAAGTAGACCACAACATACACCTTGGTAAGCTAGAAAAAGATGGAATAGACAAAATCACCACCAGATGGATCTGTAGCTGGCTGGCAAACTGTACTCAACGAATAGTCCTCAATGGCACTATATCCACATGGAGAGAAGTAAGCAGTGAGCACCACAAGGTTCTGTCTTAGGCCCAGTACTCTTCAATATCTTCATCAATAACCTAGATTAAAAAATAGAAGGGGAACTCATCAAATTTGCAGATGACACCAAACTAGCAGGAGTAGCCAACATCCCAGAAGACTAACTCGGGGGTCTTGACAAACTTGAAAAATGGGCCCTATCCAACAAAATGAGTTTCAGTGTGGAGAAAAGCAAAGTTTTACATTTAGGCAGGAAAAATCAAAGGTACAAGTACAGATTGGGCAAGACCTGTCTTAAAAACAGTAACAGTGAGAGAGACCTTGGAGTCCCAGTGGACAATCAGTTAACCATGAGCCAACACTGTGCAGCACAAGCCAAAAAAGGTAATACAATCCTGGGTTGTATAAACAGAGGCATAGAATCAAGATCACGTGAGGTATTAATACCGCTTTATAAAAACCTAGTAAGACCACACCTGAAATACTGCAGCCAATTTTGATCACCATATCACAAAAAAGATGTTGAAAGTTTGGAAAAAATTCAGATGTGTTGGAATATTCATGAGCAGGAAGAATCATGTGGTAACTCAGTCAGCCAATGGGAAGAAAGTGCTACTGAGTCTGTGCAAAAGGTATTGAG